CTTCGGGGATTTTAGGGTTTAGGGTTTACGGTTTTAGGGTTTTAGGGCTTTTAGGGTTGAGGGCTTTAGGCCTTTAGGGGTTTAGGGTTTTACGGCCTTTAAGGGCTCAAAGGGGCTTTGGGGGCAGTAAGGGCTTTGGGTGTAGAGGGTGTACGGGCTCTAAGAGTTTGGGGTCGAGTCCAGCGCTTTCGGTGTACAAGCTACGGCTTGGGGATTTTTGCTACAGCGTCCCGTACCCTACACCCTTGAACCCTAAAGCTTAAGCCCCTAGACCCTCAAACCCTTCAAACCCCAAACTCTTACGTCTCCAACCCTGAACCCCTAAACCCTTAAACCCTTAAGACCTAAACCCCGAGACCCTAAACCCTTAGACCCCTAAGCCTCAACCCTAAACCCTGAAACCCTTAAGCCTCAACCCTAAGCCCCTTAAACCCTTAAGCCTCAACCCTAAGCCCCTTAAACCCCCCAAAACCCAAACAGCTCCCGAGCGCCTAGGATGAGGCCTTTGGCATCCTTGGCCTCGCGGAGATCCTCAGCGGGTTGTGAGGCTTGGCAGGTTTAGGAGTTCAGGGTTTAGGGCTTTTGGAGCTTAAGGCGTTTAGGGTTTAGGCCGGCTTTTCTTTGAACGCCTTTGAGGCTTTTCAGGGTGTCGGGTTGAGGGGTTTAGGGTTTGGGGTTGTAGATTTAGGGGCTAGGATCTCGGGATTTAGGGTTTCGGGTTGTAGGTTTAGGGTTTAAGGCCTCGGGGTTTGGGGATGCAGGTTGCTTCGGGCTTAGGGGATTTTAGGGTTTTAGGGCTTAGGGCCTCGGGTTCAGGTTGCTTAGGGTTTGGGTTGCTTTTCATCGGCCCATTTCATCCCTCTGACTGCCAGCCGAAGGAGGATCCGGCTGGGGCCAGTATTAGTATTATTATTATTACTACTACTATTATTACTATGATTACTATTATTATTATTACTATTACTATTAGTATCATTAGTATCATTAGTATTATTAGTATCATTAGTATTATTAGTATTATTAATATTATTAGTATTATTAGTATTATTAGTATTACTAGTATTATTAGTATTGTTATTATTATTACTATTTCTATTTATACTACACGAGGCCCTGGGCAGTCACTGGGGACGGCGGCCTTCATCTCTTCCTTGGGTCTTCGAAGCAGCAGTGTCACCACGCCTTGCACTCTGCTTCTGGCTGACTATCTACTCGTAGAATTTGTTTTTGTTTTTTTTCAGGGCCCTTTTCCTCCTTGCTACAGTCCGAATACCAGTAGAGTTGAGGGTTTAGGGGACTATCTACTAGTGATAACAGCGATGATGATGAGGGTGATGAGGACGAAGATGAAGGTGATGCAAGTGATGAATGATGGTGGAATGCATGGATAGTGGGCTGGATGGACGGACACCTGGCTACATTGACTGACTGACTGCCTGCCTGCCTGCCGAACGAACGAACACAAAATTAACGAACGACCCAACGAACATACGAATTCAATGGACGCATCAATGATGCCGAGAACGAAATGTTACAGCAGTAGTCGCAGCAGCATCAATGATGTTGATCGCCCTCTGGCAATATGATGACAGCGCGTGGTCATCACTGTCGGTTTTGGAAACTGTCCTACCAATTACCCTCGCCTCCATGCCGATTCCCACTGCTTGTACTTGCGAATACGTAGCAATGGAAGGAGGAGGGACTAGCGTCGTGGTTCAAAACAAGCAAGATCCAAGCACGGACAGTTGTAATGGCCAGACAAGCTGTTCGCCATTCTCGGATGCCTTCACCTTTGGTGTAGCCGTCAGACGCCTCATCAAAGACCTTGGGATCTTTGCCAGGCTTTCAATCCTGCTTGCGCAATGCAGTCGCACATCGTGTCCATGTCACGTGCTGGGACCTTACACGGCGGCTGGGTGACAGGTGCAAACAACATGTCATCGACCTGGTCTAGCCTTGCACCCAATGCAGTCAACTTCGGCTGAGGGCAGACTCGAGATGTCTAGCAGAGCCGCGAGCCCGTGTGCGGCCAGACTTGGATACGAAGCCGCCGAAGCAGAGCAAGGCGAGCTCAAATGGGTTCTGGCAGCATTTCATGAGCATGCCAAGCGCGTCTGTCGACGTTTAGCTGTTCCGACGATAAGTCTTTTGGCTTCACTGTTCCGGAAACTGCATACAGGAACAAAAATGCAGGGCGGACCGAGATCCAGCTGGCTGAACTTGCAAAGGCCGTAGGGCAAGAGCCCTCGCGAAGTGCTCTCACCTCGCAGCTCAACATAAGCAGTTCGACTGGCAATCTTCCATGTGGGAGTTTCCCAAAATTAGGGGTACCTTATTTTGGGGTCCTGATAATAAGGATCCTATTATTTAGGGTACTATATTGGGGTCCCTCATTTTCGGAAACTCCCATCTGCAGCGGGGAGCCCCACCGCAGTGTCGCATGCGATCAAGCCCGAAGAGTCCCCAGTGTCGACAGCAATGGCAGGCCCCGAGAAGTTCAGGCCATAAGAGCACCTGCGGGGACCAGATAACACATGAAGCTTATAATGTGGAAGCACTATTCTAGCTGGATTATAATACGATGTCAATATTAGTATAGTCAAGGATACGAGCATAATACTAGTATGCTAATTTAATGTTCAATGTGAGTATTGAAGAGTCGTGATCACCGTCGTCATTGCTGCTCGTGGCAGCATCATACTCATCATCACCGCAGCACCACCATGATGATGAATAGCACACCACCGGTCGAGGACAGCAGCAGTGGTATCTAGTAGTCGTCGTCGTTGTGGCAGGACTCGAAGTAGCAGTGGAAGTGGTCGCAGTAGAAGAGCAGCAGCAGCAGCAGCAGCAGCAGCAGCAGCAACGGCAGCAGCAGTACGGTGGCACTGGCCCTGGCACTGGCGCTAGAACTGGCACTAGCAGGAGCAGTAGCAAGAGAATTAGCAGTAGTAGCAGCAGTCGTCGTCGCCGCCGCGGCCGCTATAGTAGTAGTACTGGTAGTAGTAGTAGTAGTAGTAGTAGTAGTAGTAGTAGTAGTAGTAGTAGTAGTCGTAGTAGTAGTAGTAGTAGTAGTAGTAGGAGGAGGAGTAGTAGCAGTAGTAGTAGTACTAGTAGTAGTAGTAGTAGTAGTAGTAGTAGCAGTAGTAGTAGTAGCAGTAGTAGTAGCAGTAGTAGTAGTAGTAGTAGACGACATGATAAAGTAGTAGCATTAGTGATGATAGTTCTGAAAGTAGTGAGGGGAGCAACACAACCACTAGACTACGACTACTGTCACTGCTACGTACTACATCATCAATCACACTCCGGCTCCCTGCTGCCTGCTGCTGCCGCCACTGCTACTGCCTACTGCTATTACAGCTCTCCTGCTAGTGCCTGCTGCATGCTACCTGCCACCTGCTACCTGCTCCTGTACATGCTACTGCTACAGGCTGCTGCTTTTGCATTCCCGAGTGTGGACGCTCGTCCATGCATATTTCAACCAAGCGGTGCGAGAAAAGAAACCCCTTGCACTTGCAAGTTTGTCGGTTGGAGGCGCATTCGGCTCACATCGTGCCTGCTCACGAGGGCCGCAGTGGACGAATTCGCCCACGTGTGCCTGGGCGACCAGTGCAGCACGCGCTGGGAACTACTGTAAGTTCGCTCCGTACGCCCACCTCATGTTAGAACAATACCTTAATAATGCAATAACGATGCTATAAACATGCCATAATAATACCATAACAGTTACTACAATAACCCTAAAATACTGCGAGAATAATACTCTGACAGTACTAATAGTGCTAGAACATTACGATAATCCCCTCATTCCAACTGTTCCAGACACTGGGGAAGAGGCTTGTTGATCTTCGCTTCGCCAGTCATGTAGTGCCAATCTTGCTGCTGGCCTCATCACTGTTTACGGCCTATCCCATCTGCGGAGGTGCGACGAAGCCGTATTTTTTATAGTACTATAGTACCCTTACAGTATTGATACAGTATGACCGTATATTTGTTATAACATTATTATGGTGTTATTGTAGTACTATTGCAGTATTACTACGGTAGCAGTACTATATTATTGTTATTGTTACAATTAGCATTAAAATGTGCCCTCTCGCGGCTTCCGGCCTGACAGGCCGGCGAAGATGCCCCAGGGCCTGCCCTTTTCCGACTGCGGTGCCTGCATCATCAGCTCTCTGTCATGCGGCAGAAACTCGAAAAAGCAGCAGCAGCAGCAGCAGCAGCAGCAGCAGTAATAGTAGTAGCAGGAGTAGTAGTAGTAGTAGTAGTAGTAGTAGTAGTAGTAGTAGTAGTAGTAGTAGTAGTAGTAGTAGTAGTAGTAGTAAGCAGCAGCAGTCGTAGGGGACACTTCCGCATCGTTTTTGCGAGGTCTCGTTCTTGCAGCGGGAGGTGATTGCGAGCGATTGCAAGCTTCTGGAGCAAGTGTCAGCTGACTGAACCATAAACGAATACTGACGACGGCATGGCTCGAAGAGCCTTACCATCGACCGTCTGCAATGCCAGCTTGTGCACCTCCGAGGCGGGTTCTTCCAAAGCACGTGCTTTCCGAAACAAAGCCTGCACCTCACACATAAGCCGGCATCGGTGGTCCAGCGAGGCGTTTTCTTCTCTGGTCAAGCCTCGCACCCGTGGTTGCATCAGTCTCTAAACGCAACAAACACAACAGAGAGGCCGCCGCCAAACGACTCGTAGTCAAAGTCCTGAGTTGTGTCCTCAGAGTTACGGATGCACAGGGTAAGCTACGACGTGTCCCAAACATCGGCTGTCAGGCGCCTGTTACAAGCCTGTTGCATCAGTCACAATGCAATGAGGTACAGGAGTGAATCAGGCATGCTGCATTACGCCTTCGAAACCATCCAGCAAGCTTGATGCAGCCAAGACTCGTAGCTCCTGTACAATACGTTCAAGTGCTTGCAATACCTGCAGCAAAGGCCAATATGCGAGTAGCCACAGCTTGCTTCGCACCCTGTCCGTGCCTTGCTTGTGGAATTACTCCGTCAAGGCACTGAACAGCTCACAAACGACAAGCTGAGTACAATCTGACAAGAAAGTGCTTCAAGATGAAGAGGGGCACGTCTTGAAGTTATCCGGGTCGCCTTCCTACGGCCGGAGTCACCAGGCCCGGATTCGCAGACAGAGACGCAGACTCCAGCGACCTCGTCGTAGTACTCCTGGAGATCCCACTTTGCTCCGAAGTATTGGAGGGAGCTGAAGCCGGTCCTCGCATCAAAGAGAGAAGTGGCAGAAGCCTTGCGACATCTCTAGTCTAAAGCCTAATACCTGAACCCAACAACCCTAAACTCTACACCCCACTCTGAACCCCCATTTCGCATTCCATCCCCGGTCCGTGTGGTGCCAGCCGGAGGTGGCGCCTTTATGGCAATGGCAGTGTCGCACCCACCCAGCAGCCGGCCCTGTCAATAAGGGTGCACAGAAAACAAGAGTATCAAAAGTCTTCGGCACGGTCTCTGCTTCGCGCTGTCCTTGCATCATGCATTATTGCTTCAATTCAATGTTTTCTAGCGGGCTATCTCATCGTAGATTCAAACAGCCAGTTGCGGCCTGGAGGGATGTGATGACACTGTCAGTCGAGCGAGGTATGGACGGCAACTCACAGCAGAACTCCACCTTGGAATGTGCCAAATTCTGGACCACGACTGCGTATGGCTTTACAAGACGCCGTGCAAATGGAACTCATCAGAACTCTGAGAGTGGACACCTAGATGACGAGGCATGTGCTTTTGCGTCATGGATTAGCTGACCCCCGACACATAACTGGGATGCAGGCAATCTTGATGGGTCTCTCCGGCAAGTAGGCAAGGTGCGCCTGCTCGTATGAAAGCAGGGCTGCCTCCACTTCTTACAATAAACCCTAAACCGCCTGCTTCATGTAGCTGAAGGGGACTTGCTCGCCTGAGTGAGCAGCTCAGCAGCTTCGGAGAAAGACAGCTAAAGCTGAGGTGCGAGCTGTCTTCGTTCCTGTCTTTGCGAATCTTCTGCAAGCGCTCCTCGAACCTCAGCTCGGCCCAGTTCTGAAGGTTAGGAGCCTGAGCACTGTATTAGGGTTTAGGGTTTAGGGGCTGTCATCTGCAAGACTTCCGGAAGCAACCCAGACTGTGCAAACTCACACTCAAAGGCCCAACAGCTCGGGCAGCTACCAGTGGTGTAGCACGGCCGGTATTCCCAAGAGATCCTGTGAAGGTCTTTTTGTTCTCTGTTCAGGCTTTAGGGCTGACGGTTTAGGGCTTCAGGGCTTAAGTGGCTTAGGGTTTTCGGATTCTAGGACTTGGCTTTAGCTTTCCGTCCTGTATGAGTTCAACAAGCGGTGACTGCGGGCTTATGGTACCAGGAAGGGATCTTACATTTGAGATCAGGGTCCAACTAAGGATCCGAGATTAACAAGCTCCAAACTTCAAGCCCCAGGAGCACGAGAATAAAGTCTACCATCAAATTATTATTCGTTCGGCCTTCTCGTCCACTTTCGTCACTGTTAGTCCATGTGGGTTTGACTTCGATTGCTCGAAAGATCCAGCACGGACAAGAAGAGTAGAAGGCAGCAGTAGCCCTGCAGAAGATAACTCCTGACTTCAACCCCTGTGAACACCCTCAAAAACACCCTAAAGGACCTCCCTTCTTGCTCCTTAAGGCTCGTAAACCGCAAAACCAAAGCCCCGGCCCTCGAAGCAGCAAAACCAACACTTGAAATGACAGTTCCGGAAAGCCCCGCATCTGCACCCCTTTCTGAGAGCCTGAGGGACTTGGGAAACATGGCTTTAGATGGGTAGTTGTCAAAATTAGGGTCCCTTGTTGGGCACCCTAAATATTAGGTGCCGTATTATAATAGGGACCCAAAAAGGGACCAAAATTTTGACAACCACCAACGGAAGCCACGGCAAGGAGCTGCTGCGGTGGATGGTGATCTCTTTTTGCCAGCGTCAGCCAAGCTCCGACCTCTGAGGCCTGAGCCTACTATATGTGCCCGCGCTCCGCGTTCTCGACCCCCCCCCCCCCCCAATGGTATCCCCCCCCCCCGACCCGGGCGACCACACAACAAGAACAAGAACAAGAACAAGAAGAAGAACAGCAGCAACAACAAAGCAGCAGCAACCACGCGGAGGAACCACAGGAACCACAGGGGGGGAGGGGGGAGACAGGAACCAGAAGAACCACAAAAGGGAGGGGGAAAACCAAGAGGAACCACAGGGGGGGGGGGAACCACAGGAACCACAGGGGGGGGGAGGGGGATTACCATGGGGGGGGGAGGGGGGGGGGGGGGTGCGCGGATGCTGGCACATATAGGGGCCTTAATAATTAGAATAGGGCTCCTGTATAAGGCTCCTTAAAAGGGGTTACTATAAGGGTTACTCAAAGGGAACTATGATATAGGGGCCTTAATAATTAGAATAGGGTGTTGGGGCCCATTATACTAAGAGTATAATGAGGAACCCCCAAACATGGTCTTGGTAATTATTTAGGCCCCTATATTATGATTTAAAGCTTGCAAAACTCGCTGCCTTTCCAAGCTCAAGGCGTCACGCAGGTTACATAGGGAACATAGGGGGATCCGGGCCTCCTGCTTTGGCAATCTTGGGTGCAGAAAGTGCGAAATCCAAGTTATCCACATGCCAATGGGCTTGGACAGGGACTCTCTGTGTAACACAGTGAACCCCTGCTACTCGAAACGCGGCCCAGAAAGGGGCACGATATGACGCGATGTCAGAGCTAGTTGCGTCACGCTCATGCAGGCATGAAAACAGTGGGCCTTGATAACGATAATGGGGCTTCAGGTTGTATCATACTACGGAGAACATGGGGGACTACATAGTGCTTTGTTTATTATAGCCTACCGCTTGTAATGTCCTTGACACACTAGGACCATCTTCCCGGCTCATACTGTAGCATGCAAGAACAAGGTGTGAACGATGCGATTCAGTAGCATGTCAGCACAGACAACTGTTTCCAACAAATAACCCTAAATAGACAGACTCTGTGGCAACAAGCTCCGACAGCCAAGATCTAAGACTTCGTAGACTGGATTGCGTAGTCAGACCAGACCTAAGAGCCGCAATCGTCAGGGATCAAATACAAGCGCCAAGGCGAGAACATGCAATCTTCACGGAAAGGTCTACGCCTCTCGCACGGCTCCTGTGGCACAGCGCAAGTGATTGAGAATGTTCTCCTGAGGTGACGACGGCCAGCACTAGCTGCAGCAGCACCTCAAGCCACTTGATAACTCAGAAGCTGGCTTGGGCCGCGGTGTGCCGCTTTGGGGTTTGGGTGTAGAGAGCCGTCCGGCTGAGCTGAGCCCGAAGCCAGGATCATGAACATCCTTCCAAGTTCAGCAAGCACGAATCACACCACACTTCTGAACGCGAGACACCACACAGGAGATATGCCTGATTTGCATTCTACACTTATGCAATATCTTAAGACAACTAAAACACTCAAAGGAATGAAATGTGGCAGGACAGAAAATAAGATAGATAAGACAAGACTAAGACAGCACAAAGCTAAAGATAAGACAAGGACAAATGCTACAGACAAAGACAGTAATACGGACAAGGATAGGGATGAGGATAAGGACAAGAATAGGGACAAGGCAAAACATAAAGATAAATGTGAAGATGAAGATCAAGTGTTGCCTACGGCTAGTAGAGTATCGACTAGGCTAGAATGGCATAAGAAGGGCTAAACTCGAAGAGACTCGAGTCTTGCACCAATCTTGCTGGAGGGCCTCGTATCATCAAAACAGGTGACGAAGACTTCCGTCACAGCAATGTGTCGAGGGATTGCTCATGAATATGGGAGTTTCCGAAAATAGGGGACCTTAATATAGTACACTAAATAGTACGATCCTTATGACAAGGTACCCCTAATTTTCGCAAACTCCCATATCGCCATCGTCACAGACTGATGTGTTCTCAGGCATGAGGATCAGCAAGAATGCTCGGAATGCCAGTAGAGCAGGAAACACCCAAAGCAGAGCTCTACAGAATGGAACCATCGAGGTCGACGGTCGTCTGGTGCTGAGCACGAACGGCATAAACCTTGAGATGCGAACATTATACGAACTGCATGTTCAGGTGTCAGTGCGATCTGTGCCCGCTCGTGCCCGCGTGTGTCCTTGCCCACATCCAGGTCTGAGACTGGTCCGTGTTTGAAACCTGAACGCTGTACCAGTGCAGCGCATGAGGTTTGTGGATTGATTGCATCACATGCCAGCTAATGTCTTGTATGCCTGTCCTTTTCGGCACAAGCCACCTGCGAACTCGTTGCATTTCGGGAAGGAGACTTTCGAGACAGCGGTGCACCTGCCAAACGAATCCACAAAATCCCTGTACAACACCATGACACTTTGAAGCTAGCAAGCAAGCAGGCAAGCTTTCGCTGATACCTGCTGCAGCTTGCATGAACAGCTGAGTCGTTGGTCGTCTGTGCACAGTAATCCACCGGTATCAAAGGAATTCAACCAAGATGCGTTCGCTCCTTACAAATAGGATCCTGCTTCTTTGTGAGTCTACCATTGGGCGTTGGTTTCCGGAAACTCCGTTATTCTCAGAGGCAGCCTCCATCCTCACGACGTCGCTCGGTGCGACGACGGCGCCTCGAGCAAGCTGTGGGTGGAAACGGTGCCAAGCGTACGATCAACTTGCCTTTGGTTAGTAGGGAATGGAGCAATGGAGTACAATTATAACTGCTATTGCCACCATTCTTCCATTCCCTACTAACCAAAGGTAAGTCACTGAGCTTCTAACGCAAGGTCATCCGGCTTCTTTGGCAGGGTGTCACTGAGGATGTCCTGCACGAGGAGCGTATTGCAATAGTAGCTATCTAACAAGGCAAATGGGCACTCCGACACGCTCGTCCTTGTCCACCTCGTCTAAGTTCCGAGTGGTACAGGCAGAGGGCCGGGATGGCTTCTGCAAGGGAGTGCGGCCCACCTCCGCGACTCGAGAACATGGAATCAGTACTGTAAGGGCCTTCCTGAGGGTACTATGAGGTCCCCTTTAAACCGTAGTTGCCGTGGTGATATCCTGTTCAGGTGCTCGTATTTAGGTAGCCGGAGACATGTCGCCCGCGGATTTTTCTCATGGTGCCCCGTACCCTTGCACTACCCTCAGAGAACCCCTCTAGAACTATAGGGAACCCTCATGGAGCCTCGTATAGATTTCTTAGAGAACCCACTTGGTATACCTTTCTAGAACACTGGTAGAGACCTTTTACACACAAAAGAGAAGCCGAATGAATTCGTTTTGGGGTGGTTAAAGCGACGAAAACAAAATCAATGCTCGCTCCTCTGTGCCGCTGACAGACGGCTCCTCCAATCTCATCAGCTTTCGCCTCGAATCAGATTGGAAGACTGTCGCGGGTATCGCGCTTTTTTGTTTTGGGGGGGTGGGTGGAAGGGTGGTGGGGGTTGCGGGTGATTTGGGGTTTAGGGGTTTACAGGTTTAGTGGGCTTTGGGGGTTTGGGGCCTTTCGGGGTCAGGGACTCTGGATTGAATAGGCTAGTCTGGGTCCAATGCTGTCAAACACAACCTGATCAGATCGGAGCAGATCGGTTCAGAGGTCACCAGTTGCTGTGAATAGTACGCAGTAGCAGCAGAAGCAATGGTAGAAATTGCGGGGAGCCGTGGGTTCTTGCGGTTACCTTAACTTGTCAGCATTCCTGGTAAGACCAGATCAACTGCTCATGCCAAGCAGCCATCTCTCAAGGCGCTCCTTGTCACCAGCAGCAAGACAGGCTCCTCGGGAAGTTTGAGGATTTCAGCTATTTGCGGGCCGCCTTACGTGGGCGTCCTGAGAATCAGGATTCTGGCATTTCTAGCACTTCGGGTGAAAGCAGGGGTCCTTAGTTTCGGGACAACACGTTGATGGCCATGCCAAACACGCCCTGATGCTGTCAATCCTTAGAAGAAGAGTCCTGTACTTTTTGGGGGGGGCCAAGCAAAATAAAAGCCTTCCTCACGCAGAGCAGAAGACAGAACCCCCCGCAGTCCTGCGACGGTGTTGTAGGTCACCTGCACAACTCGGATTTCTGCGCCCCTAAACTAAACCCTAAACCCCTAAAACCCCTATACCCTAAACCCTAAACCTCTAACCCCTAATTAAACGCGAAACCCTTCAACCCTAAACCCTAAACCCCTAAACCCCGGACCCTCGGCCTCGTTGGCTTGTAATCCGGCTGCAGCCATTCTTTCGAGCCTGGCTTTGTGTGATTGGCCGCCCATGCTGCAAAACTTGTAGGGCACCTTCTGATATCGCAGCTGCCACCACACTTACCATGCCTCTCAAACTGTTGACTCCCTGGAGCAAAACACAGGAGGATGCACCAGTAGCCAGCGAGGTCCAACTCACCCTGGACGTGGCAATCAGGCACAGCAGATTTGATTTGGGGTTTGGGGCACACGGTGTAAGGTTCGTGGTTTAGGCTACTCTCTTGGACTACTTCACACGACACATTTTCATGACTGCTGCAGCAGGTTCTGCATGCCCCCACTAACCAGCGAGGCCTTCTGCACACAGGCCTTGATGACACTGCTGTAGCCTCGGGATACGGGGTGCCAAAGCACAAAGCGATAAACCACCGGCCGACTGACAAAAATCTAGAGAACCCAAACTCCTAACCTCTCCTACCCTAAACCCCCAAACCTCTAGGTTTACCCCAAAACCTCAACCCTAAACCCCAATACCCCAAAACCCTGGAGCCCCAAACCATAAACCATGATCATGGGCTCCCGGCTTACTTCATCTGCCTGGATGCCCTCGCTGAGCATCTTCTCCTGGCGTTCGCAGGCTCCTTTCGTGCTGGTCTTTTAAGGTTTGGGTTTAGAATTTAGGGTTTAGGGTTTACGGGCGTTTGTTTGGGGTTCAGGGTTTGGCTACATGACCAGTCCCGGATCACAATGTGGTGTATCTTGGCGTAGTAAAACTGATACTCCCTTGATTTGCTCCTTCTCCCCTTGCTGTCCTATGCTAGCGACATGTCACATCTGAATACAGCAAACCAACCTAAACTGTAGCACACTGCACTGTACAGGCTACACTACAACGATCCTCGCACATGGCGCGGCAATACATCAAATAGCTACAAAACCCTACAATAGCTTACAAAAACTTTCTACGTAGGATGTTGAACCGAAGTCCGGCAGAAGACATATGTAGTAGGAACAAAAACTGTTCATACAATGTCACTATTCATACATCCAACTCGCCGAGGATGCCAGCCATGTCTCAGCCCGCTCAATGTCGCGTCGTTGAGCACAAGCCTTTGCGAGCAGTGCAGTAAACGACTCTTTTCTTTTTGAACCCTCGTGTCTTTTGGTGTCCGCAAGACGTCCAGCTTGGATGAGGGGTTTTACTGCCTGCTCTGTTTCACGTAAACGACTCTGCGGCTTAGGGTTTTTAGAGCTAAGGGCCATGGAAGCCATCAACCCTGAACCTTGAGAGCATCAAGTCCCCCAATCCTGCACGAGTCCGTTGCGTATGATGTTCGCGGACGTGAATCTGCTCATTGATTTGAGGCCCCCGGCGTTGATGACGCTGTTGTAGCTGAAGGCATCAGTCTTGACCTCGGTCGCACAGTCAAAACATGTCAATGTGAAAAGAAACTTTACGAAGCTCTCCACGGCCCTCCTTGGACATACTCTTACAGGGCTCCATGGACCTGGACCCGAGGCCGGTACTCCAGCAGCCAGCATCCTTTCCAGCCACACTTCCTTGCCGGCTCGGCATTGCAGCAGATGGCACACGGCACACCCTAACCCGGGCCGGCCGCTCGGCCCGCGGCCGCACGTGACACGCGGCCCTTCTGCGCGCAAGCGTTGATGACGCTGTTGTAGCTGACCTCATGGCGGGACGTTCAGGATGCTGAGATTCGCATTTAAGTGACGAGCTACAAGTTCAGGCCTCGTTTGCCTGAATGCCAGCTTCCAGCATGCGCCCAAGCCTTCGTGACAGCATATCGACTTGCTCTCCAACGAACAAGGACTGCAGCAACCAGTGCGCGGCTGCACAGTCACTGATGCTAGACATACCGCAAGCTCTAGGAATCTGGCCACATCTCGGCGCGCTCAACATAGCCAGTTTGTGCACAAGCATTGATGACGCTGTTGTAGCTGACCTGAACACACTCAGCAAGCTGAGAAGCATTACGGGAATCATATGGGAGTTTCCGAAAATAGAGGACCTTACTATGGTACCCTAAATTTTTAGGACCCTTATTATAAGGGGAAACTCCCATATGGGAACAAGGGTAGCTCATCTCCTGTGTGCCTCGTTGGGCTTCACATCATTGTCCTGCATCCAAATCAGCCATTCCTCCGCTTTCTGCGGCCTCCTCGGCGTGCTGCGACCTAAACCCTACCTATACTCGAAACCTAACACACGCCAAATCCTAAACTCAACCCACTCATGGCAACTCAACGACTTGCCAGAAAAGAGTGGGTCTAGGCCCAGCAAGCCACCTCGCTTTCGCAAAGACGTTGATGGCCGCATTCAGATGGATGCGGTTTGGCCTCGCACAGGACTTTTCTGGAACTCCCTTGTTCTTGGCAGCAGCCGAAGGTATTTATCTTCTCTGGTTGAGTTATCACTGCCGAAGTTACTATTATTGTTATCACGACCAATACCGTTCTCAATAGTACCTCGGTTCCTGTTAGTGAGACAGCTTCATGCCACTTTTCGACCAGTAGCTACGATTACTCTGCCTTCTTTTATTCCAACTGTCATGACTCTAGCTGCTACTGCTACTACGGGCCATAACGCTTACTAGGTACTATTCCCATAGCAATTACTGTGATTGCACCTTTACTGATACCGTTACAAAGATTGTGGCTACCACTGCTTCTGTTTCTAGCAACCCTCGTCCTACTACGACAACGCTGCGACGACGACTACTACTACCACTACTACTACTACTACTACTACTACTACTACTACTACTACTACTACTACTACTACTACTACTACTGCTGCTACTACTACTACTACTACAACTACTACTACTACTACTACTACTGCTACTACTACTACTACTACTACTACTACTACTACTACTACTACTACTACTACTAGTACTACTACTACTACTACTACTACTACTACTACTACTACTACTACTACTACTACTGCTACTACTACTGCTACCCCCAAGAAACCAGACCCTGAGCCCTAAATGGATGAAATTTTCGAACTTCAGGCCTGATACTGCGAGCCGACATTTCTGCAAAGACCGCATCAACGTCCCACCTGTCGCAGAGGAGGGCTTTAGGGCGTAGGGCTTAAGGGTGCTATAAGGGTACCATACCGGTACAATGAGGTTAGAGGGGTACGAGAAGGGTACTATACCAGGGCTTGTAGATTATTGCTTTTGGTAAACGTCCTTTGTTTCTCGCGGGTCAAGGAGTCGTCAAAATTGCTAAGCCACCGATTCCAAAACCCAAAGCCTTAAAACCATGAAACCTAAACACTTCATCGCCAACCCCCTTCACCCCAAACCCAAGCCCGAACCCTAAACCCAAGCCCGAACCCTAAACCCTGTACCCTGGACCCCCATCGCAAACCCGAACTTCCCCAGGATATTCAGCGGCTCGCACCAGCGCCGCTCGCGGGCAAGCTTTGCCAGAATGGACGTGAACACACCCGGGCCTGGAAAAGTGGTTCATAAGCACGGCATTTTTCGAGTCGGGATGTGGGGCTATACCACACTTCTCCTGAAGAACCTATTAGTAGTTATTTCCGACCCCCATATTACGGCTTACAAGTAGGGGCCTTTACGGTTCAGAATTAGGGTTCAAGGATATGCTGCTTCAGGGTTCAGGGTGTAAGGTCTCTGAGGCTCAAGGGTTGAGGGCACCAGGCTTTACTTGTTTGTTGAGGGCACTTTCCCTCAGCTGAGCTAGCATCTAGAACCTATTAGTGGTTATTTCCGACCCCCATATTACGGCTTAGGGCCCTTTACGGTTCATAATTAGGGTTCAAGCATCTAGAAGGAAATGGGGGCTTAAGACCTAAAGGAGTACGCTGTTTTGTCGACCCCTCTTTTCCCTCCACCACGTCTCGCCTCCAGAAGGGCTTAACATAGGGGCCTTAATGATTAGAATAGGGCTTTCGCCCATTCTACTATGTTTATAGTAAGGAACCCCCAAAACAGTATTAGCAACTACTTCGGCCCCTATATTAGGGTGTGGGCTTCCGGAGCTTTCTGTGGGCTCCAGGCTCCCTAAACCCTAAACCCGGCTTATATACACTCCGACCTACTTGGCTTCGTAAACGACTTTGGGGAAATGAGTAAGGCCTGCCACAGGACGACATGTTAATAACCCTTCTTGCAAGCCATACTCGCTGCTGCAGTTCTGTTCTAGTCGCAATCTCTCGCACGCGGGATATGACTTCTGGTCGGGATGGGATTCCGAAGCAACCATGCTTCGCCTATGCCGCTCTCAATCTAGGGGCCTGACAACGACCGGACAAAGCATCTTTGTAGCCAAAGCGTGAAGCGAATTCAGGGGATGACATGCGGCCATCGAAGCTGCAACTCTTTGCCTGAGTTTCTTGGTAGCGCCGAGAGCGTCTGAGAGAATCGAACCTTGCACAGTCAAGGCATGCCGATACTACCGGATCGAATCCCACAGCTTGGCAGCAGCTCTTTGAACAGAAAGCCCTTGGCTGGGCTATTGTTCCATGCGGTTGCTGAGCCTCGCACATCACCCTCCTCTCTGTCCCGCTGAAGGGCGGCGAATACTTTCTCAGGAGGTCGATCCCTGACCGAGGAAACATAATGCAAGACCATGGCCCGACACAGCAGCAAGCAAGCAAATGCACAAACGAAGTGGCACAAGTATGTCAGTGTGTCTGTCTGTCTGCATGCATGTACGCATGTACGCATGTATGCATGCATGCATGTGTGCATGTGTGCATGCATGTATGTATGTATGTATGTATGTACGCACATGCGTGTACGTATGTATGCATGCATGTATGTTCGTATGTACAGGCAACCATCGTCTGTTTGAGCGTGCGACTGTATGGAGGAGCGTAGCTGCTATTACCCCCAACTTGTAGCATACCATTACTCACCAAAACCTGGACAGTAGCATTGTACTACGACATTCGTCTTCTTGCTGTTATTGCTTGTCGTCATAATTCGTACAAGTACTGTCATGATGGCTCTTCTGCCATTTGTGCTGCCAGGCATGTCACGACATGCTTTCTTGCTTTGATCCTGTGCGACTGACCATGTCCTGCGAACCCGATTTCGACTGCGATGCCTGATTCCACTCGTCTTGCTAGTCTCGTTGCCATCATGACGCCTCTTACTGCTACGGTTTCGGGGTTTAGGGATTCTGCGTTTAGTGGGTCTTTTGTTTAAAGGCCTTGTTCTGCGTTTAGTGTAGGGTTTAAGGTTTAGCTCTCCGATGAAGCCAAATGCCAGCCTTGCAATCATAACACTCTGCCGACCACCGAATAAATAGTCGCACGTACATATGCAAAAATAAGCAATGAGTGTTTAGATGCCTATACGCATACACATACATACACATATACATACACACGCACATACGGCATACACATGTACACATACAGAAACGTGGGCATAGCCATAAACATATACATATAGAGGCAGGCATGCGCTGTTTTGCAGGCTGAAGCGCAGGCTTAACTAGTTGGTATGCGTGTCTTCATAGTGGAACTCTCTCTGCACAAACACAAATGTGTTCGATCATTCATACATACATACGTAAATACATGCGTCCATGCATGCTTGCTTGATCATGCATGCATGATCATGCATGCATGCATGTACCTATGTATGTATGCATGTATGTACGTCAAAATTGTCACTGTATGTATGTACGTATGTACAGAGCCCAGCTCGTTTCGAGCCTATACTTCGCATGATATCTATGTTCATGTCTCCTGGAGTTGCTGTGCTTGGCAGCGGCTGAAAGGAAGAAGGCATCAAAGCTCATGTGGTGATGTGGGTCATACTTGTTTGCTCAGTCGTGAAATGTGTTGCAGATCTTTCAGGAGTTTTGGGCTAACTCAATAGCACTGGAACTTCGAAAGAGATACCCAACCCAAACCCGGCATTGAGAACCATCAGAGAAAGGCAAGCCTAGCCAAAAACCCGAACCCTAAACCCTAAACCCCTAAACCCCTAAAGCCCTAAACCCTGGAACCCCTAAAGCCCTAAACCCTGGAACCCCTAAAGCCCTAAACCCCTGAACCCCTAAACCCTAAACCTCATGAACAGCGAAAGCCTCATCTCCTTGCCATCGTTCTCCCGAAAGTCGGCTCCATTCTCCTTTCCCAGGGTCGTGGGACACCTCACACCCTGAGCCCTCCGCCCTTCTCCTCAGATGAAACCGGAAGAATCGAAGCCCCGAACCCCAAATCCGAGGAAGTACATGCCTTTCTGTCGGAGCTCTTCAGAAGCTCCAACTCTGCTTCACAGACTTCTCAAGTGAGGTCTGCTTGTTGCAGCACTCACAAGGAGCAGAAGCAGTCATGCCCTGCCTTGGGAAAAGAGACCATGGCGCTGATGCAGCGCCGCTTGACGAAGACCTGCCACTTCCGCTTCGGAGATCAGTGCATCAAGCAATGCTCGCTCCTCCTCAGCCTCAAACCCCAAACCCTAAACCCCCCAAATTCTAGCATCAATAGTAAACAGTGTATTTATCTACAAATTGGCAGAATTATCTTCTAGTTTATCATTACTTTCTTCTGAATTATCAAAGAAAGCTTGCTATTGGAGTCGCCTGTACACTAGGGGAAAACTGTTCCCTTAGCGGGCGCCTGCAAAATGCCCTTCCAGGAAGCTTATTGTATTCGTATGGGTCCCGTGTAGTAGCCTGACACTAGCATTATCGTAAACACATACAAGCAGTACCCTTACACTACTTACCTTTGTAGCAAGCTTTTGCAGCCTTGTGGCAAGCTTATAGTACTCTAGGAACCTTTTCTGTCGCCTTGCAGCCTTTTACAGTAGCCTTCGGCAACTCGGCGCAGGATCAGCGGCCCTAAACCCTAAAACCCTAAACCCTCAACCCCTAAACCCTAAACTCCTAGACCCTAAACCCCTAAACCCTAAACTCCTTGCTTGTCACTGCGAGCCTATGCACATCGGCAGGGCCGAAGGCCACACGAATCCTGCCGCCGCCAGCGCCAGCCGGGCAAGCTAACTGCACAACATGTCCTCAAACAAAGAACTAGACGTATGCAGATATGTGTATATGCATCATATGAACATATATCATATGATTATATGTATAGTATATAGTCTTATGAAGCCTAAAGCAACGTAGCATGATCTGATGTAAAGATGGGATTACCGACTACACTATGCTATGCCATTCCATGCCATGCCATGACATTCCACTGTGCTAAATTGCAACATGCTGCACTACACTGTGCTATACACTACACTACTGTTCGATATTCCACTATCATATACTGCCATAGACTAGAGTAGAATCGAACAACGTCTGGTAGAATGCAATAATGCATGATGATACGACAAAATGTAGCATGATATAGTGTAGCATAATGTAGTATGATGTAATACCGTGTACTGGAATAGACTACTATCTTAATTCAGTAATACATAACCGTACCATAGTCATAGTATGATGTGCGTAGATGATCGTCCTATGAATCAACATACGGACACTCAGTAATACTCACGCTACTTAGTAGAAGACCCACGGTGAACAATACAGGATTATCTCAAACTGTGTACGTAGAGTCGTTGCTCTCACAAGCCGCCGCGCCTTGACTTGAGGGTAAAATCGCCTTGGAAGCCCGGTATCGTTGCAAAGCACACACGGAAACGAACACAGCCCCTGTGGCAGACGCTACGTAGGAACTACTCAAGAGCCTCACGTTGCCGAAAGCTTGCTAATCAACAGCCAGCATGTGATGATGGCCACTCCCTTCATAAAGGCAATGAAAGCAAGTCAAGCCTTGCTGTCCGTGCCAAGTCACGGAGAGCACGACGATGGTGTCGCCGCAGCGTTGTAAAGTTGAGGCGAGGTGGGCTAGATTTATTGTTGACAGATCTTGAAACCGCTTCTCTGACCCTACTGGATGGCTGTGGCTGCTGACTCAAGCTACTCCTTGCTTCTACCTTGGACGGCTGTTTTGCTGGATGATCCCGCAAGCATCACTGCCTGTGCTTAAGGAGCTCATTGGTGAAAGTCTAGGCACAAAGCCTGGTTCTGTCTCCAAAGCTCCTGTCTAGTAGAGAGGAGGCGGCTAATGTCGCAGCCAGCTGTAAGGTGCCTCGGATGGGCAGCCAAAATGCAACTGAAGCAACGTAAAGACATCAGAAGGGCCCCTTGTGAACGAGTCTTCTTCCGAGCGGCTGCAAGGTTGAGAGCAGCAGCCCGCAGGGGACAGCTGCCAGGCGGAATCCGCGATGACTACGCGGTAAAGTTGCTGGGAGCCAATGCGAGAAGTCGACGAGGCCCGGCAGATCTCTGCGCAGACATGCAGTCTAACATTATTTTGGGGTTCCTTATTATAATTATGGTATAATGGGCCCAAAAACCCTACTTTAATTATTAAGGCCCCTAGAGTCTGGCCCGGGCAGGACTGCTTTGCTTGCTCTCTTCACGCCCCGGCTCCTTGGGTGCCTGCTGTTGCGACAGCTTGGTCTCCAAGCTCAAGTCGACCTTAAGGCAGGCTCAGCGGTCCCATTGGAAGAATGTCGCTAGATGGGGTCGGGCTCTCTTGGGTTCAGTCCTATAGGACCATGCAAACATGCAGAATATCCTCAAAGAAGCGCATCTTGCAGGCAGACTGGCCCCTTTTGGGGTCGGACTTCAAAGATAAGAGCGGGTCCCAGCTCCTGGTTGGCAACGGCTCTGCTTGAATAGTCTTAATACTGCCGATGATGAGGTGGCTGAGGAAATTGGCTCTGCGTATTCCTACCCATGGAGCAGTCGTGGTCCTGGTTCTACGTGAAGCAAAAAATCGAGCTTGCCTTGCCTCAATGAGCAGGGTGCACGCGTCATTCATGTAGGCGATGACTGTGTCCTCTTTCATGCGGACCTGCCACGAATAGGATAAGACACTGTAATCTAGAAGGAAAGCCTGGGCTGCCAAATGCTCGAAGCATACAACTGCATTCAATGGCATAGCCTGCTCAGACGCCAGAGTGCTCACAGGACCTACAGCTCAAGAGCTCTCTTCCCACTTCCACAACCTCGGAACTTCTCGACCGTGGTCAACTTCTACCAGTCGCTTTTGATATGGTGGTTGTGCTGCTGCTGGTGGCGGTGGTAAAGATGAGGAGGAGGAAGATGATGATGATGATGCTGCTGCTGATGGCGGCGGGGTAATTTAATTTAGCGGCGATGGCGGTGTTGATGATCATCATCACCATCATCTCCATCATCATCATCATCAACATCATCATCATCCTCATGATCGTCATATTATTGTTATTTCGCATCTTGGTCATCACCAGAATCATCCCCATCATGATCAGCAGCATCGATATCCTTCCCGATAACAGTACCAGAGCTGAGTTTAACATCGCTCAATTCATGATTGGCAGTATTGCTTTCATGGTTCGTATTGGTGTGATCAGAAAATGATTGGCACTCTTGATGTTGCTGCTAGCGCTGCTGTGACTACTACTGAAACTGTCGGTGTTGTTATCATGGTCACTCGACTGTGAACCCGAAACCCTTCAGCCGAATACTGCATGTAGAGGCCTCGTAGACTTGCGAGGGGGCATCTCGGGGAGCCAAGCCTGTCAGTTGCAGTAGACATCTTCAAGCCCTCACTGGGCCTTTCAAGGCCGTGAGGGTGGTTTCTAGCCTTCCGGCGCTCAGTGTGTGTGGGGGGCTTCCAGTCCGGGGCATGGGCTTCTTTGGGCTCAAGCTTCAGCGCTCTCGGGCTGTCGCACACACGGAGATCCTGCAGATTTCAGCCTTGTCCTTTTGCACCGTAGACTGTTCAAGGCATGATTACAAGGTAATTTATGCTCATCGCGACAAATCCTAAAGCTTAAAGCAAACACCCGAAGTCGGACTCTCAGAGTCGTGGCTCTCAGAGATTCCACGATGTAGCGCGCTCGGGCTGCGGACTCGCCACCGCTGGAGATGGCCCGAGGTAGTACAGGAGAACCACCTGCTCGTTGGCACTGATACCGCACATCATGGCAGAAAGACGGATGAGGAGAAGACACGTGCCTGGAGAATCAAAGAGCGAAATGCAGAAGACCAGAAACAGCACAACCTACTTCAAGCTACGATACTATAGCCATAATATATATATATATATATGTGAAACACTATAGACTGTTGTAGCAGTGGCAGCGCTAAATGCACCGTGGGCCTTCCTCGAAGAGCAATGGCTGGCATAGACAGATGCCTTCAAGGATTTAATGCTTAAGAGTTAGGGGAGATGCCTTCAAGGATTTAAGGCTTAAGAGTTAGGGGTTAGGAGAGGATTAAGACATCTGAATTGAAGAATCTTAAGGGGTTAGGGGTTAGGGTTTAGGAGAGGATTGAGACATCTGAGTTGAAGAATCTGAACATTTCCGTTGCTACGACCTTCGGTCATGGTGTCCAACAGGCTTCAGATTAAGGCAGCTTAAGGTCCCGGGTTTAGGGTCCGCTGGAAGAGGCCTCGGATGTTGCGAGACACGTCGTGAAATTCGATGAAACAGAAACGGAACAGAAGTTCAAAGTTGCTTTTTTGCAGCTCGCATGGTCTCCCAGCATACTGTGTCGAATGACTTTGGGCAGAGAGCGTATATGGTAGAGCACTAGTAATATAGTATTATACCTACAGCAATATATCCGATGATGTTATGCTAGACGATGATATGACAGAATGTGACTTAAGGAATAGTGCAGAGCAAAACAGCATATAGCTGTTTATAGCAGAAAATGTAACAGGATATTGATGCACTGCAACATAATAAATAGTATTATAGACTACACTAGAATACATAGGAGCATATTAGATAATAGAACGGAATAGAAAAGATTATGTGTAGCCCCCACTTCTCGCTGCCCTTTCCTTGCGTAGCACACGTCTTCCCGACTTTTTCGCAACGCCTGCTCGGGATCCACGAGGGGAGGAGCCTCTTCGTCCTGCGCAAGCTAGAACTCCGTGCGTTACTGCAGGGGCTACTCTTACTCTCAGACAATCACATAATGTCTCTATTAAAAAGGGGCTAAACATATTAGAAGGATAACTACAATGATGGGGGCTACTCTAAATCAGGGTTGCAACAAAAACTGCTAATCATAAGGGTTACTATAACTATAAGGGTTACTACAACGAAAATGATCCCAGATTTGGGGAAGCGGCCCCCTTGCAAAGCTGATTGGTGACGAGCTTCAGCGTCCTCCTCGAGTCTACAGTGGTGGAGGATGCCACGAGAGCGTCCGCGAACGGCTCTCTTCAGTTGACTGGCGAGCACGGAAGAGTTTACAAAACTGCTTTCTTATTTCAACATGTCTGAGGTGTGTACGTGTGGAATGATGTGCAAACGTGGACAGCTCTGTTGGAGACCTGCATTTCCTGAAGTTCGCTCCTGCAGTTTGCGACATCAAAACCACCTTGGAGGTTGATCTCGATAGGACTGCAGAACACGGCCTCGTGCTGCCAGCCACGATGCAGTAGCCGATTTGATCTAGACACCTCAGAATATAAGAGGCATTGGCACAGGATAGTGAACAAGCTGGTCCTATGAGACCTCAAGCGAGCAAAGCGATTGAGTCCGACACGAATCTATGGATCGTAGACCTCGCTCGCACAAAGCTTTGGCTTGCTCCCTCTCTGGGACTTGCATGTAATATAGGGGCCTTAATCATTAGAATCGGGTTTTGGGGTCCTTTATGAATTAATTGCAAGAAGGAACACCAAAACAGTATGGGCATGTTCCTGTCCGGCTGCAGTCTGGCCTTGTTCATCTTCTGCCAGCTCAGCCGCATCCGCCTCTGCGGGATTCCCATACCGTGTTCCTTCTAAGCAACTCGCAGTGATGCTTTCGATCATAAATATTGCTAGTTCGAGTGAAGGTACAAGCACAACCAGCGATGATAAATAACACCGACAGCGCTACCCTTCCTCACAAGGCCACCTCGGCAGAGGAACGGACTTCGTACGTCCAGGCCGAAGCCGCCTCCCAGACTTTGGAGTTTCAGGGTTTCATGCCCGACTAACGGCTACAACTGTTGCCAGGAGCTGCAACTGCGTGCAGAGCAAACAACCAAGGACCAGCAGAAGAGGTTTAGGGTTTAGGATCGTCGACACAAACCTTGAACTCTGTCTTCCAAACCTATTACGACTACGGTTACTATTACTATTACTATTACCTTGCTATTGCTATTACTGTTAATATTAGTTGTTCTTGAAAAGAACGCTTCGGAACGTGCCTCCCCGTAGAAGACATCTACAGCCTCCGCCGGGGTTCGGTTCAGCCGACCTGCGGCCTTCAGCGCGGCAGCCTCACATGTAGCATCATAAGCATTTATACAGTCCTGTGCACTGCTAGCTGTCTGTGAAAATCTAATACTATATTATGTATATATATATATATGTGTAAATATATAATAAATACATAATAACAAGGGGACATATAGATATATCGATAGATATAGATATAGACATAGATACAGAGAAACATATAGATATAGATATACATATGGGTGGTTGTCAAAATTAGGGTCCCTTTTAGGTTACCCGAATTATTCGGTGCCGCATTATAGTAAGGACCCAAAAAGGGACCCTAATTTTGACAACCACCCATATAGACATATAGACAACGCAAATATGGTGATATCGAGGTATGTCGATTTCGAGATATAGAAACGTAGAGATATGGACATTAGAAAAGCAAGTACACACATGTATAGAAAGGCAGATAGATAGATAGATAGGTGGATAAAAAAACGTAATAGGAGAATAAGATAGGTAGATAGATCGGTAGATGATAGACAGATAGACAATTGATACGTAGACATAACTTTATACTGCTACAACGTAGTGTAGCTTCCTCGTGCACGGCGACGCAAAACGCTCACTGTCTGAGGTAGCTGGTTTTGTCGACTGCGCCGGCGCTGTACAGTGGTGCCAGAACTTCAGTCTTCACAAGCCACCGGTGAGGCATGCGGTCGAAACAGCACGAGACTTGTATAGTTCCTAAGCCTAGCGGCATGCCTGTAAGCTTCTGCTGTAAACGACCCAGAAAGAAAGCTGCTGCAAGAGCAAGCTCAGCTCTGAGTGGTCTCGAGGTCCTCCTCTACCTGGCACATCCCGCACCGGGGGCCTAGGGCTCCAAGGTCCCACCTAGTGAGATACGGGAGTTTCGGAAAATAGGGGACCCGAATATAGTACCCTAAATAGTAGGATCCTTACGTGTATTCTAAGGACCCCAAAATAAGGTACCCCTAATTTTCGGAAACTCACACAGAAGTTGGTAGGGGAATCGAGGGCAGGCGTACCGTGCCCTGGACGACGAAGCGATGAAGCACTACTGCGGGGACGATGCCCAGAGAGGATTCCATCCGTGCCAAGCCAAGGATCTTCCTGCAAGGAACGGTCGCTCCGTCTGCGCATCACTGTGAGTGTTTAGGGCTCGGTTTAGGTCTAGAGTCTGGGTAATACTGACGGTTGCTCACCTAGAGAATAGTTGTTTTCGTACAGAGGAAAATCACAGACAGCAAGAAGAAGCAGAAGAAGAAGCAGACGAAAGAGGTGGGGCGAAACCCACTGCATCAAGTTAGGTCCTCTCCCACTCGTGGCGCTTGGCCGGACTGTGCACAAGGTTCATGATCAGAATATGGCGCACAGAGCAAGGTGCCAGCAGTCGCTCGCGCCAAATCGCTTGCAAGCTTGCTTTGCCGAGATTCTGTACAAAGTCGGGTGTGAGGAGAATGATTCTTTGGTCAGCATCTTCTCCTGCGCCCGCACTCTCAGCGCGCAGAACCAGAGGCGTCATGCCCTCTTCGTTGATAGCTGCTTCCAACTGCGCTAAAGCAGATGGCCACTGGCAAACAAGCACACATTGTGCTGTTCCCTTCCCGTCGAGGCGACTAACGATACGCTTCAGCTCTGAGGCAATCGCAGCAATCTTCGAGCTGAATCTGCAGCTTCTCTTTCCCGTCATCGATGGCAGGGCATCGAGTAACACAGCCTCGTCCTCCTCCAGATCAATCTGGCAGTCCGGACAACGACCATTTATCCGACCCAAGCAGGCGGCATGGGCAGTGTGGCCACATGGGAAAAGCAGCAGCTTGCCACCATCCTCTTTGCAGCAGAGGCAGACCTTCTCTGATCGGAGCTCCTCTGGTACAGTATGGTGCAGTCCAGACGCCGCGGCGAGGGCCCCTGCGACGCGCACGCGCTGGGCCGCCCGGCGCTCCGCGGCCAGGGCTCGCCCGGAGGCCAGGCGAAGCCTTGCGAGCGTCTCGCGTCCTTCATCGGTGATCTGGTTGCAAAAGCCGCAGCCATTCCGCCCGAGCGCGGGCCTGTGGAGCGTGGCCGTGGCCACCTCGCTCGACGCAGTAGGGTCAGGGTCCTTTCCCAAAGCAGGGCCCATCCGAGTCCGAGGCATCTTCGCCGGAGCTTCGCCTTCTACGGCTGCCTGCGCCAGGCGGCGAAGCCGCGCCTCCGGCGGCGACTCCGTGGCTTCCAGGAGAAGCTTCAGCTGCTCGGTGCCGCTGTGGGCACAGGCCAAGAGCACTTCCCGCTCGTAGCCTTCCACGGAGGTGCCTGAAGCATGCCAAAAAAGTATGCTTTTGTGAGAGAAAAAAAAGGAACCACCCTGAGGAATCATGCTGATAAAAAGGCAGTAAGTACAGGCAGAGGCGGCAGAGGTGCCCAAAATCTTGAAGGCCTTCAGTCGCAGCTCGAAGTCATTTTGCTGTGCATCGGCAAGCACCACATCTGCACTTTTTGACTTCCAATGACCGACAACATTCTCCAAGAGTAGCTGCGCAACTTCAGCGCCGTAGTCCTCCGCATCCTTGCTCATAGAGCCGGCTGTAGTCTCGTCTGCGCAGGTGCAGAGCTGAAGCAGCACGCGGGCCTCCGCTTTTTCACACAAGAGAGTCAAAACCCATCGAGCTGGCCCGGAAAAAAAAAAAAAACACACACACACACACACAACAGCACACTTCTCTAACAGGGAATATGAGGAACCCCCCCCCTCTTCGAAGGCGAAGGAAAGGATCCTGGCCTGCTCGTCACTCACCGCGACCTTCCTGATCTTGGGTTGCGCCTTGTACTTTGCAGCAAGTCGCCTCACAGAGGCTTTCGTTAAGAGACCAACTATGGGTCAAGATCTGTCTACCTTTCTACGATACCAGTAGGGCTTTGGGTGTAGGGTTTTGTTAGGGTTAACGAAACCTTCTTCATGTTGATGCAACTACGAGACCACTCCCAGCTCTGGGCATGAGGTTCTGGAGCGCAGTACAATTCATGCCGTCATGTCGCTGTTCCAAACATCGGAAACTGTACACGAGGCGTTCCCCAACAGAGAAGTGTACCAGATGAGTCTCTTCGGAGATGCCTGCACAAGGCTCAGCGGACTACTTGGGCATCACACAGAAACTTGAAACTTCTTCAGATCTCAGCCTGGGCCCCCGGTGTCGCGACGCTCGGGAGCCTGTAGTAGCGGCCAAAGGCACTGGGTCACACGTTGCGCTCAGAGGAAAACTCTCACTCTCGCGACTTTTTTTACCCCGCGTCGCTGTCCGTCTCCGCCAAAGCTTTCGAGGACCAGGCCTCAGCCTCTTCTGCGGTGATGCTCTGTGGAATGGCGAGTTGGCAGTAGCAGTAGTCCAAGGCATAAGACCACTGCCAGTAGTTGGCATACAGCAGATAAGGGTTGAACTCTGTCACCGCAGCCCTTGGTGGTAGAAAGATCAGATTGGCCATGGCTGTCCCCGAGAAGCCCGCCAGCCGACAACTGCCGTAGAGACTCCGCGCGAGCTCCAGCAAGGACACCGCGCCGGCATCTGCGTAAACAAGAAACTCCCGTTTTCGGAAGGCCTCCTCCAGGAGAAGGGCACCCTCCACGGGCCTCGCATTCCGGGTCCCGCCGTGGCGGCCAAGAAAAATCCCGGCGGAGGACGCGTTGCCGCCTTTGCCGCTTCGGAGCGGTAGCCCGGTGTTGCAGGCCGCACACTGCGACAGGGCGGAGCTGAGGGAAGGCGTTGCATTGGCACTCACAGGCACCAAGGGTGCAAGGCCATCTCGACACGTCACGGAAGGCTGGGACTGGGAGTGAAGGAGCGGAGAGCTTCGGATGGCCTGCTGGAAGCTTTGACGAAGCTCTCGGCTCCAGGCGGCAACCCCACTGATCCCGACCACTCGGTGCGGCTCCAAAGGCACTCGTTGAAGCAGCTCCAAGCCGAGAAACTTGCAGAGCAACTTCGTATTTTCGCTCATGGACCTTCGTCCGAGAGGGGGAAGCACCAGAGACACCCGATGTCCAGCTCGCCTGGCACCCCCAACAACCGCGAAAACTCGAGGCAGCACGTTGTCGATAGCATGTCCGAAATACCCGCTCTCCCGCAAGTTCATATACACCACCACGACTTTCGAGGCCAAGTTTTGCCCCTGCTGCCTCTTTGAGCAGTTCATGCGCAGAAAGGCTGCTTTCTCCAACAAAAAATCGCCGAAGGGTATGTCTAGTGCATGCAGTTCTTCCGCAGTGCAAGGCGATACGAACATCACATTATCATGTCCAGCGTACTCACCATGTGTGGGACTTGCGCGGGTAATCTTGTCAGGGTAGGGCAACTCCTGGCGCTTCGCAAGCGCAAGCATCGGTATCATCCATGCGCGTGTTCTAAAACGAATGATTTGGGTGGTGTTCTGAAGGAGAGCATAAGACATCAGTCGATCTGCCTGGTCTATAGCATCCTCCACAATCCCAAGATCCTTTGCTGACGGAGCCTTCTCCGGCACCTGTCTACCGGGTCTCCTCGGTGCTGGCCATTCGAGCTGGGTGCTTGGCTTCTGCCGCGGCTGCACGTCCGACAAAGCTGATGGGAAGGGCTGCGGAAGTTGCCCATCTGTGGCACGTTCCAGATTGTATCCTGCAATCCTCCAACTGCCACGATCAGGAAGCTTGCTTGCTGGGAGAAAAATCGTCAAGTTGTACCAGAAAAGTATGAAGTTGCCTGCCAGCAGCAAGAGCCCCGATGTGACCCGCTTCCAAGCTGGCCAGGGAGACTGCAGGCCGCAGCACGTGGAGAGCTTGTAGCAGACATGCCAGAGGTGGCTTTGGAACCAGGAGCACGCAGAATTCCGCGACTCCTCGGTGTGGTCGTCTTCTTGCGTGTAGGCGTCCTTCCTGCGCGTCGGCTTACGATGCGATCTCTGTGATCGCATAGGGTCCCTTGCTCTTGCGATTCCATGAGAAACTCAGAACTCCCCCAAGAGCCCTCATGACATGAGCAGCTCGAGCCCAAGATACTCCACGGCTCTGTCACATCCAAGTGCCGTCCCGCAAACCGGAGCCGAACGCGTCGCGCCTTTCGTCGAGGCTCGTCGGACGGATCCACCTCCTGGTGGAGAAGTGCTCTGTACTGCTCAAACCGCGGCAGCTTACCAATGCGCACGCACGTGGTCTCACATCAGATCTTCTGTGGTCGGCATTTTTCTGCGAGAAGGGGCAAACAATAGTGTCATGTCAGTGCTCTACTTTTCTACGGCCCCTTTCAGTTGAGGTCTCCATTCAAGCAGGTTGCCTCTCCTTGGCTGAGAGATTCACGGCACCGTAGGCAGGAGGTGCTTCCCACTCAGCAAATAAGCCAAGCTGCAGCTTTTGATGAGCTTCTTTTGGTCCTCAAGCCACCTTTGTCACCGGTCCTGAGCCCCAAAACCCTCCGCCCTAAAGCCTCAACCCTAAGCCCTAAAGCCCTCAAGAAGCTCTAGAGCCTCAACCCTTGCCCTCCCTAAACCCCGGAATCGCTTCGGCGGAGACCCGAGGACGCGGCTCCGGGACTTCAAAGCAGAGCGCGCGCCGCACGCGCCAGCTTCTCCTTTCGCGGCGCGACTCTTGGGGGTCTTTGGAGCTTTAGGGCTTTCGGGGGGGGTTGGCTTTAGGGCTTTTGGAGTTTAGGGCTTCAGGGTGTTTGTATACTTTTAGGGTTTGAGGTTTAGGATACAAAGCTTACGGGTGGAGGTCTTCGGGCTTCTTTTTATACCCTCTTTTCCGTCTGCTATCACTAGCATCTTGGAGGCCATGCTGGCTGCGGGAGGAGGATACTGACTCGAAGCTTTCAGCTTACACCCCGGGTCGAGGGTGTTTTTTTTTGTACGCCTTTTTACCCCTAGCTACCAGTTAGGGTCGGCGGAATCCACATTGTGGAAGGCGGCAAGTCGAGGGTTTCGGGCTTTTTTTGGTTCGGGCTCAGCTTTGGAGGCTCAGGAAGGAAAAGGAACAAAAATACGAAAAGGATGGTGTGTGTGTATGTATTCACATATAGAAATATAAATATAAATATAGAAATTTATATATATATACATATATATATATATATATATATATATGAATGTCATGTGTGAAAAATGTGTGTGTATATATATATATATATATATATATATATATATATATATAGTATGCATACAACCTGCCTTCTGCTTGCGCAGCATTTGGCTCAAGGCTGGGCGCATCCGGGCGAAGGAAAGGTTGTTGTAGAAGAAGCCTCGAAAGAGCGCGGGGACATGCCGGAACGGCTGAGTAGAGGGCTCAGAACATACGAGTATTGCACGGCCCCTTCCGCCGAGTCTCTGATGAAGATGAAGGAGATTGCACACTGAGCCAGTCCGTAAGTCACCTTCGAAAAACGGAGCACAACCCGAAACACGAAAGCTTACAAAAGATGGGCTTTCATCAGGATCATCTGGACAACTCATAGCGGATTTGAACTTTGTTTGTTCGTATCTCGAACAGCACATGATCGTTCAGCTTGTCGGGGAAACTTTCGCCCCGAGACGCGATGCTTGCCATGTTCGGAACTGCCGTTTTGAACCTGTTTGATCCTGTCTGTGTCGGAAACTTCACCCCACGTCCAGATGCGTTCTCGGATCAAGCGCAGGCGGATGTGATGGTGAAGTGATCACCATGCACGTCCGCTCTGCCAGGACAGGGGCGGGTACATCATGAGCATCAGGTTGCAGCTACATCGAAGAGCTGCGTAGCAGCACTGTATCACCTGTCTTGAACACCGACTCAAGAACAGGAACAATATTGATTTGCGTAAGGCACAGTCGCAGCAAACGTTCTCGCTCTAACGGATGCAAGATGATGCAAGCTGACCTCGAACATCCAGATGGAATAGAATGACATCCAAATCGGCGCACCCGCAATGAAGAAAACTGCCTCCAAGCAGGCTCACTGGCACAGTACACACATCAGCCGAGTGCCAAATCTTTATTAATTTTGGCAAAAGTTGCCGTAAGCCTTAATGATTTGTCCGAAGATGAAGAGGATCAGCAGAGGACGGAAAGCCTGACAGGATTGTCATCACCTCTGATGCTGCACGTGCCGAAGCCGATTGAGCACAAGCTGCCTGCCTGGCCTGGAACAGGCAACGCATGACGCCGATAAAGATGGATTGGTAGTGCAGCACCACGAAGGAGATGCCAATCTGCAGGATCTACAAGATCCAGATCACCGATCTATAGATAGGCTATCAACCTGCCTCAAAAACCATGGAGTCTTTCTTGCACAAGTCCGTAAGCCCTGTCGTTGGTGTGGCCGCCGCAGTCTCCTCTAGGACCTGGCAGGCGACTATAGTTTTTGTTGGGTTTTGGGGTTTAGGATTTTGAGTATAGGTTTTCGGGACTTAGGAGTACAGGGAGGGTGATGCCAAACAGAGACCCGGCCCGGCAAGGCTTTCAGGCCTCCTTGCTTGCCTGTGGTGGCACTGAAGCCATCACAGGCGGCATGGGCCGCGCGGGCATTGCGGGCTTCCTGAGAGGGTCTAGTGGTTTTGGGTTTAGGGTTTTTGTTTAAGTGTAAGGGTTTAGGGGTTTAGGGTTTCTTTTAAGTGTAGGGGTTTAGGGGTTTAGGGTTTAGAGTCCTAAACCCTAAAGGCCCTAAGCCCCAAACTCTGCCAGAAAAGTCACATGGAGGCGCTGTCTTCTTGCTACTCCCAGGACTTGCCTGCAGAAGCCCTGATGCCAAAGCCCCCCAGCTTTTGGTGGCTTGAACCCCAAACCCTCCACCCCAACCTCAAGAAAGAGTTCACAAAGATGATCCCCTGATCCCTGCTGCTCAGCTGGGAGCTCTTTCCCCATCTTCGCTTCTATTTGGGGCTTTTTTGTAGGGTTGAGTGCTTAAGGTTGATAAGGCTGCTTGAGGTTTAGGGTTTATGGGGTGATGTTGCTTCCTATCGCGCCGACTCCGCCATGGTGTTCTCTGTGCCCGTTCTGCATGTCGTTCTCTTCACCCACCTTCCGAAATGCCTACTAACTACTTCTTTTGCAAGGATCAGCAGCGGAGCCGCCAGCTGCTGCATGCTCGACGCACCAAGGACACTGAAAGGCCTCCCGAGCATGTCGTCAGAAAAGGTACCAGTGAGATCTGCTGATCTAGTGTATGCAGCAGCTTTCTGATTTGAACCCCTGATTCCAAAATGCTGAGCCCAGGAACAAGATGCTGCCTTGCCTTAGCAAAGGCTTCGTCATCCAAGCCTGAGGCATCGTTGCCTTCGACAGATGCGGACTTGGACTTGCTTGCGCTTGCCCCCATGTGTGCAGAACAGAGCGTGGACTTCAGCGTCAGATAAAAGGCTCCTCCATGGCCATTGGAGTGCGAGCAGCCTTGCAACCCACAGGCGCTTTATCAACGGGCAGAGCGTCGAGAGAGGAAATCTTCCGTGCCTGTCTGGCGACGTTGCCTGCAGCACGTCGCCTGAGTGACTGTTATCCTTTTTGGGTCTTCATGTCAAAGGCATCAATGCGTGTTGAGGGTCGACGCACAAAAATGGACAGTGATCCGTTCGAGCTCGTTTATGTAACACAATGACCATACCATGCCATGCAGAGATACCACCGAGACGAGGCAGAAGACAGGTGACAGCGTCAAACGACGGGACCCCGTAGGAAACCAAGTCTGAGCGGGAAGAAGGTCGCAAGGCAGAGGGGCAGCTACAGCAGACCTTCCAGTATGGGCGCTTGATTCCAACACCTGGGCAAGGGTGACAAGAGATGACGAGACTAGCTGATGTTCAGGCGAGGGGGCACAAAATGGGACGAAGAGGTGGCGGATCCTGGACAGGAGACCGGAGGTCTGAGTTGAAATACCACCTGCCGGACGGAGGCGTGGCTAAGGCGAAGCTTGCAAGAAAGCAGGCTCAGGAGCAGGCACGCCCTGGCCCAACGAGCGCGAGAGGCCACCAAACCTTAAAGAGGCACCAACATCCACGCAGAGCAGCCGTTTAGAGGCGTAGTGCAGCTGCGGCGCATTCTGGCAGCAGGCTATGACCAGCTGTACCAGAGCCACCGCTTGGGCTGCAGAGCCCTTGAACCAAAACGACTGCCATTCAACGCAAGCCTTCGCAAAACAGCAAGGGACGGAAACGACGACGACGACGACCTTAGCTAATTGATGATGAACTGTATTGAACATGATGCTACCCTCAATCTCAACCAGCATCTTACTCTTCACCTTCACTTACATCATTGTAACAGTCACATTTACCGTCGGCATTGTCGCTGCGCTCCAGGGCCAACGTTGCCCTTCGCTTATGACAGTCCTCTGCCGCTGTCGCGTGGCTCTCCAGGAAGCGGTTGGCCTGGCAGGTACAAGCCATCCTTCGTCAGCTCCCCGCCAACTTCGAGTTTGCTGGCAGCTGGAAATGTGTCTTTTTGTTGTTTTTCGGGCGGGCCCTCTCTTCCTTCAGCTGAGTTAGCCTCCAAAAGCCTCTATAGAAATTTCTAGTTAGGAAGAGCCTTTGGGCCAGGTTTGCAGAACAACACCACTTCAATAGCAGCTCGAGATGTACAGCTCAAGGTTAAGAGTTCCAGCTTCGGGGGATGAAGGCAGCCCGTGCTTCGGATGCCTCAAGGTGGTCGCACCAAGGGATCTGTATCCCCAGCAAGGAAGCCATCCTTGAGCGAATAAGAAAGAGCCCCGTGGAGGTGGAATCACGAGTGCTGAGGTGTCGACGGCGCCACGTCGTCAGACACCCCCTCATTGCAAGTGACGGACCTTACAGACACCCGAATCACAACTGCACCCTCCGACATCTCAATCCACACTACCGAGAAGCGTCAGGGGAGCGATGCCCCAACGGGCGTGGGCTTCGATGGCATGGACGGCATAAAGCGGCGCCACCTCACAGCGAGCAGCTGACCCTCAATGGCTTCGGCTATGGCACTTAAGCCTTAAGCGGAAGGAGTCACACATCAACAGCAGCGAGAATCATGTTCAACCACCTTTGGCATGACCATAGCATATAGCATATCTGACAATGCAACTCCCCCCCCCCCCCATCTTCGTAGGCATCACTCCGTACAAGCTAGTGACTAGTGTAATTCAGCAAGATATAGGACAATGGAGTATAACATGGTATAATGAATTACATTATGGCATAATGTAGTACGCCCTGGTCCTCCGTCATTGTGAGCCGGAGGGCCTTGCCCAGGTACTGGCTCAAGCCACCACTGTGGGAGCTACGGCTGGACACCAGCTCCCCCAAGGCCCTGGCGGCAATGCGACGTGGGCACCCCACCTAAACCCCTAAAGCCTCAAGCCTAAACCCTGAACCTTTCTCTAAACCCCAAAACCTAAAGCCTAAACCCTGAACCTTTCTCTAAACCCCAAAACCTAAAGCCTAAACCCTGAACCTTTCTCTAAACCCCAAAACCTAAAGCCTAAACCCTGAACCTTTCTCTAAACCCCAAAACCTAAAGCCTAAACCCTGAACCTTTCTCTAAACCCCAAAACCTAAAGCCTAAACCCTGAACCTTTCTCTAAACCCCAAAACCTAAAGCCTAAACCCTGAACCTTTCTCTAAACCCCAAAACCTAAAGCCTAAACCCTGAACCTTTCTCTAAACCCCAAAACCTAAAGCCTAAACCCTGAACCTTTCTCTAAACCCCAAAACCTAAAGCCTAAACCCTGAACCTTTCTCTAAACCCCAAAACCTAAAGCCTAAACCCTGAACCTTTCTCTAAACCCCAAAACCTAAAGCCTAAACCCTGAACCTTTCTCTAAACCCCAAAACCTAAAGCCTAAACCCTGAACCCTTCTCTAAACCCCAAAACCTAAAGCCTAAACCCTGAACCTTTCTCTAAACCCCAAAACCTAAAGCCTAAACCCTGAACCTTTCTCTAAACCCCAAAACCTAAAGCCTAAACCCTGAACCTTTCTCTAAACCCCAAAACCTAAAGCCTAAACCCTGAACCTTTCTCTAAACCCCAAAACCTAAAGCCTAAACCCTGAACCTTTCTCTAAACCCCAAAACCTAAAGCCTAAACCCTGAACCTTTCTCTAAACCCCAAAACCTAAAGCCTAAACCCTGAACCTTTCTCTAAACCCCAAAACCTAAAGCCTAAACCCTGAACCTTTCTCTAAACCCCAAAACCTAAAGCCTAAACCCTGAACCTTTCTCTAAACCCCAAAACCTAAAGCCTAAACCCTGAACCTTTCTCTAAACCCCAAAACCTAAAGCCTAAACCCTGAACCTTTCTCTAAACCCCAAAACCTAAAGCCTAAACCATGGGCCTACATCCCCCTGTACCCTCAAGAGGGGGGAGTTTAGGACCCCAACATTGCGGGACACCGAGGCTACACCCCGAAGGGTGTGAGGAGCTCGCCGTTTCTTGGTTCGAGTCCGGCTGTCGTTTGCGGTTTCGGGAGAATTACAGGTTTAAGGCTTAGTCTTCTACAAGCGCTAGACATGGGTCTTCTAGGCTTTCTTCCCCGTGGGCCTTGCCATAAGGTGGCAGTCGTCAATCACCAGGCGTCTAAAGCGGAACATCTCCAGCAATGCGGGACCTGACACAGACACGCGACTGGAGCACTACAACAGTGCGTCCAGAGAAGTCACGAAACGTCATGCTGATACTTTTGATGCTACCTGTAAGAGCACCACTGTAGCAGGCACTGATGGAGCTCGCAAAGAACACTTTCTTGGTCATCACGACTTCTTGCTGCAGAGGTGCTGCCGGTGACTTCGGAAGCAGATGACGCGAGAAGCGGGAACTGAACCTTCTCCATAACTTCCGGCGCAGCCTTCACTGGACTTTCTGCAGTGGGGTTCATGAGACGAGCGAAGACCCTTCCCGCGCGAAGGCTTTCTGAATCGCGCGGAAGCAGAGGAGTCGACGCAGACGAGCATGAAAGGTAAGCAAGCAGCATGATATCCCCCAAGCCACCCAGCCTCTTCTGTGTTCGCCAAGGGCTCCTGAGGCTAGAAACAGGATCTCAGCAGAGCGGAAAGTTGACAACCTGTAAGCGATGCAGCTCGATCTTTCATCTTTTCTTTTTTGACCTCTTCTGCAAACCATGAGAGCTCAGTCTGTCGCAAGGAAACGGAGTGCGGTCAGAAACAGGCATTGCGTCGGTCGGTCCTCGTTTGCTTTCGACAAGCCCGTGGACACGGCCTGCAGCTGCATCTCAAACGTTGAGGAAACGAAGGTAAACGTATGGCTTAATCGACCGGATAGGGATCATTTCTCATGAGGCCCGAAAGTTGAAGGGAACCCCCGAGATGTCTCCTGTGGATATTTCATCTCATCGAACATGCAGCGAGTAACTCCTCCGCACCTGCTGCACGAGGCGGAAGGTGTGCCGCTCCAACTCCACCTGCCCGTTGGTTTAGTTCTTTCGGCCAGTCTACTTGCTCTGCGTTTCTGTCAATGTATGGATCTAGCAGCTATCAGTCGTCTGCTTGTCTTTCGATTTGGTATCTGCCATAGCCGGCAGTTTATCTACCGATCTTTGTCCATACCATGTTTGCATGCCTTGAGTGTTGTCTCGCTGCTGTGCCTGACATTGCATGACGTTGCACCACATGGCAGTGCATCATAAAATAAGCAGCAGTACAATGGCTACGAAACACGCATTGGATGCAGTACCTCCTTCACGGATGCATCCTCCCGAGCAAGGGGTGGGACTCGAGGATAGAAAGACAGGTGCCATAGATTGCAGGAACTGTACAGTTATGAAGATTACCTGCACAGCACGTATTCACGGCGGCACGTTTCAAAGAACCCACGTTCACAGATCCGTAGAACCGTGACACAAGAATCCCATGGTATAGTATTTTCAAACAAGGTTAACTATAGGTATCAAAAGCCTTTCACCCCAAGTACGGCGGTTGTGCCTTACGTTCGGACAGCCCGCCTGGCGTCGGGCCATGTAATCTTCTCGTGACCGCAGTTCGGCGTAGTACTTTGATACCTCGTATTTGGGCTGTGGTCTCGGAGTGTACCAGTGGTTGAAAACAGGGCTCCGGGTGGGTCGTAACATGAACTCACGATGTGGAGTTCGTGTACACGGCTCCCTGATCGAAGCCCCTGTAGAAAACTTCAACATGATAGGATCCCGAAAATGTTACGCTCACACCAGGAATAGCGACTTTCTGTACGTCGATAGGTATATCTAACAAGGAAATCGAGAAGACCATCGTAAAAAGCACAGACGTCTTCAATCCTATACCCCAATCATTAAAACCCTGAACCCTCTATCTGAAATCCCAAGGTGAAACAGGAGTTTTCCGAAAATAGGCGACCCGAATATAGCACCCTGAACAGTGGGATCCTCACTATAAGCACCCCAGAAATATGGTAACCCCCAATCTTCGGAAACTCCCAAACAGCCTTCAAGGGCGTCTCCACGAGCCGCTTTCGCGGCGAGGCCTTTCGAACTCCTGGCATTTCTCGGAGGCGTTTGGATCTAGCGTGTGGATCGAACATTATGTACCCTAAACCCTAAACCCTAAAACCCTTAACCCCAGACCCTCATTTTTCTTTTACGGCCCCTTTTCCTCTCGCCCACTCGTGTTCATCGGAACGCCTGGTTAGGCTGAGGCTTCCGAACAGCGAGCACCAGCGGGATTCACCGCCACACCACGCATTACTCCACTACTGGCCCTCACTTAAACACTCTAGCTCGTGAAGCAGCCAATCCCAATGCGGTGCACCAGCAGACGAAAAGAGCCGAACACAGTCTAACGCCACATGTCAAGCTACCTTTAAGCCCTTAGGGTTGTAGAGTGTTGTCGGCTCGAGACGTTTTAGTCTTGGCATTTAGGCTTCAGGGCTTCTGATTTGCAGGTTTGGGCTGGTCGGAAGAGTGCAGTTGTGTTGAGGTGTTCGCTTGAAGGGTCTGGGGGCTGCGGCAAAACCGCAAAACCGGGCAACCCTGAATGGTCCATGCTTGGCATCCGAAGCATCCGAAGCCCGATAGGCTACAACTCCCGATGCGCTCACCGAAAACGGCACCTAGAGCCCCGCAACCTGGATCTTTCATCCCTACCAAACTCGCAACCCCGATCTGGAAGCCCAAAGTTGCTGAAACAAGCACCGGAAATCTCACCCAAAGCTATAAAGAAAAAACATACACATATGCGTATATATATATATATATATATATATATAGTATATACACGTGCGTACACACACATGCATACATATATACAGATATCATATAGCTTCTTGGGAACTCCGGTCCTGGCCGCAGTGCCCTCAAGTTGCAGGGGCGGACGTTGATGAGTTGGCCGCCTCACCCATGGGGCCGCACACCCTCTGATTAAATTACGCTAAGCTCTAGACCCTGAACCCCAAACTCTCCACCACTCCGCCTGCCGCCCTAGAGCCCAATGTCTACACAAACCCCTAAGCCCCTTTGCTCAAACTCTTTATCTTGAGCCTCGCTGCTTTCAGGACTGGACCTCTTTCTCTTGGCTGTGGACTTCGGTACCTTGGGTGACTTCGATGGCTCCAGCAAGCAGGACCAGCGCCCCGTGTCCTCCAGTATGACTCGTGAAGCTGCTGGCTGTTAGCTGTGAGGTGCTAACACCATTGTTGCTACAAGCAGAAAGGAAGAAATAGCAGCAGCGATAGCGGCAGCAAAAGCAGCAGCAATAGCAGCAGCAATAGCAGTTGCTATTGCTGCTGTCTGGGTTGTTGTCTGGGTTGTTGTGCTGCTTGTGCCGCTTGTGCTGCTCTCGGCTAGGTCCAGCTCTACTCTGGACAACCATCCAGAACCCTAAGGCCCTAAACCCTAAATGCTACGCCCCAAAACCCTGAAGCGTCCTCCTGCCAACCGATCAACTGGCCGCGGCGACCGTTGAGGTGGGCCTTCGCAATGAGTCCGTGGATCGTAACCAGGTCACCCTGCTCAAAGCTTCCCTCAACGTCTTGGCACAGATCCTCTGGCTCCAAGTCTCCCTGGCCCTGCACCGTATCTATCCGCTTCTGCAGTGAGGACGCATCCCAAACTTGTAGTCCGGGCTTCGAGAGGCTGTCGAAGTGGCGCTGATACGCTTCTGAACTGAAGAGCTGCACGGACACCAAGATCAGGTCAGCCTCCACCACCTGAACAAGGCTCGATCTTGCACAAGCCACAAGGCAAACATGATGCGCGCAGCGAGCTCCTACGATGGGGGACCTCGGCGACTGTGAGACTTCGCATCTTGCGCTGGTTGGCAATGATGACCACGCGCCGCCGCGACAGCGGAGCGGCCTCCAACGCTTGCTGCCAATGTGGGAGACTTTGCTGCTGTACGAGGATGAGCGTGCCCGTGGCTTCAAGACGACACCTGCGCTTGTTCAGCATCGGACTTGGCTTAGCAGTTTCACTATCCTCCGTCAGGGCCAGCACAGAGGTCGCCACGGCCCGGTCGAAGTAGGGCTCTTCGTTCGGGCCCCTGGTGAGGACGAGGCCACCAGAGGACTCAAACTCGCGAGTAAGCTGCAGCTCCAGCGCTAGATCCGTCTCAGGGAAAGCACTCAGGGAATGGTCAACAACAAACAAGTAGCTAACTAGGCCACGAAGTCCAGCTATACCGAGAACAGACACGTCAACGGTGAAGCTCAAGTCAGACGGCTCAGCCGTGGACTAGAAAGCCCCAAAAGAGAACTCTTCGAATCTACCCATTCCTCCTATTGCTATCGGTGCACCTCGCAGAGGCCTTGACGGATGGTCTGCTGAGACTTGAAGACAGATTGTCGCTCTTGCCGCCGCATCCAGCCCAGCATGGCCAGTTGAGACGAGGAGAGGAGGAACCGGCCAGGCTGCGCCAAGTTCCTGGGTTCTTGTTTAGGAATGGAATTACAGGTACTATGATAGGGATCTACAGTAAGTAATAAGGCTAAGGTTTCCTTATTGGGGTAACTTAAAATACATCCTTTAACAAGATCCCAGGTTCTCATAGGGCACCTTGAGGCTCAAATTCCGAATGGGAGAGCTCTGGCAGGGCTCGCTCTGAGACTTTGTCAGACGCCAGCTGCTGCTTACCTGCTTCGGTTCCCACACCTGGGGCCAGAGCAGGCGCTTGAAAGCATTCTCAAGGACGGCATCGCAGGAAATCTCCACTGTCTGCCGGCTGTGCTGGAAGGAGAGTCGGAGCTCGAGTCCATCCCAGGATTGGTGGAAGATCTTCAGTCGCGGCTTCGCTGTCTTCGCCTGTGGTTTGCCCACATGCGATTGGCACTGATGCGACTTGCTGCTGCTGCGGGAGAGCCACTCGGAACAGAAGTTGCAGAAACAGTGCTCCTGGCCACCAGAGGCTGCCAAGGGCTGATCTTCTGTGAGCCCTTCTCTTGCCATGCGCCCCGCAAATGTGCTGGTAAGGCCCACGCAGGTGTCCCGAAAGAGTCGTGTGCATAAGAGGGCATCCTTGCATCCCGCAGCAGTGGGCACAGCCAGGGAAGCGGCGGGGCCCACTGGATGCCAGCTTCCCAGGAGCCCCGGCCGAGCTTTTTCCAGGAGCTCTGCGAGGCTACCGCTCCGTTTGCTCGGCAGCAAAGTCGCAGCCTGGAACTCGTTGCCGGTGCTCTCGGCCGGCAAAAATCCCACGAGAGCCGCGTTCAGGGCCGCGCTGGCCATCGCCGAGCCTGCGGCTGGGTCTTCGAAGAGACCCGCCGTCGGCTGCCCACCGAGCTGTCGCATCAGCACTCGTCGACCGGGCTCCAAATCACAGCGCTTTTGGAGCTGCAGATGAGCCTTCTGAAAGAAGGAAGCCTCCAAGGACAGCTCCAGGCTCCTCCACGGCAGAAGAAAGGAGGACGCAGCGCCGCTCGGAGAGGCCTTGGCTGCCTGGGCGCTGCGGCGCTCCGCGCGCTTCGCCTCGAGGAGCACCTTCCGCTGCACTTTGTCCCAGGCGTCCGTCGCTTCCGCACCGAGCACGGCATCGACTTGCAGGCACGTGGGAGGCAGGAGAACCGTGCCGCCTTCCGACGGTGCCTTCTGGTTCTTGCGATATGGTCTTGTGGCCACCACAGCTGGTGCAGCCGACAGCCCAAACTCAGTCTCGGGGCTCTCCCGGTTCTCTAAGAGCTGCTTGAACTGCTTGAGCTGTTCTTGCAGCAGCTGTTTCGCATTGCGGATGGGCTTTGCAACAGACTCGATGTCAGCACCACCGGATGCTTCCGCCACTTTGCCTGCAGTGTCAACCCCTCTGTCCAGACGGCGTTTCCAGAGCCACTGAAGCAGAGCTTGGCCTCTCAGCCGCGACGGGCTCGGGCTCTCAGAGAGCTTTTGCCGCTTGCCGCGCGGACGCGGCGATCCCATCCTGCCCGCATCCTCGTCCTCGAGTCTCAAAGGCCGTGACCGGGAGCATCTTGTAAGCAAAGCTTCCGCATCTAAGTCTAAGGGTGTCTGCTGCGATGCCAGAGGCTGCATCTCTCCTGTCGCGGACAAGCCGCTTCGCATGGCCCGACTGCCTTGCGAAGGCTCTGCCGGGTGCGACCCCGTCTGAGCCATGTCAGCGATGTCTCTCGAACTGGCAGCTGCGGCAGTGCCGTCGGCGAGGTGCTGCTCTGCTTCAGTGTCAGGCGCACCTCAAGGAGACATGCCATCATAAGAAAGCCATCAATCACACCCCTGCTGCCGTGACATAATGGACGAGTTTGGTGAGCCTGAAGGCACACGTGCTGCCACTGGAGGAGCGAATGCGGCCGGAGGTGATCTCAGTTTCAAGCGAGCTCCGGGAGTTCTTTTTGGACTTTGCCAAGTGCGGGGCCGAGGGTGCAAGTGGGAGGCATCTGCTGCCTCGTAGCCAGGTCGAGTCCGCTTCTGTGTGATGGAATGCATAACAAGTACACTGTTGATACATGAAATATCGGATATACCGTGTCAGCAGCATATAGTCAGTCAAACTGTATAGAACAGAAAGAAACCACACAAAGCAATATGCATGGTATAAAGTAATGCAAGATCGCACAGTACAGTAGAATGCAATATGACATTATATTGTGTGATACATACAATACCATGTCATGTACTATAGGATGATGACACATGGTATACTGTAGGAAGGCTTGATATAGCAAAGTGTAGCGAACTATATAGAGTAATACAATATTCTGCAGCACAATACAACACAACAACACAACCCAACATAATGCGGTATGCTGCAATACACCTTTAAGAGAAAATGAGATGATACAGTATCGCAACATATGATATGATAAAACGGAGTGGCATGATATGTCTTATAATGCAATATGATGCAACAAAACACTATCGTGCACTATACTATGTTGGGTCGTGTTACATTACATTGAAGTCAGTTTGTTATACCAGTGTAGCCTCTGCTATAGTATTTTATGCTGTACCATACTATATTATGTTCTGTTATAATTTTGAAAGGTATCCTGTATGACTTTACAGTATTGTATGTCATAGCATTCTGTAACATTTTACTATCTTAGAGTGCCATTTAGTTTACATGCATCTCAACACGCAAAAATACATGCACATGCACAAATACCTACATACTTGCATGAATGCATACATGCATACATGCATGCATACCTGCACGCTTACATACACACATACACAGACTCACATACAGACATAAGTACAGACATGCATAAGTGCATGCATACATACTTGCATACGAACATGCAGACGCTCATGCAGACGTCCATGCATCCATCCATCCGTCCGTTCGTCCGTCCGTCTGTCCGTCCGTCCATCCGACCATCCGTCCATCCGTCCATCCGTCCATGCATTCATCCATGTATACAGCCACCCATCCACCGATCCAGTCATCCACCATGCAGACATACATATGTACATACAAACATGCACAGTCATGCACCATACATACATACGTACATACACATATGCATACATACATGCATCCATGCAAATTCATACGTGCATACATGCATACATATGTAAGTGTACATAGACACATACATGCATACATACATACATACATATAGATATATATTCAAACCAGATGGACAAGTAAAAACCAGCATGTGTGTATATACATATATGTATATATGCACAAAGGTATGCACACACACACACACACACACCCGTCGACGTGAAGTCCATGATAAAGGCTGGCCTGACTGCCCGGCTGGTCCTTCTGCTCTCCTTCGGGCTGCTTCATCTGGCTGGGCGGACCCGATCGTCGGAGGCCCTGCCTGCTTTCTCTGGCCTGAGACAAAGATGGTCGGAGTCTTTACCAGTGCTAGCGTTTAGGACTAAGGTTTAGGGTTGTTTTGAGGTTTCTTTTCCGATAAGGGTTCAGGGCTGCCACTTCTGAGATGTCAAAGAGCCTCCATGAACAGCTGGAAGGTCAGGGGGCCTCAGCACCAATTTCAATCTCAGACAATCAAACTCAGATTCGCTCATGAATCTCACAACGAAAACTGCCATTTTCATGGACCCTAAACGCCTAAATCCTAAACCCTAAAAAAATGGATATGACACATACATCTCTAAGGAACTCACCCAGAGGAGGCGCCAGTGTGACGGAGTCGCCGTCTCGAAGTTCCTGCTCTTGACCTCTCCGTTTCTTCATTACCCTCGTGGTTTAGTGTTCTGGCCACCCTAAACAGGAGGCCCTTATGGTAGCCTTGTAGTGACCCAAATAAGAAACCCTTACAAGTATCGTAACCCTTTCTGGTCACACGGTTAGCGCAGCCTTCCTAGATGCTGTCGCAATGTTTGGCTGCGTGCTTGGGCCTCGTCGCAGCCGAACTCCGTTGACAAATGTGCCATTCCTCAGAGGGAGGCCCTGCTATACCGAAGGGCGCATGTTCCAAATGTCAGAACCCCAGATGTCGTACAATTTGCATCAGGATCCTGGAATGAACAAGCATGTGGCCAAGGCGGTGGCGTGCTGAAGTCCTCGACGGAGGGCGCGTGATTCCTGAAAAAAGCTCCGGTGCTTCCTTCAAACCTCGGCCTTTTCCATGGTCTGGGCTCGGACCGTCTGCAATGGAGAACACAGTGCTTTCCTGAGAACCCCGGGCAGGAGTTGACCAGGAGTCAGGAACTCACGAGCCGTCCTGACTGCAACTGTCTGGCGCTTAGTAGGGAATGGGGGAACGGATCCCATAGCAGTCCCTACTACAATTCCCAATAATAGTCTCCATAACCCGTTCCCCCATTCCCTACTAAGAACCAGACAGGCAAGCTTGCTCAGCGGCCGGCCACTAATGGCCTGGTTTTGGCCTGTGGAAAGTGCTCTCTCGAGTTGAGAATCAGGGTGGATTACATGTATCAATGTGTGTACAACCAAGTACACAGGCAGGAATATGCGCTAGCTGCTATACCTACGCAAAGCCTCTTATGTATGTATGTACATGTATACATATATATATATATATACATACATACGTACATACATACATACATATATAGATATATACATATCGGTATACATACATACAGACATACAGACATACATACATACATACATGTTTTGCAAGTACTGGACTGTGCATTCTGCAGCGTCAGCCCATTGAGGGCGACGCAGACAATGTGACAGTCTGCATTCCGCCCGATGGCCAGGACGCCTCCCATTCCATCTGCATGGAAACTCACTCATATGCATCAACTAGCGGCCACGAGGATCATCCACAAGTAAGCTGATGCTGGCCCTGGTCCCCTCCTGTTGCAATGAAACGAGTGGCTCTTAGGGGCAGAACTGACGCTCCAGCCAATAGATCCACCACTCCGAGCCTTCCGCAGGCAAATAGCATTTTCGGGATGCCGCGTTCGCCTCACTGAGCCTCAGGGCAGGAAGGTCTGACTTCCAGAAAACAGCTCTGTCCTGTGCTATTACTGTATCATGTCATATTAGACTTTCTTTGACCATGTAACATGTTATGATACATGCTTGTATGTTGCGCTTTAGAATAGTATGCTACACTATAACTTATTCTGTGAGGTCATGTTCTATTCTTCCTTCCTCCATTTCATTATGTTATATGGTGGCTATTCGACATTCCCCATACCTGAAACGGCCGAATGTCCACACGGAAGTGTTGTCCTTGGGCTGGCATTTTAGCGGAACTGTCGCGGAGCTTCTTTACGGCTATATGTATCTTCACGCACTTACATTACTTACATACATACATACATACATACATCGTCGTGAGCCTTACGCCCAGAGCGCCCAGCACCAACTAGGCTTGAAACCAGACCTGTAATTCCATGGAAATGGTCTCTACGAGCAGCCTCCTGCATGTATGCTAAACCTGTTCTCGGACTATGGAGCCTCATAAGTTTCTACTGCTTCTGTCTCTAAGTCCGAACTACTTCTTACGAAGCTTATGCAATGCTGTTGTCGGGAAGCTGCAGTGGCCTACTACCTTCAGGACACGCTTCAGCTTTCGCGGAGTCCAAGGTACAAGGGCCTGGAGTTCAGAGGGGCCCTGCAGAACATTCGCTGACCAACTACCGACTTAGCGCTGCTGAGCTCAGATGAGTCTCGAAGCCATCGTAGGCGGCCAAAGCAGCTTCTCATGCAAACAGAACACCCGCAACGCTAAAGCCTAACCCCCAAGCAGCCCGTCTGCATGCGTGCATCTACGATGATTCTTCAAAACCCTATATCAATGCGACGATTACTGCTCGCATTGCTTTCTTGCTGCTGCCGTTCTGTCAATAAGATTCAACATCCTTGTCGTTGCTGCTGTTGTTGCTGCGGCTAGTGCGGTTGGTAGTGTAGCCACTCTTGGTTTCACCGGCATTATTCTCACTATCACTAACATTGTTATCGCTATTACTGCGGTTGTTGTTCACGCTAGCACTACCGTATTCATGTGTCTTATAGCTTGTCAAAGTGTTGATACTTACTAATAACCAATATCAGACCCAACCAGCATGTCAATAATTGCACCAGTGCTTGGCCAAGATCCCGGCTGGAGGAAGGGCACCATGCAAGCACGCTTGCCGTGATCCGAGAGCCGAACTACCGGGACGGGACTTTTGCATATTTAAGACTAGTGCTGGCGATGCGGAGTTCGAAGGCTGGGGCTGGGTTTCACGAAGCCAAGCATGGGAAGGTACAAGCCAAATGCTGCGCGCGGGCATCAAGGCGCTCCTCTCCTAACTCGGTTCCGAGAGAAGCCTGTCGATAAATGGCGGCAAGCTTTACTACACCACGATGGGTGGTTAGGCGCGAGCATGGGCCTCCTCGCGTGCTTTGGTTTTGTCTTCCTTGCAGGGCAAGGAGAGTTCAAGTGTCGGCCGAGCAGGACCAAAACATGGCCTGGTCCACAGGGCCCTGCACGAAGCAGAACCCCTTCTGCGCAAGGATGGATGCTATCCTCGTGGAAACAGCATACCTCAGCTCAGCAAGGCACAACAACACCTGGACTTCCCTTCGCTCTTGCATCCTGGGCCGAAGGCCAGTCCAGTCCATGGAAATCCAATATGTCCTTGGGGCCCCGAAAAAAATTCTCAGAGCCGTTGAAGGGTTGCAAAGCAGAAGCCCCGAAAATCGGCCGAGGAGCAAAGCACACGGGGCTTGCTATGCTCATGGGGCTATCCAGCTGGCATCGGCGCCCTTCCGCAGAGCTCTCGTGGTTTCAGTCGTATGGCACCCATGCCAAGATAGCTTCGTTGGAGCGGGACTTGGGTGGCTGGGTCTGAGGGCTCAACGCGTGATCGGGGTGGGTTGTGGGTAACGTTGAGCCGAGTCTTCAGCCGTGCCAACCGCTTGCTATTTGATTGATGATGGCAAACGGCTCTTGAACCAATGCTGCCACCGCCGTCCCGCAAGACGTGCACCCCTGCCTGAGCTCTGCCAACTGCGCAGCATACCATTAGACCAAGAAACGTCTAACTTCTGCAGCTATTCCATGTCCTTGTTTCTGATGCTGGGCCGTTGTCGAAGCACATGCTTCAAGTCTGAGCACACCACGACCTCGCTTCACTTAGACTTAGCTTGGTGCAGGCAGCCATCTTTAGCTGTGAATGCGAGGCGAGGCCAACAGATGCTAAACGCTCAGACCTTCTCACGCGCAGAGCTACGGGTTCTACTGTTCTAAGCAGGTGCAAGCATGCTTTGCATGCCACACTCAGTGAAAAGCTTCTAGAAGCAGAAACGTGTGGCCCATTAAGTATTAAGCTCATGGTTCTGCAGATCCTTCAGATCTTAATGTCGAGCTGGCCTTATAAGCCTGAGCATTGAGCATTGCTTCAAGATTTGCGTGATGCCAAACTCTGCTGCCAGCTAGGGTAAGATTGCGGGGAGATGAAAAGAGAGAGAGAGAGAGAGAGAAAAGCAGAACAACGCCAACAACAACACTAATAGCAAAGCGGCGTGAAGAGCCTGCTGCGAGCGCTGAAGTGTGTGAATCTGTCTGCGCCTCGGTGCCATCTGACTCTAATGCACGGGTTCGACAAACATGCCACGTCATGGTTTGCTAACTTCCTTGCCTTTGGTTAGTGGGGAATGCAGACATGGGGTAGAATTATAACTTCTATTCCTACCATTCTTCCATTCCCTACTAACCAAAGGTAAGCTTCTACGACGGCGTCGCTGGCAGCTCCAACCTCGAGACTGGGCCGCCAGCTCTCGGAGAAGCTGGCTGAAATCGAGCTGAGGAGCTGAGGCAGCACGGACGAGATGCCTGTGAAGGCTCAGGGCTCAGAGTTTAGAGCTCTGTGCAAAAGGAAGCCGAGGGCTCAGCGACCTGATCTCATTGGGAACAGGAGGAGCAAACTCCCCAGTGACCTGAAAAGCAATGCAGCAACCTACAGACTTCAAACTCTACGCTCGATTTTTGCAGGCTCTGTTCCCAATTCCTGCCAGGCGCCGGAAGCTCACGAATGCACTGTTTGTCGGACGGTCATATCCGAAGAAGTTCAGGTGCTGGCACGATGGCCCAGAGTAGCAAAGGGTACCCGTCGCCTTGGCAGACGAAATCTACCGCTCAACAAGCGGTGCAACACAGACGGATCTCGGACATAAAGGATGCTGGCATGAACCCTGTAATGCTTACAGTGCTTACAACACAAAAAACAAAGCACAAGTACACGTAAACACACATATGTACTGATTTGTGAGAAAAGCGCAAGTATATCAGTGCACACAGAACCCTGTGAACATTCAAGACGCGTGCCGCGCGTATGTATGTATGTATGTATGTATGTACATACGTATGTATGTATGTATGGGCGTACACGTGCGTGCATGCATGCGTGCATGGAGGGAGGGAGGGATGGATGGATGGATGAGTGAATGTGCATACGCAAGCTTGTGTGTATATACTGTTTATATATATGTACATATGTATAACAGTATGTTAGAGAGATATGTTTATGCACGTGTCTGTGTAGATCTGTGCCTACATATGAACCTGCTCGCATGCTAGCACGCATGTGCGCGTGATGGTCTGCGGCCGGGCCGGCACGCAAACGCGCACGTGCAGACGTGCATATATACATACAACACATACAACCTTACAACATTTACAAGACATAGGACACCTGCAACACATGCGACACAGACAATGCGCACAACACATACAACTTTCATCAACACATGCAACACATACAACAAACACAGCACGAACACAGCACATTCACCGCACACAACCCACACAACACATAACGCGCATACATGCGGATACGACACGTACGACACAGACAACATGCACAACTATGTTGCACACATACAACACTTGCAACATGCAAAAGATACATAAATTCATATACACAGATTGAGATAGATAGATAGATAGATAGACTCTAAACGGCACATGCAACCATACGCATGTGTCACAGTATGTACGTGTTGGCATTTGCATACACAGTTCATTTCCGGCTGCTTAATCCAAGCCCCTGACGACGGCACACTGGCTGCCCAGCGCTGGATGGCTTCGTGGGCACCGGCACGGGAGCGCACCTTGTAGATTCTGGTTGCGGGGCTCAGGAGTGTTTGGGCTTCAGCTTAGGGAGCTTGGACTCCTGAGCAGAGCTTGGACTCCTTCTGAGACCCGGGCTTCCCAGTTCACCTTCTTCGTGAGCACCGTCTGCATGGGTTCCACCTCTGATAGCGGGGCATCTTCCGGCCCGATCACGGCGGTGCTCGTCACAACTGTCGACCTTCTACCACGGGAAGACTCTGAACCGAAAGCCTTGATTTGAGGGAGCTGCCATGATGTTGCTCCTTGCCGGAGCATGCGGATATTCGGGGCCTCTGCCCCAGGAGCCTTGCACGTAGGCCTCGGATGGACCGAAAGTTTCATAGCTGCCTTGAACGGCAGGATCCTCGGAGTTCCAACCCGCGCCGTATCCCCCTCCTTCATCGCCCTTGGTACTGCAACACACGTGCCCTAAGCACATCACATCCGCCATTTCTCGGGCGCCAGATGCCCTTGTTACGGGCAGGTTGCCATCACAGACCTAATCGTGCCCAAGCACTGCACAGCAGAGGCAGAGTCTGCTTGCGTGTCAATGTCCATGTCTGCTGCAACTGTGAGATGAAGGCGTAAGCACCGAAAAGTGATGTGAATTACGCCGCTCTTCGCGAAGTCTGGAGTACAGCGCTATCCGGCTTCAGAAAAGCACATCAGAAACCCCAAAGCCCAGCTGAGAAGCAGAACGTCTATCAAAGACTTTTGAGCAGCGGCGAAGAGAGCGAGGCAATCAGAAGGCTGCTGTCCGGGGCTAGCTTTGGCTCCTGCTTCTCAGCCTACGTCGGCTTGAGTATGTTACGTTTGATGAAGACCCTTCCCAATGATCAACATCAGGAGCATGCTTTCAAGTACAGCATTTTGGAAGCGGAATGGCAATGAAGCCCAAGGACTCGCAAGCACACGAAAGTCTCTGCATCACGTCTGTCCGCTGCAGGACTTCGTCCATCCTTTTCGAGACACAACAGCGCTGACCATCGAGCTTTGCGACGCGATTGCATGCAGCGGTCAAGAGGCTGGGTCCGCTTTGTGGGGCCGTACTTCGCACAATGCCCATGAGCGCCGGAAACCCAAAAGGAACGATAGTTGAAAACCCTACTAGGAGGTGCGGAAATCGAATTCGAAATCCCATCTTTGGGGATCGTCTTCAAAGCATCTCAGGTCTGCTTCGCCCTGGTTCCAGTCTCTCTGGTGCAAGAGAAGTACGCAGCTTATATAATGCCATAGTGCTATAATACTATAATACCATAATTCATAATACTAAATACTATAATACTGTAATACCATAGTACCATAATGATCTGGGCGCGCCTTGGTCAGCGCCCCTGTCGCTGGGTCTTCGCCATGACCAAGACGGAGGGAAGGTTGGCATGATGAGGCCTTCGGGGGGTTTAGGGTTTAGGGTTTAGGATCCGCAGTGCCAGAGTGTAAAGCTCACGGTGTGATCAAGTGCAAACGACGGTCTCGAAGCACTGCAGGAAATCGCCCCGTGCTGAGAGGCTTTCGGTACACCCGAGGACCCTTAAGGAAAATCATCGTTGAAAAAGATTGCATCACCTTCCTACGCCAAAACTCCTCTATGACTGCGGCGAAGGGCAAAGGCCAACCCCTTCCGACCTGGTGCAACCCCAAAAAAATCCTGCCTCACATGCTTGGGCGGCAGCACACGCCAGCGCTGGCCGAGGTGCCGCCTCGGGAGTTTGAAGGCAGGTTTCGCGGCCTCCCTTGGTGGGCAGTCCCTTTGGGCCGACACCCAAAGATGGTCCGTGTGACCTGAGGTTGCAAAGCACCAGGCGTGGCCCCGCCCGCTTTCTTGGGCTCGGTCTGCCTCGAAACCCCAAGCAGAGCGCCAGGCAGGTCTTGCGACGCCCGCAGCGTCCACGGAAGTTCTGCCTCCAGCCGTGCGAATGGTGAGACCCAGTGAACTCAACAGCAATCTACTGTAGTTACATGCTCGTTTTGACTGTCTTGGGCATGTGCCCTTTCACAACTAGCGGCATCGGGCGATGCAACACATCCAGGCAATTAACTTAAAGATAGGGTCCGATCGTCCTCATCATGATGGCTGCCAGTACGAACACCAAGAACGCCATGATCGAGAAACACCACTGCCATCAGTATCACGAAGCCGTTCGCGCACCTTACACCTCCCTCGTGTGCCTGAGCTTCTCGTCTCGCGAGTCGGTCGCGGCTGCCTTATACGGAGAACGAGCATGATGAATCGCCCTGCCCTCCACAACAAAGTTGCACGGAACAGTAAGGCCAGGGCAACCTCATTCCTGCAGGGCTTGCTTTGTGAAGTTTCCACGTGCGGAGCCGCAGAATGCCGAAGGATACGGTACCAAGTGTGAGGTGAGGCCAAACTTGTCAAAGCTTTTTCTCCTGGGCCCGCAGATCGTGGCCGGGAGGGGGAGGACGACCTGGCAAAAGCACACCAACCAAGCAATCTCAAGCCGGACTGCCCCAGAGGGAACAGGAACATAGAGCAGAGGAGAACGAGTGGTGGCCGCCACTTCAGTCTCTCACTCTCTTTCACACAAGGACGTTGCTTTCTCCAGGCATTGTCTTAGTGCCTTTGTGGAGCGACCCACCAGGCCACCAGCAATATGATTGGGCATGGACTCACGATATGTAGACGCTGGTTGATGATCCGCTGCATCTCAACATAACTGCACTGCATGGCTGTGCTGTGGCCCATGGAAACAGGCTGCTGCAACGGAGCCTGCTACAGTTCCTGCCCTGAGTCTTGACCGTCCAATCTGGATGCCACGGAAGGGGGGGCGCATCTTTCTCTGCAGCGCTGTCGACTGCCGTCAGCTCCCAAACAAGAAAAATTCAGATCTCATTCTTACTATAGTTACTAGAGTACAGGTAACTTGCCGGCGGGCGATGCCGGATTTGGGCATGCACGTCCTCTGCGTTAGAGGAGTTTGGGGTTTCCCGGGTTTTGTTACAAATGCGAAAATCCGAAAGTGTGCTGATGGAACCCTCCATGAGAGCACTTTGGCTGGGCCGCCGCGGCTGCGAGCTTGTGCGCGATGGGATGTAGGCTGCGGTTTTGATCTTATTGCTTGTGTTCTGGAAGTTGCGGTTTTCGACTTTTGACTGTTCGTGCGTCGCCGTTCCGCTTGCTGACCGTGGCCTGGCTGTTTGCCGACTATGGCCGCCCTGCTCGTGACTTGTGTCCGTCGTGTTTGTCATTGTTGTGTTCTTTCGATTCTTTTTTGCAGACTGTGGCCCAGTACAAGTACAGCAGCAGTAGCAGGAGCATGGTGGGTGCGGTGCGTGTGGTGAGTGTGGTGAGTGTGGTGGATGTGGTGCGTGCGGTGGCAGTTCGGAGGGGCGAGGGAAGGAATAGGAGCCGGAGCCCAAGGGGAAAAGGACTGTAGGAGCATCATCAGGCCAAGCCACGGTCGGGACATGGTCGGCGAAGACCTCACTCGTCAGGGATCTTCGTGCACTGGCCAGGGATCTTAGTAGGTTTGTTCAAGCTACCGCTGAGCTTTAAACATGCATGTATTATGGATGTGAAACTGCGATGCAAACAGCTGAAGGTATCCGCAGGAGAGCCTCGTCACGGTGGCGCTCCTGGAGCTGCGCGCAGTCTCAGGCCTAGTCACGGCTGACTTCTGTAGGCTTCTGCAAACTACAGGAGGGGCAGTGTCCCGTAAACAACAAGTCGTCCTAACGCATGAAGCAGCTTCAAGCATGAACAGACAGGGGTTGTGTACCCGAAGCTGGTCGCTGGACGGACACCTAGTCCAATGTCAGGGACGATGAGTTGGAAAAGCTGTCGGGTGCTCTCCCCACCCAGGCCTGTGCTGCATAGCCGCATCTGGCGAGGCATCGGGCAACGCAACGTCTTCGCTGGTCAGATAGAAGAGGTCTTCCGTCTGTGTAGCGGCTGCCACTCCGTCTCGCGGGGCTCTGTTTGCGCGGAAGGGCCGGTGTGAGCCAGCCAGCTGGGTCGTCAAGTTCTCGTGGCTGGGATTTGCACGAAGACTGAGACGTCCAAGACGCTGTTCCATATAGAGCTCCTTGCCAAACCGCTGCTCCATGTAGAGCTCCTGGCTACAGGCGGCCGACAGAGAGCCCAGAGACTGCAAGTAACTACCTTGCGAAACTACGATGGCAATAGAAATGACAGAAAAACAAGAGTAGTATCCACAACCGTAAGACTGCCAACAGCAATTTGAAGCAGTACCGTTCCTAGCAAGACGAGTGTGAACTACATAATTATACCATAATTATATACTTATACTATCATTACATAATTATACTATCATTATATAGTTATATATATATATATGTATGTATATGAAGCCTCTTGTCTCTCCTCCAACTTCGACTTCAGGAGCGAGGCTTGTCCGTCGGTCACGGGCTGCGCGCGCCAAGCCTCCTTTGAGGGAGCCGGCCTCCCAAAAAAGGAGCGTTCGAGAAACTTTAGGGTGTAGGGTTTAGGGTTTCTTCCGAAACCCCCTTGGGCCTGGAAGCCTAAAAGCCTTTAGGGGCTTCGGGCTTTGGGCTGAAGGTCCTGCCTTAGGGTTTGGGTTTAGGGTTTCAGGCCTTCTGGTTTGGAGCCCTGCCTGTGAAAAACAGGCTGCGGGCCGAAGGAGGGGTCCGAGCCGGGATCTGCCAGGGAGTCCTCCCCAGCCTGCACGCTGCTGCCTGAGGCCAGCTGGGGGCTTTTTCCGAAAATCAGGGGGGTACCTTATCCCTTGGAGTCCTTACAAGAAGGATCCTTCTATTTAGGGTACTATAAAAGGGTCCCCTATGTTCGGAAACTCCCAGCTAGCTTCGGCATGGTTCGCAGTAACGTCCACTATGAATCTCCCCTATGTCCCCGTCGAGGTCCTAATCTCAAAATCCTAGACCCCTAAACAGGCTGAGAATATTGCAACCCCCAACAACTTTAGATCTCTGGAAAAAGATACCACACCCCTCAAAACCCTAAGCCTAAACCCCTAAAACCGCCAAAACCCTCAAAAGTTATGTAAAAAAGGCCGCCCTGGGCCTGCTCTTTCCTTGCTTTCTTCGGCCGATGCGCCCTCCACCTCGGGCCCCGTGGAGACTGCGAGGCCTTCAAGGCTGAGCTGAGCCTGAGAGAAGCAGGGTTCCCTTGAAGGAATCCCTTTCATCCCCTTATATATAAATATGTGTATATATATATATGTATATATATATATATGTTTATTTAATCATACACATATGGGTAGTTGTCAGAATTATGGTCCCGTTTTGGGTGCCCTAATATTAGGTGCCGTAGTATACTGAGGACCCAAACAGGGACCATAATTTTGACAGCCACCCATATATGTATACACGTATAGAAGCGCTTTATCGAGCCGTCAGAGCCCTTTAAGCGCTCCAAGTAAGGGCTCCTTACTAGGGGTTCTCGGGGTTTCTTTTGCTGAAGGGCTGCTTCTGCCGAGGGCGTGGGGCTGTTTTGGGCCCTGTCAAGCTTTTTTTTTTAAGTGCCTCACCTACGGGAGTTTAGGGTGTCAGCACCCCCTTCACTTGGGCTTTCGGGGTTTCCGGCCTGCGTCAACGCCTCAGTCGCTTCGACGAGTTCCGACCCAGCGATGCTCCTGGCACTTGGCAGCCAGAGGGCTCTGAACGGCATAGGGATCCTTCAAAAAAGCTCGAGGGGACCGCATGTAGGCTGTTGGGCACACGGACCTTTGAAAGGGGTGTTGCTGGGAGGAGGATTGGCCATTCAAGCAAGCTGCTTGCATACTTTCGTGCGGGCTTGGGTCTTCAGCTCGCCAAGTGCTAAGCTTGCTGCTTTTGCATCACAAGCTGTGAACAAGCCTTGCCTCTCGTCGAAGTCAGGGGTCGGCTGCGGCTGTCCTGGTTTGAGAAAAATCGCTTTACTTGCTACGCCCATCTCTTCATTCTACCGGTGCTTGTGCTTGCAGCCGAACTGCTGAGCTCCACGTCCACGTGCACTGGCTTCCGCTGCTCCTTCCGTCAAGTCTTAGGAGCCCGAGAACAAAGGCTTCCGATCCGAGCGGCGGCACCTTCTCCGCCAGCAGAGCCATGGCTGAAGCGCGTGGCAGCCAGTCATCCTCGAAGCTTCATTCGGAATTCGGCCCTCTGAGAGCCCTCCCCAAAAGCTCTGACTCCAAAGTTCATCATACCAGAATACTATACCACTGTAATGCTCTAATTTGACTCTACTACGATGCTACTATAACACTATGATTTGACTATAATACGATACTACTATAATACTATGGTTTGACTACATAATAGGATACTACTACAATACTGTAGTGTGACTACATAATAGGATACTACTACTAATACTGTAGTGTGACTACATAATACGATACTACTATAATACTGTAGTTTGACTACATAATAGGATACTACTACAATACTGTAGTGTGACTACATAATACGATACTACTATAATACTGTAGTTTGACTACATAATAGGATACTACTACAATACTGTAGTGTGACTACATAATAGGATACTACTACAATACTGTAGTGTGACTACATACCCTAAAACCCTAAACCCTAAAAATACCATACTGCTACTTTGCCCGCCTCCGCCTGACTCGTGGGGAAGAACTTCGTCCTTGCCGGGCTCGGGGGCCTCGCAACGCCGAGAAGGACCGAGGCCCATACGATACTATAATACTATAATACTATATAGTACTATATAATACTATATAGTACTATATAATACTATATAGTACTATATAATACTATATAATACTATATAATACTATATAATACTATATAATACTATATAATACTATATAATACTATAAAATACTATAAAATACTATATAATACTATAATACGATAAACTGTATTACCATAATCCTATAATGCTAGAATACTATACTACTATAATGCTATAATGCCATAATGCAGTAATGCTATAATTCTATAATACCATTACATCATTCTACTATAATACCATGATACCATAATACGATAATGCCAATACCATAATGCCATAATACCATAATACCAGAATACTAGAATACCATAATACACGGTGTTCAAGCCCTCAGGATCCTCTGCGAATGCCTTTAAGGTTCCTTTAAGGGCTCATACCTGACCCCCGAAAACATGAAAAATAATGCTTTAAACCCTAAACCCTAAACCTTAAACCCTAAACCCTAAACCCTAAACCCCCCTCCCTGGGCTCCCAGAAAAGGCCCGGCCTGCTCTTCGGCAAGACCCCGCCGCTCAGGGAGATCCTAAGATGCCCGATTCAGAGGCCCCTCCCCTGTTTTAGCAGTTTAGGGTTTAGTAGGGTTTTAGGGTTTAGGGTTTAGGGTCTAGGGTTGAAGGTTCAGAGGTTTATTGCATACTACTTTGTAGTACCTTAGGCCCTGAGGCCCCAGGATGGAGCCTCCCCCAACCCAAAGCACAAAGGCCCTGCTCTGGGGCGATACCGGTAGGAGCGGCTGAGGCGCCAGTGGCCCCAGAGCTTCAGGCGACTCGCCTCCGTCAGCGGCTGCAGCTCCAGAGCCGGCGCCTCGCCTCGGATTCGGCGGAGCTTCAAAGGCAAACCTCTATATATATATATATATATATATATATCTATCTATCTATCTATCTATATCTATATCTATATCTATATCTATATCTATATGTACCTACTACGATCGACTGGGCTTCAGCTTCTTTGCCAAGGAGGTTCCCACATGTTCCGAAGATGTGCGAAGTGGCAGAGACCTGCAATTGAAATTCCAGGGCTGCCAGCAAGGCACAGGTTGACTTCAAGCAGATCACGCACACCCCGCAGATCACATCGAAGAATGTGAGGACGGCCGCGCCGCAGCACAAGCTCATAGGAGAACCACGGCCATAGATTGATGCCTCAAGCCGCGGAAACCTGAAGTCAGCGTCGCTTGTCTGCAATTGCCTCGCCACCTCCACACGGACTTCGCGGTCTTCGAAGCGGTGCTCTGGGAAGAGCTGCCGTAAAACGGCGATGGCTGCCACCCGCGCGGTGGAAGGCACAGCATTGCCGCGGCGGCGCTGGGGGTTTCTGAGTCCAGGCTGCAGCTGGAGGGCTGCCTGCGCTCTGCTCTGCTGCTCTGCTCTTCTTGTCCTAACGTTACCCAACAGGAGAGACCGTTACACGGAAGGCTGAAAGCATCTGAAGACCCTGGCCCCATCTGAAGACCCTGGCCCCCCCCGGGCGCCTTCATCTGCATCCTCTTCTTGGCGCCGAGGCCTTCCCTGTAGGCTGCCTGACGGCTGCGCCCACAGGTGGTGCCGCAGTAGTCGTCCTGAAGCCAGGTGAACACCTGCCAGGAGGCTCAGCGTGCCATGGGAAGAGCCACGAAGATCTTCTTACAGGAACTGGCGCCTGCATCATCACCTGATGCATGTGCTGACGCTTCTGCTCGTCTTCTTCCTCGTGGGGCAGGGGGCGTGACGAACCGCTACTGTAGGAGTAGGACCTGGCGCCCGCCAAGTGTCCTCGACCGGCTGCTCGTCAGTTCCGCCGGCGCCGGCATCCTGACACCTCGCAGAGCATCGCAGGGCAGCGAGGAGCCGAAAAACCCATCGGAAAGGAGAATCCTCTGCCCTCTCAGTGCTCGACAAGGTCATGGAAGCCAGATTCCTGAAGGCTTCTCCTCTCAGAGGCTTATCTTATCTTTTCTTCTTCAGTACTCATCTTACGAAATACTTCACCCTTGCTGCCGTCTAGTGATCTACTGCCACCCCCAGGGCTGTCCTGCATGTTCCAAGCCGGATCTTGTGGGGCAAAGCTTCGAAGGGATCGGCCCGGGCCCTCTCGGGCTGCTTCCTTCGGCGGGCGGTTTCCGCTGGTCCCGCAGGCGGGACCACGTAGGCGCTTCGGCCGGAGGCTCGGCAAAGCGGAGCAGGAGGTCGTCCTGAAGCCTCCGCACATCCTCGGTGAGGATCAGCTCCGAAGGCGGATCTTTCGTCGGATCCAAGTAGCTGCCCAGAGCCGCCTCCTCACAGTCTGGTGTCTTCCAGCTGGTGCATCGCGCGCTCGCCACAAAGCCCGAGCTTTTCGGCCTGTACCCAGGCATGCTGTCCCAAGCCACGGCCCTCCCTATCCCATGGCATTTCCGGCTCGCCGGGCCCGAACATGGCACAAGCCAGAAAAAGCTGCTTTTTGCGGGTCAGTGGAGCTTGAAGATACTCTTGTGCTCTGACGCAAGGCCAGAAGGGATTTCCGGGTTCTGGTGCATGTTTGTCTTGCTTGAGCCAGTTCTCTCAGAAATTCTTAAAATCCTGGCAGAGGATGCCATCCGGCGCGGTGACTGAGCCGAGTTTCGCTTGAATCGCTGCGCGTAGCACATGTTTTCACAAGAGCCGGCGGTCCCGTGGAAAGGATGCCGAAAGCTGCAACCAGCCTTCCGGTCGCGAAGCTATGCGTCCAGATCTTCTTGATCTGTGCTCCCTTCGGGAGGTAACTCTCCATCCAAGTCAGCTTGCGCATTCTCCTCAACCTCTTCGAATGCATTCGGTTCCTGATGCAGTTCATTGGTGCCTGTACTGTGCTTCGTACTCTAATGGTTATCAGAAATGGCGGCTGAGACACATGCTAGTAGCTGGTGAACTGAATCCTGAACCCCCAGACCCTAAACCTCAAAACAAGCACTCCGAAACTTCCAAGCCCTAAACTTCCCTAAATGCTGACCCAACTCCTACACTCCAAGCCCCGCTAACTACTATCCGTGTCAGAGCATGGAGACTGGCAGCGAGTCCGAGAGCCTCAATCTTGCGGTAGAAGGCGACGTAGGCCTGTGCCTCGACAAACAAACCGAAAGAGACATACCGAAAGACCTGTTCCAAATACTATGGGCCTCGTGTCACAGGACCTTTGTAGTACTTTCCTGGTTTTCGTGCTTTTCAGGACATTTCGGACGACTCTGTGGGGTTGGGGTTAGGGTGCGGTGGTGTGGTGGGGTGGGACTCGGTTCGAATGGCAACCTTGCCCAGAACAGTGGTATTTTCAGCGCGTTGCCGCTTTACAATATTAAATACGACATATTGCAGAAGGATGTTGCACGTTTCTGTACAAGCGCTTATGCCTTGTGCGAGCATGCCGAAAACACTGGTATGCACAGCGTGCTCGCCACCAAAGAACAAACTGCGGCAGGATGCTCGACGTTTCTGGAACACAACGCACTATTGCAACGTTCGTGCCCTGAGCGAGCATGCCGATTCTTGTTCGGTGTTTGGCCTCTTTGCACAACATAATGACATAAGCATCAATCAACACTCAATCAATGAACGAATCAAATAGTCAATGAATCATCCAAATAACTACCTACTCAGTGAATCAATGAATCGATCGATCCAGCGATCAATCAAATCATCCACATTTGCTGTTTGTCCTTACTGCGCACCGGCCAAAGCGATTGTCTCCAAAGCACACCAGCTGGCCCTCAGCTTTGACGGCGCAGGTGTGATAAACTCCTGCGGCCACGGCCACCATTTCTCCCAAGCCCGGAGGCACATCGCACTGGCCGTTGTCGTTCTGTGCGAAGCACACCAGCTGGCCATCAGCTCTGACGGCACACGTGTGGCGGTAGCCTGCGGCCGCGGCCAAGCCGGGAGGCACAAATCACTTGCCAAACCAACTGTCCAGAAACACACCAGCTGGCCCTCCCCAAGCACCGAGGCACATCGCACTGGCCTTCGTGATTGTATCCAAAGCACACCAGCTGCCCATCAGTTTTGAGGGCGCAAATGTGCCAACCTCCTGCAACCACGGCGATCACTGCTCTCAAGCCCGGAGGTGCGGAGCACTAGCCCTCAAGATTGCGTTCAAAGCGCACTAGCTGGCCGTCAGTTTGGATGGCGCAGGTGTGCTCATCTCGCCTCGGTCATTTATTCCAAAGGTTGAGGGTTTAGGGTTTAGATCTTAGGGTTCAGGGTTTAAGGCTCAGCGTTTAGAGTTTAGGGTTCAGGTTTTCAAGGCTACGGCTACAGTAGGGTTGAATACCAAGACAACGATGATAACAGTACACAAAAAATGTTTTTAATAATCCACGTGTAATAAATAATTTAAAGTAGTCATAATCAGTCTTGCAACAGTGATAATAATGCAGCGGCACCTTACAGTAGGCGGAGCCTGCCGGCAGCTGTTCCAGTTGGCCAAAAGCGCCGGCATGAAAAATGGCCCCATTGAAAACTTCGGCTACACCCATCGGAAATGAGGCTCGCTGAAGTCACAGGACACGAACTCCAAAGTCTCCTGCGCCACAGTTTCCATGTCCTGCAAAGTTTTTGACAGCAACATGTGAAAGCAACATGCAGCTAGTTTTCGATCCCCCTGGAAGTGGCATGAAGCGGCTCAAGACTTGCAAGCAATCATGGAGCTAGCTTTCCAGGCAAAACGGAACTAGGAAGACACGTGGCTTCCTTGTGATTTAATTCGGCCCTTACAATGCCTTACAACTCAGAAAACTTTTTGCGAGCTCTGCGCTCCTCTGCAGGGACAGCGGCGGGGGCTTGGAGGCGCGATTCCCAAAACTTCATGGCTATCTTCACCCTGGCACGGCGAACCTTCGCCGCACCTTTCAGCGCGAAAAAACCAAGCTTCTCATAGAACCGCACAGACTGCGGGAGGGATTGGAGGATGACGTACTGGCGCCCGAGTGCTCGTGCCCACGACATAATGGCCTGCATCACGCGGGTGCCGGCTCCGGACCCTAGCGAGCCAATGCTGTCGACCAGAACGCCGTGGGTAAACCAAAGCGTGACCGCAGCACCGCACTGAAGCACCCAATGCCCAAGCCAGCCCAAGCCCCAGCCCCGCAAACCAGCAAAGGCTACCATGCCGGGTTCGTTGGCCATTTCTTGTGCCTCTAAATCAAGCGCATCCTCCAAAATTGGTAATCCTTGTGCTTCTTTGATGCGCCGCAATGCAAGTCGGAGGCTTGCAAGTCCCCAACTGGAAGTCGGCTCTTGGACTCGTGCTTCTTCACATTGCCATATGGACCTCCAAAGAACGAGTAGGACACAAAGTACGCCTGAAGCGCCAGCAGCCACTGCAGCCTTGCTGTGCCCCTCCACCACGCGAGGCTTGCTGAGCCCCTTCATGACGCGAGCGCCCGCAGCCACTGCAGCCTTGCTGTGCTCCTCCACCACGCGAGGCTTGCTGAACCCCTTCATGACGCGAGGGCGTGGCCGCCCAATCATCATCGCCTTCGGAAAGCTCAGCTCTGGCCCGGAGCCACACAGCACGTGCGCCTGTGCCAGGCTGATGGGGCCATTTTGGATTGCACCCGGGCAATACGCGCCAGCACGAGGCAGGTTTGGAAATCCCATGCTTGCCATTTCCATGGCACAACGCGAAAAAACTGATCTTCAACGTCGCTTGAAAGCTTGAAGATGCGAGGTGCCCAAGATGTCTTACCGAGGACCCAGCCCTGGGCCGGTTATTGTTGCTGCTGGTGTTGTTGCTTAAGGCTCCCACCTCGCTGTGCCGCCGCATTTGGCCTGGGGGGAGGCCACTTGTCCACATGGCCGGGCCTGTGGCCTGGACTAACAATGGCAATTGCTGACAATTAAAACGATGAGAACGATTACAGATGACCACGGCATCTGAAGGCCCAAAGATGGCCATCTCAGAGCCCGACGCATGGAGACCCTGAGCTCTTTGGGCCTGCAGCGTGGGGCCCATTTGTGCCATATGTGACATATGTGCAATTTCCAATTCTGCCCTTTCTCATTCTTGTTCTCAGCGCGGCTCTTGCCCGCGACACATGAAAGAATCGAATCTGAGTGAACACACGCTACTCTCGGAATATTCATTGGAGCAGTCTTTTTCAGACATGTAGCTGCATCTAGTTGCTTGCACGAAGCATGACCCACGCCTCCTTCCAAGACTTTGGCACCTCAGGGCCCGAGGTGTCCATCTCGGTAGTGGTCTCCATATGGGAGCCGACAGGGTCCGTGTCCATGGCTACAGCTGGGCTGTCCTCATGGCGGGCCTTAGCAGCCATGTCGCTTGGCAGCTGACTTTCCTCCTTGACAACCACCTTCTCGCTGCCCTTGGTCAACAAACGTGCCATGGCCGCATCCATTTCCTGGAGCCGCAGGTCCAAGGCAGTTTCGTCCACCTCCAAAGTCGTGAAGGAGGTCAGGATGGAATTCACCGTCTCATCCTCATGGGCAGAAAGATTGTGTGCCAGGGTAGCACGGGCCAAGGCCACATCATCATCCGGCTTCTCCCATTCCGGATCACTGTCCCCTGTGTCACGAGGGGGAACCAAGCTCTCAACCGTCTCCATGCTGGAGGCAAGGACATCATCGACATTAGCAACGGGGGTGAGTGCCATGATCGACGGTCGCGAGAGAAAAAGCCGGAGCGAAGGTTACAAATTTTGAAGGACCCACGGTCCACGATCTTGAGCCAAAATGGCAGAGCCATTTTGGCAGACGTCTCCTGACATACGACTTGCAATTCGGCAAGCTCTGTTGCAAGTAGCTAAGGTTTCGTAGACATCTTATGCAGGGAACGTAACACTGCGCTCTATGCACAGGCACCCTTGCAGTAGAAGCGCTACAAATCCCGTCGCCCCGCATTGCTCCACCCCGAAATCCTCCACTCCCCTAAACCCCAAAACGCTAAACGCCCTAAGATCTGGAAGCCTGGAAAACCCGAACCCGGAAAACCCTAAACCTTCCGGGTACTGACCCTAAACTCCCCCAAACCAAACACCCTGAACTCCCCTAAATCTCTGACACCCTAAACCCGAAAGTCCCGTCACCCCAAAACCCTAAACTGCACTAAATCATCCTAAACCTGAAACCCTAAACTTTCCGAAACCCCAAACCCCAAACTCCCCTAAGACCCTAAACACCCAAACTCCGCTAAACCAACAAGCCCAAACCTCCGCTAAACCAAAAACCCTAAACTCCGTTAAACCCTCCTAAAGTAAAATCTCTAAACTTCCCTAGAACCCCAAACTAAACCCTAAACCCTAAACCCTAAACCGTGGCCTCCAAGACTTCGGACCGGGAGCAGCTCCAAACGTGCGTGTCGCTGGCGCCGTACCACTTCTGCTTCGGGTTTTTAATAACAGTTTAGAGTCTGGGAGAGCTTAGGGGGGTTTAAGGTTTTAGAATTCACAGGACCAAACCCCTAAAATCCGAGAAGCCACTGCACCCTGGCTTAGAGGTCTAGGGTTGCAGGGTGCATTGGGTTGAGGATTTACGGTGCATCATGGAGTTTATAATGGTTGTAACACTCATAGAGCTTCTTGGGTTGATAAGGCTTATAGAGCTTGTAAGGCTACTGAGGCTCGTACGGCTTGTAAGGCTGTTGGGGTTTATGGCGCTTCTGGGGCTTGAGGGGATCTAAGGGTTCATAGGGCTCTTGGGGTTTATAGGGCTTATCGGGTTGAGGGGTTCGGAGCTCAGTGTATGGGGCAGGTCGCGTCGATTTAGGGCTCGGGGGTTTGGAGCTTTGGGTGTTTAGCATATTTCGGATGTTGGGGTTTCGTTCCCTGAAAAGGCAATCGACCACCCTCCACGAAGTCTGGTCTCCTCCTCAGCGAGTGACGGGCCCACGTTGATGAACCTTGCCGACAGCCGGGGGGGGGGGGGGGGGGGAGTTCTTGAACTTGTGAGCACGATCGTGAGAATAAGGACCCTACTATTCTGGGTCATTGCAAGAGTCCCAAGTTTATTGGCATAGAGATGGGCGGCTGCTTGAAGAAGCTGGGTGCAGAGCGCGATGTAATGCCCGGACCTCCAGCTCCGAACACACGAAAACCATGCACTGCAGATTGGAAGGTGCGGTGGCCATCACCCCAGCTGATTAGACCAGAAACAGATCCGGACCGAGGTTCCAGCTGCAGTGAGCCACCCTTGTGCACGCAGATGCCGTAGATCTGTCACAGAGAAGACGACGAGACTGAAGAGAAACCATGACGACGACTACTACTACCACGACTACGACTACGACTACTACGACTCCTACGACTATATCTTCTACTTCCACCTCCACTTCCACTTCTACTTTTTGTTAGTCGTTGTCAGGAGCAGCGGGTGCCTCGAACCGCGAGCCTCCCTCCGACTTGCAGATCAACTCCTGCAAAGAGCATAGTTTGGGGGGAACCCGCTGGACACTATCAACTCGGTAGGGTAAACGGTTGAGGGGTTACGGGACGCTACATGCCTGCAACGATGCTCCTTGCAATCAGAGGCCAGGTGAGGTCGCAAACGTCCGCATGTCTCCTAGCTGCACACGAAAGGCTTCGCTGGGAGCGTACCCAATATCGCGAGACTAGTCTGGATGCTCACGGCGGCTTTGACATGAAGATCTGAAGAGTTTGTGGCAGGATGCATCATAACGATCATCATCTTTGCTGAATCGGGACTCTGTCAACTTTACAGTGGCTGGGATTCGCCCAGGAGTCCCGCTAATAGCTCGGAACCACAGATACACCCCCACGCACATGCAAGTGCGTTGGCGACAGATTGCTGTAACTTGACAGTTCCAACATTTCGACTGTGCAGACGCTGATTTTCATCCTCTGTCAAAAGGTAGTCGCTGAGATCCAGAACAGCCGGCCTGCGCAAGACTCTGCTATGAAGAGATTTACACCTGTCGATCCCCAAAGGTCATCAAGAAAGCTGGCGATGCACGTTGGAAAACTGCCCCGTCATGGCTGGGCCCACGGCAGCGTCACATGCTTGCCGTTCTTCTCAAACTTGGCGCCGCTGCGCCGGAATCTGTCAATTTCAGGCTTCGTCTTAGGCTTATGTGTTGAGAAACACGCAGGACAATCCGTCCAGCAAGTCGTTGACCGTGATCTGATGTTGAGAGGCTTCCCGTTGGCACCTCTTCATGTGGACCGTCAGCAGTGGCGGCAGAGGCTGACAGAGCCAGACCTCACAAAGCAATGTAACAGTTCACTGGTTTGGCAAAGATGATCATGCGAGAGTGTCTAGACATGATCTCTTGATCTCGCCGTGTTTTGATCTCCCACAATATCAATTACAGCATGCCAGCCAGAAGATGGAAGCAAGGACGTCCGCGCCGGTTGAGTGCCGGGCCTTCCGAGACGCAAAGCTTCTGGGGAGAGCCTGGCCGGACTTCCGGTCAAAGCAGGCTATGCCAGCTACGCATGTAGGGTTTGGGGTTTGGGGTTCAGGGGTTTGGGGTTTAGGGTTTGCGGCCTCGTGCTCCGGGATAAGAGCTTGCAGTGGGGCTTGACCCTAACTCTGATTCCAGGTGGAGGCAGGGACGGCTAGCCTGCCCCCTTGGTTCAGTACAGCCAAGAGCCTCCCACCTGCATGGATTTAGTCAACAGAAGCTGACGGACATCTCTAGGAATCTGAATCCGCCCGGGCTTCAACTTCATGCCTGCTCGCATGATCTTCATTGCTACTTCCAGGCTTCCTCCTGCTTTGCTGTTATTAGTCTTTCGATTCTCGATGATGGTAGCGACATAACTATATACCTTACTAACTAACTTTCTGGCAGTGGCGAATCAAGACTCAGCTCTTTTTGCACAGCGCGTGCATCTCTTCCGGTCGGATTCTGGCCAGCTACTTTGGGTTCAAGCGCTGCCGACTGAGAAATCGTTAACATGAGTGTTGGGAGCAGAAGCGGAGCATGCTGCGTGTTTAGTTTCACTTTAGGGCCTAGGACGTATATATATATATATATATATATATATATACATAGATATAGATATAGATATAGATATATAGATATAGATATATAGATATATAGATATATAGATATATAGATATATAGATATATAGATATATAGATATATAGATATATAGATATATAGATATATAGATATATAGATATATAGAGATATAGATATAGATATAGATATAGATATAGTTATAGATATAGATATAGATATAGATATAGATATAGATATAGATATAGATATAGATATAGATATAGATATATATATATATACAGTACATTGTGGTATACTGACTCTGTAGGGGGGATGTCTCACTTCGGCAGCCGGAACCTTCTGGCTCAGAGCCCTCGCTCCTCTTTCCAGGCATAGAACACGGGCTTCAAGCGATCCCTCAGTTGGGTTTGGGGCTCTTTCCGGGGTTCGAGGTATACGACTTAGCGTTTGGGGTTTGGCATTTGGGTGTTGGGGTTTAGCGGTTCAGGGTTTAGGGTTTGAGGCTTGGGTGTTGTTGTTTGAGCGCCTTCTCCATCCTCTAAGAGGAATCCGGAACACAGGTTTTAGCATTGTCTCCAGGACAAATCAGCGACGCCTACTGAGCTCTGCGTTTACACTGAGCGCCAGGCTGGAATGACACCCAGTCAACCATCCTTCAGGGACACATCCGCATAGGCTTTGGGTTAAGGGATGCATACATCAAGAATGGCGGAACTTCTTCGCTTGCATTGCATCAAGTTAAACAAATGCCTGCATGGCGCTTGCCAAACTGCAGACACAACACGTGTCTGCTTACACCATGTAAATATGTAGGTATGCACCCATATACACATGTAACCGGTCAATATACAGGATGCCGACTTGCCACTCCAAGATCACGAAAAGTGTTGAGTGTATAGCTCCGGAAACGCCATCAGTAGCTTTTGCCTTACAGCGTGTGCCAAAACAGCACCCACATGACCAAGAGTGTGCGGAACATAGCTTCGGGATGTGGGAAACCCGCCGAATGTCAAACAAAGGCGCAGAGCAAGCCGAAAGCCGAGCTGTGCAGTACTTACAGCCCCCTTCATGAGCACATCAAGATGGACGAAAGACATGCAGGTAACACAGGTAGCAACCATTAAATTGACTGCAAAGCCCCGAAAGGGTCTTTTAAGGCGGTTGAGCTGGCCGTATGGATGCCAGATTTCTCTTGATCCGAGCCAAGCCCCATAAACCCATTCAATCCACTAAGACCGGGTCACGAAACCCGCATGAAACTCGATTTGTATTTGTTAGGTCATGCATTACCGATACTGTTATCATAATTATAGTAGAGTGGGCCCCAAAACCCTATTCTAAGTATATATATATATATAACCTGGCCTCCTATGAGCTTCCTTCCGAGATCCGGACTGCTCTTGACTGCGCCATGAGATAGCATCCACCTCGCGGCGCTCACTGCACGATCTTGAACTAAAGCCTTTTGTCAGTATCTCACTGCACGATCTTGAACTAAAGCCTTTTGTAAGCATTAAAGGCTCTCCAGGTTGGGGTTAAGACGTATCCTCACTACTTATAGTATTGTGTACATCATCGAACGGGTTGTACATGAAATATGTACATATATACATCTACATACAAAAGGAGAAGGCACACAATCGCAATAGAAAAGGGAAAAGCAAGGAAGAATCGCCTGGAAAAGTTGCATATGCATGCATGGCAGCACATAGCATGTACGCTTGACCGCACGACTTACCTTTGGTAAGTAGGGAATGGAAGAATGGTAGTAATAGTAGTCATAATTGTACCATATTGTACCCCATTCCTCCATTCCCTACTAAGCAAAGGTAAGACGAAGGCTTCAAAAGAACTGCAGGAAGAGAGTCGGCCTCGGCGGACAGACGTCGCAGCTCCGGTGGAGTTGACTCCGGCCTTGTTTCGGCTGACATCACGGATCCAGTCATCCCATGAGCAGCCTCCTAAGTTAAGGTCCTGTTTGGGATCCCCAGAAGTAAATCCTGCCTCTTCTGAGAAGGAGGGCATAGAGAAGACTCAAGCCACCCTAGTTCAGAGAACTGCCCATGCCTGAGACGTTGGCATTTCCTTTCGCTTCTCGGGAGGGGGTGGCTTGCAAATCACCACCTGACGGCACTCGACGGGAATCTACAACGGGCTGAGAACTACCCGACCGAGGCAGGAACCCAGTCATCAAGGTCAGGTCGCTTGAACTCCTGCACTTCACGAGCATTGCATCTGCCACGACAAGCAGGGTTCGTGAATCGCTCTTTGATCGAGGGGCCCAGTCGCAATGCAAGGTTGCAAGGCTGCACCAGCCGAGCTTTTCTAACAATCCCATGACTTACCCTGCTGGGCACGCCTTGAGCTCGTGGATTTCTATGGCGTAGCCCTGGACGTCGATGTAATTTAAAAACAACCTGGCGCAAGACTTGCAGCAGCACCGTTTTTCCAGCGAGGAGCTCAAACCTCATTCCCTGGGTCTCGTGCGGAGCGCCCGGGTACAGTACGTTATCTGCAAAAACGATAGCCTCGGTCGGACATGAAGAAGCACTCTTACAAGGAAGATAGGGCAAACGAGAGCCAGTAATGGACAAGTCGGTGCGGGACCGTCTCGGAAAGGCTAGGTTCAGCCGCGTGAAGGTCCTCGTGACAGGAGGTGGCACAATCTCTTGCGCTGCACATACAGGGCCAGGCCCTGCAAGCGCCTCATGGTAGATCGTGCCCCGATGGTCCTGCAGCTGTCGCTCTTCGGGCGACATGTGGCAGTGCACCGAAAACGAACTGCCCCGTGTCCAGGAGCAGGAAGTCAATGGTGCCCAGCTGCCCAGTGGCCACCCAGTCGCAGGCACACCTGGAATGCAATGCGGCATGAACAGCTGTGCAACAGCACTTCCGTGTGAATCCCATCTGCACTTTTGTTGAAGGGGCAATCATAAAATTTGCAAGCCAATGACCGAATTCCCTCTCTTCATGCCTGACAGAAAACGTGGCAGCAGCACCCCACCCGCACCTGGACTTCCCCCTCCACTCCAGCAAACTGCAGCACACCACCTGGATCGCAGAAGCATGCTGCAGAATCCTGGAAGCTGGAATCCTTCCTGTCCAGGCTCAATGCCCTCTTGTGCCTACATTCTCCTGCACTCCAATCCTGTGGCTCAGTGGGCCTCTTCCAGCGTTACTACAAGGCGTACGAGAAGCCGTTACTACACAAGGGGGTACCGTTGCGAAAGTCTTACTATGAAGCCTACTAAGACCACCACGGGCGATGTACGCATTGGCCGCATCCACTTCGCATGTGGTGACCTTGCTCGACACTAGACATCTTCAGCTACTCCTCCGTAGGCTGGATACTTTATTGCCCTTTCTGCGACGAAACATTTGCTTCACTGGGCACATCTCGGCACTGCACGCTGCCACGCCCTCCGAGTTCGCGTAATCGCTGCGCCATGACCATGGAGGAGTAGCCGACGTAACCTCGGAAGCTCTTTGGGATAACATCCGAGTCTGAGTCTGAGCCCACATAGGGAGTTTCCGAAAATAGGGGACCCTAATATAGTACCCTAAACAATAGGATCCGTATTACAAGAGCCCCCAAAATAGATTTCCCCACATTTTCGGAAACTCCCCCCCATGGCCACGCGTTCGGCTCTGTGCGCACTCCGAGGTGCCGGCAACCGAACTCAACGATGCGGTCCTCGGGCCGCAGCGTCGCCTCGGCTCTCAGGATCTCAGATTTGGCCTTATAGGGTTTGATCATGATTTAGGGCCTTTAGGGTTTAGGGCTTGGGGTTTAGGGCTTAGGGTTTGGGGTTTGGGGTTTGGGGTTTACGGAAGGGTTCGGGGTTTGGAGTTTCGGAACCTCCAGAAGCTCCTTCTTCTGCTCCCCCTGGATCTTGAGCCAGCTCCGCTCCTGCTTCGGGGAGTTGCGGTAACGGGGAGTCTCATCCGGAGGAGACTTGAGAGCCGCTCCTCTGCAAACTCTTCGATGACCTGTGGAGACTGAAACTCTCTTCTTTGCTGGGAAACACAGCTGAGGTTTCCAGTTTTCTTACGTACCTTGATCACGGACTGCACGTCTCCGGGAGTGGCTCGCTGCCTGCGCTACGTCTTCGCAAGAAGGAGCCCCAAGTATGCAAACGAAAGGGGCGGGCGAGCATCCGTGACTTTAGTTCGTCGACGACAAGCGCAGAGCGGGCATCCCCCCATGGCGCCTGATCCACTTGAAGAGCTGCACTTCCTTCTGCGCCATGGGCCTGACGAGGCAGTGGACACGCTGGTCAAACGCTGCAGACAGGCGTTCAAACGTCAAAAAATCGAGAGTCAAACCTCAAAGCTCCCAGGGGCACCGGACTTCGCACCTTCCGGAGCAATGACAAGTTACCCTCATCAGCGACAGGAACGATAGAATCAGTGCTGTGGAAAGGCTTTACTTTCGAGGTGGCTCAGTCTCCACTTTGCCTCCGGGAAGTCCACGGCGAGGGTGGCCTCGTTCAGGACCTAGCGCGAGGCAGCGCTAAGACTATCGGCTTGTCGCAGCCGTCGTTCCTCCTTTCTCGTCGGTCATCGCTGGTGAACCCGCAGCCGCTGCAGCACTCTGCCTCGGCAACGTTGTAGTCGAGCTTGCGCTGGCGCCTCAGTTTCCACGCTCGGCCACTGAAACGTGCCGAGACGGACTCTCGAAGGGTCTGGGAGCCTGGCATCTCGTCCTGGATCTCATCTGCAGCCCGCTTGTTCCTCAGACAAGCGACCGAGAGCCCTCGCCCGGGAACGAGGGCTACGAAGGTTCTGGAGAACGGCGGGCCTGCCATCGCGGCAGGCTTGAGCTGCACAGGCCAGCGCAATGCTGTCGGGTTCGACCTGACTCAAAGCAACCAAAGCTGATTCTGGGAGTTGAACTAAGGGTCGTCCCCGAATCCTAGACATGACTCCGGCTAGGATACAACGTCATGACCGGCCTCATCTAAGCGCATCTGCTCAAGCAGGGACAGGCACTGCGGCCAGCGGCCTGCTTCCATACAAGCGTACCTCCGAAGGTCTGCGACCGACTTCAAAGCTGGCGAATGCGGGAGTGCACTGCAGTCACGAGCTCGAGGTCTGAGTTTCACACAGCGCGACTCCGTAGCACATGAGATCGCGGGAGACATCTTTCCTGGTTGGCACGAGTTACGCGGCTTCCACCCGGCTTATTTGAGAACAGTGCTGCAAAGCGGCGGAGACTGCGGGGTGCCTGCACACTCCAGCATCTCCAGCGTTGCCTGCAAATGCAAAGCTCCGTTTGCAGGGATCTGATCTGTCAGAAACATATTTGTACACTAATAGTGCAAGAGTTTATTGGGTCTACAATAGGTAAACACCGATTAAAACACCCAAGTTGCCCAGGCCGTCAAGGCCTGAAAACTCCGATCCCTGAACGGCGGAACGAGATGTGGAACAGTCACTCTGAATCACAACTCAAATCCTAAACGCCCTGCAACCTGAACCAGGAAACCGAAAAATGGTGACACCAAAATCCCTCACCTCATTCTCAAAACCCCCCAGGCGCACTACCCCCAACCCCATGCAAACTGAAGCCCTAGCACCAGCTCGTAAATCCTTGACAGCAGCATATCCCACGCCAAACCCAAGATGATTACTCAAGACACAGAACGGAAGGGATGCTGCCGCGACCTCCCAAGCGCCAGCTCCGGCCTAAGCGGAGGCAGAAAATGAAGCAAGCACCACGACTGGCGATGATGAGCTATCACACCATGGACAAACATGCATGCATGCATGTCTGGATGGAGGGAGGAATGGATGGATGGACGGATAGTTATAGATTGTTGTGTTCTTCCTTTTGTTCCCGGAACGTGTATGGGGAGGCAGCCCGCATAACGTTCATTCTCTTCGGCGCCAGAGCGGCCTCTACACACACATCTAAGTCCCTGTTCATGCTCCCTGAGCCGCTATCTCTGCCCCACGCTGTTTTGGACGTATCTCCGGTTCCATTTTCGGATGTGGGGGAGGAGGCACGGTTAAGAATATCCCCTCGAAAGCCTTCTTCGTCCTGTGCGAAATCCCCCGGCCACATGGGCCCCCGTTGTTTGTTGGGGCCTTGCGGGGGTGTGACAACTGACAAAGGGTTTTTTGTGCTTTGCCAGGACATACTCATAGCATTAAAACTGTTATCACACAAGTCCCCCCATTGTCTTCGCTGACACATGCGTGAATCATAAGTCTTTCTTTCGCCAGGGCTGTAGTGAGGGATTTCCCCCCTCACCGGGCACTTGTGCGCCCCGACTGTTGCGGGTGCCAAAATGTTGCAATCAGGCACTCAAGACAAGTTTGAAAAGACAAGTGCAACACTCCGACACACAGGTCACGAATATACCAAAATCGCAGACACGACAAGCTGATGCATAAGCCTTTCTCTTGCTTGCACTCGGACAAGAGGACAAGAGCTGTAAACCCCTCCGCAAGCCTCTCTTTCTCTCTCTGTCTCTCTTCTGCCTTCTCTTGCGCTGTTTCTTGCTCGCTTGCTTGCGAGCCTCGCTCCCTCGCCTTCCCTAGCCTCAGCCACCGACACAGGCCATCATGCCGATGTGCCAGGACTCGCTGTTTGCCACCCCGAGCCTGAGCAGACGCTTTCAAAAGCCCCCGAAGTCTCAAACTTTCAGGGCTCCAGGGCTCGAGCTCTTGCGCCGTGGCCAAGAAGGTGAGGGCCTGGTACTCTTGGTTATTCTTAAGGTTGGGTTTTGGGTTTCCTTGATTAAGATCTGTAGCAAATAACCTGGTTTCCGTTTGGTAAAGAGTGAAGAACCCAGTACTTTGGTGTTCAGGGCTGAGGCTCATGATCTTGCTTGATCTTCATCTGAGGCCGAGTGTATAGAATGTGCAATTGCGATCTTGTACACGGAGAACTACCTAGCTATACCTGCATCTGCAGTTAACTGTCCACCCATCCATCCTATCCGTCTATTTGTATATCAAACATGTATCATCATGTCGTGGCAGGTCTTTGGTCGTTCTCTGCCGCATGCAAGTCCTGGAGCTGGAAAGGGTCTAGGAACCAGGCCTTCTCCCACTCACCGTTTCGACTGCAAGCCAGGGAAAGCGCCTGAGACGTCTCTGAGAAAAACGGAGGAAGGGAATTCTGATCTTGACGTCTCCTCTGGCTTCCAGTTTTGTTGGATATAATTAACCGCTCTTGGGATCAGTGAGTGGTGCAAGGATGTACGCAGAATCTTGTAGTGGCTCGCTCGCACTCAGAGGGCGCGATGACATGAGCAGCCCCTTCAGCTCAAACGGGCCAGGCCTGATAGGTCTCGAAATCAGGCTCGATGTTGGCAGCTGGCATGCCATCGAGCCTTGGTATGCAGATGCATCCTGCAACCACTCGAAGCTTCGGAGGGGTCGGATTGGACAAGCGATGGCTCCCGGCAGTCCCCAAACACCCCCAGCCCTACACCCAAAACCGACTCCGTGACACGGGCGCCGGACAAGCAAAGGGACCGCTCCCACTGCTGGCCTCGGCCCAGAGCCTCGGTATTCGAAGCTCTGGATCACAAGGAGTAGCCGTAGCCTTGCTCTTATGCAGCTACTCTCATGAGCTTTCATGTTGAATATGCAGTCTTCCTGTGGCCATTCGCATATTGAGACTCGTTTTACCTATAGATTGTGTTATCCAACCTGATTGCGACAATTTTTGAGGGATCGTTTCCCGCAGCTTGGCGTTGACTACATTGCCTCAGCCCCTCTCTGGTTGAGGCGCTCTGTGTTGTTAGAGGGTACCCTTCGTCTGCTCGATCTTCGAGCAGGCCGAGGACGATACTGCGATGGCCACATTGAAGGTCACCACATCCTGCTCTACCTCAGTGGTTCAGGGCTTAGGGCTGTGAAAGGCCTTGAGTTGAGGGCATGACGAAAGGCAGGGTCCAAGATAACGTGATCCAGCGGGGGCAAAAAAGGTAGGGCTTAGAAAGGGAATATCACGACATGCCCCGCGATATCGCTGAAACGACGTAGCATGACATGTTGCCAAGTCACATCACACCACACATCAAGTAAACTTCTGTACATTGCACAGCCTCGCACGCACCAACGGTAATTACGCAACTCAATACACAGGCATGAGACAAGATCAAGGGTAAAACAAAGTTGACATGGAGACATGCCGAGTTTGTTGTGTAAACAATTTCTAACGCCAGTATCATAATTGCAGCATTCTTTACGTACTAACGAAGCCATGAAGTTAAAATTGAGCTGGCACGAAAAAACATGAAGTCAGGCATGCATACATACAGACAAACCTAACTACTTAGCTACGTACCTACCTACCTACCTCCGTGCTTTTGTACATACATCCCTGCATGCATGTATACATGCATACACGCGTGCATGTATGTGCGAACACTTACATACGAATGCATGGGCAAGTTTGGTTTTGCCGTGTGTATTCTGTGTGGATGTGCATACTCCGCCAAAAGAATTCTGCACGATGTATGACAATCTGCCGAATCATGTGCTTGTGGTAGTGACGGGGTCCCTTTTTGTCGAATATCTCAGGTAGCCACAGTCAGCAGTCCCACAGGCATTCTGCGACCGCAGGTCAGGCCGGGCCCCTCGAGCATGGAGCACTTCCATGATCGACTTCTCATCGCCAGCTCGATAGGCGTAGTAGAAGGGCGTGTGACCATCACGCGAACGTGCTTCTACGTCGGCACCGTGGTCCAACAACAGCTGGCACGTCTCTGACGACTTACCGGTGGCCGCATAGTGAAGGGCCGTCCATCCGTTGCCCCCACGTGCATCGACTGCAGCTTTGGCAGCCAGCAGGGCCCTGCAGAGCCTGGGGATTCCAAGATGGGCTGCACGCATGAGCAGGGTCTGCCCGGCACAATCTGCTTGCTCCAGGAGTTGAGGAAAGGCCAGGACACTCAGAAATATCTCCGCAGTTGTGGCTAAGTTCCGACTGTCCTCGGAGATCTTCACCCGCATCTCCGGCGCTCTGGTCAACATGGCTTTCTCGCTGAGCGAGTCTTGCATCTGACGGCACACTGCTCGCAGCATCCAAGCCTCAAGAAAATCCAGGCTTGATAGTAGACACGCGCTTGCTGGCTCCAGGGAGATCATGTCAAAGATATGAAGAGGGCACTCGCAAGATCCGCTGGGAGAGGCCTCTTCGACCTTGTCAGGGGCAGTATCGGGCAGGCCTCAAACTCAATAACATCGAAAGCTGCGATACAGCGCGCCTGCAACGGTCGAGTTTCATCAGGCACGGGCGCCCGACCCTGAGGAGGCGGGTTGAGACGTTGACAAGGAAAAACTTAGCCATTCAAGCTTTCAGGACAATCGGATCAGGGAGAGTCTTCGGGGCTGTGAGCGTGTCAGCGCTCGGGCTGCCGGATCGAGACCCACAGAAAAGGCTGCTCTGTGTCGAAGATTATTGGGGAAGTGAAGCATCAGGTTGCAGAGGCGTCTTCTGCCGGGGAGCCAACGCCCCTCTGTACGCTCTCCAGCCAAGACATGCGCCCAGCAGGGCCGGCCAGAACCAGTTCGGTTTCACGGCATCGAGAAGCCTGCAAAGGTTGCCAAAAAGGCTCTGCTTGCTGAGGCAGCAAGGGCCTGCGGACCTGGACCTGCGGGCCTCCAGGCTCTCTTTGGCCACGGGCCCCATGCATCCATGCATAGCGAGGCTGCGGCAGCTCCCATTGCACGGGTGCCGAGAGGCCATGTGGGACAGGATTTCGATTACCAGTAACCCCTTAATGAACCACGCAGTGCAGCTGTGTCGGTCGCTCTGCTTCGTCTCCTCTGCTTCAAGGCTGTAAGCTCATGCTTGAGATGCTAAATTGCTAAATGCTCTGCGTTGCACTTGGCATCTGCGGTAGGAGGAGATGCCATGCCCTAAGGCTCCATGTGCTAATATAGTAGGTACTTAGGCCTTAAAGGGGTCCCTATACAGTTACTTAAAAGTTTAAACCCTAAGTACCTACTATATGGGTACATGGAGCCTTTGGGATGAAGCTCGGGGTCCTGCGCTGCGCCCCGTCATCTCTCCCAGGAGGCTCAGAGCCTGCTGCAGGGCGACACGCCAAGATGCGCCGAGGAACGGAGTTATTATTATTATTATCATCATCATTATGATTACTATTATCTTTACTGTTATGAATATGTATATATATATATATACTGTACATCATGTCTTGTTGTGGTTTGATCTAAGCTCCGCACCCATTCCCAGTGATGGCCGTGTTCGCCTGAGAAATACGAGGACCCACTCCCGTCACTGGAACCCGGACTGGTCTCAGCCCGTGGCAGTTTCGCAAGGCAGTTGTGTAACTGAGCGTCTCCTGACACCGCTGACACCGGAGAGCTTCAAATGTGGCTCCTGTAGGCTCACTTCCCCTTTGTCGGGCCTCGAAGTGGCCTCCAGATCGCAGAAGTTCTGCGGCCTCCGCCAGCCTCCGCTTGGGAAAGAGCAGCTGGCGACGACGGAAACGGAAAGACGCCTCTCGGCCGAGGCATCCTTCTGTCGGAAGCGAGTGCAGAGCGCACCCTGTCAGGAGACGTCAGCACTGATTTCTCTGCATTCTGCGCATTGGGAGCTGTCGACTTGGAGGCCTTGGAGTAAAGAACCGTCCCGGAAGATGCAGTAGACGGCACCACGACTTTGCCGGAAGCCTGGTACTCCAAGCTTACTCAGCACTCCACTCTCGATGTGGGAGGGCATCTTACCGCGATGTTCTAATCTTACCAGGTGAGCCTGGCCAAGTCCTGCAGTTTCTCAAACCACCCGTACCATCGTCAGTACGAAATTGTCCTGTTGCGAGTTTCATTGTTGCGTTGCTTTCCGTTACTGTGAGTGCGACCACTACCTAGATGAAACTTGGCACCGTTAGCACCACTACTAGCGACTACGACGACGACCACCACCACCATCACCACCACGACTAGTATGAGTATTTTCTTACTACTGCTACTACCACTACAACTACTACTACCACTACCACTACCACGACGAATACTACTGCTACGACTACCACTACCACTACCACTACCACGACTACCACTACCACTACCACTACCACCACGACCACGACCACGACCACGACCACGACCACGACCACGACCACGACCACGACCACGACCACGACCACTACCACTACCACTACCACTACCATTACGACTACGACTACGACTGCGACTGCGACTGCGACTACGACTACGACTACGACTACGACTACGACTACGACTACTACTACTACTACTACTACTACTACTACTACTACTACTACTACTACTACGACTGCGACTGGATTCTTCTCCTGAACTCTCAACTGCAGCGTCAACTCCCTAGAAAAACAAACCCGAAACCTGCGTGTAGAGTTTAGGGAGCCGACATCCCTTAGTCTTACTGTTCCGGTTTATGATAAGGTTTTAACACTACTAATAATAATAAGCTCTTGTCTTCTTGGTATCAGTATTATTAGTATGATCAGCATGACTAGTATCATTATTATTCTTATTAGTGATCACAATTCGCATTATCTGTATGAATACTATCATAAATATCGGTGATCGTGGTAATCCCCAAGGCCCAGGGGGCGCGGCGCCTTCTTGGTCTTCTTGGCCACCGGCACCGCCCCCGCCTCGCGCACGCGCGCGGCGAGCTCGGGCTGGTCGCCTGGGGAAGGGAGAGTCTCGGACCTCCCATGCAAGGAGATCGGGGGGCTTAGGGTTTAAGGACAAGGGTTTAGGGTATTTAGGGTATAGGGTATTAAGGGTCCATGCAAGTACTTACCTTTGGATAGTAGGGAATGGAAGAATGGTAGTAATGGTAGTTATAATTGTACCCCATTCCTCCATTCCCTACTAACCAAAGGTAAGAGCTAGGGTCTAGGGTTTAGGGTTTGTTTTGTTTTTGAACCCTCGCGTCTTAGGGTTTAGGGTTGAGGGTTTTAGGTTTAGTCTCGGGCAAAGTAAGGGTCTAGGGCTGGATAGTTTTTGAAGGCCCTTTTTTCCGTCTGCAAGGCTCACCCCGCTAGGTTTGGGGTCTTGGGGTTCAGGGTTTTGGGGATAAGGGCTTTTAGGGTTTAGCCCCTCGACATTAGGGTATAAGGGGTCTCCTGTGACGGAAATGACAGCCTAGGACTTGCAAGTTAAAGATTAGCTTGGGTTTTCTGTTGTAGTGGAGAGCCACCGTGATGTGCTTCAGGGGCTACCAAGGTCTTTGAGCACTTCCCATCGCTGCGATGCAAGCTCCACCATTCCACCATCAAGACCGACTCGCACTTGAAGCCTTGTGAAAAAGCCAGGATGCATAATGGAAAATAGTGTGCCATGCTGATGCCGGTGATGATGATAATGATGATGATTATGATGATGATGATGATGATGATGATGATGATGAAGGTGTGATGTTGGTGATGGTGCTGCTGATGGATGTAGTGCTGTCCTTCGCAATACTCTTGCCATGAAATAACCATGACCACCATCCACCTCAAACACTAAACCCTAAGCCCCAGGCCCCACACCCGAGACCCTAAGCCCTCAACCCGAAACCACAACCCGTAGAATCCCGGAACCCTCCACCCTCCCCAACCCCCTGCTTTCTCGCGGCCTTCCTGGCAGGCCTCAGCAGCAGCCGTGAAAGCCGAGGCACTAGGCCGTAAGCCCTGCCTCAGACATGTCGCCGGGGGACGTCCGTTTCCATCTACACATACATATACGTAAAGCATATGCATATCGTTTCATGTATATATATATATATATATATAGATATATATATATATATAGACATATATATATACATATATATATATATATATATATATAGATATAGATATATAGATATATAGATATATAGATATATAGATATATAGATATATAGATATATAGATATATAGATATATAGATATATAGATATATAAATATATAGATATATATCTATATATATATATATAGATATATATCTATATATATATATATATAGATATATATAGATATATATATATATAGATATATATATATATATATAGATATATATATATATATGGATAGACAGACAGACAGACAGACAGACAGACAAAGTGAGACAGAGAGTGAGTACAACTGAGAAGTGGCAGATATGATGTGATGGAAGAAAAACCTTAGCATGAAGACAGACAAACAACAGTCAGAAATACGGCTGTTGTCGGGTTTGACATGGCACCGCCTCGTCTTGCCAACCAACCCTACTGCTCGCTAGGATAGTGGCTCCAGCATCTCATCAAAGAGGTGAATCGCGAGCTCCCACTTGCGCCCTGAGTTTCTGAGGTTCTAAGAAGCAGCTCACAGCTCCACCGCCGTGCGGCGAAGCAAACGCTCGGCCGGAAGGGCCTCTTCTGGAGGCCACAATCGCAGAGGAGTAGCCGCGCACGCCGCCTCGAAGGAGCACGGAGAAAGGACTCCCAGTCACGGATTGCCCGACATGGAGACTACTTCCCACTCTGAGCTTCCCTGCCCAAGTACCCGCCGGCACGAAGTCCTTCCACAGCGGCTGTGGCCTCCAAGATGCCGACAGGAGCGTATGAAACTACAGCTGACAAAGGAAAGCTCTAAGCGAATGGCATACCGTCCATAGCCGGGAGCTCATGAAGTTCGATTCACTGTTCGTGCTGGTGCCTGCTGCTGCGTTGCAGTCTTTCGACGCAAGATCTTGAGGAAGTCGGCCTCCGATGTGGCTTCAACGTCGCACGCAAGGCTAAAGTCTCGATGAGACTCGATGCACTACATCTCACCGCGAGGTCTTTCGCTTCGCGCTGGGTGATAGCAACTTGCCTGTGAAGATCCATCGGCAGTAGCTTGGCGAGCAGTTGCCTTCCCCATCAAGACATCAAGACCGACAACAGTTCTGGCGATTCTACCTCTTGCTACTTGCTTCTGCTGAGACTGTTGTGGAGAGCTCCTGACAGCAGAGGATCCTGGAAGCCACCGCTGTGATACCAGTGGAGGCTTTAGCTGGCAACAAGGAATCAGAACACCCATCCAGCAGATGACCAAGCCCAGTCCCAAAGATCGAGCTACAGCATGCAATATGACACAACCCAAATGAACCTAGTTTATTCTAAGAAACTCGATGATAAGCTGATGTTATCCAGCACACGACAACACGATACACTAGAACACAATCTGACATAATGCAAGACATCTGAGATCATCTGAGCACAGCACTCGGAGAGCAGGTGAAGTGGCCGCCCGCGCAGTGAGGCGAAGTGCAGCCAACACAGCCAAGCGCCTCAAGCCGGTCCCTCAATAATTAGAATAGGCTTTCAGGACCCATTAAATTATACAATAACTATAATAGGGAACCCCCAAAATAGTAGTGGTAACTCTGTTCACAAACGTTGCCACCATGGTTTTCGTTGTTGCAGGCACGAACATGAGTCTGCTTATGGTGCCCCAGCGATCCCCCATCGGACAGGTGGCAAACGCCAGGACACTGCCATGGCAGTTATCTCGCCATTCGGCGTGAAAGGAAGAAAGCCTTTGCACCGGCGATGATAAGACTGCCCTTCGAGCCTACACATCCTCATGCTAGTATGCTAGTACAGACTTCAACAAGCGAATCACCTCTTCCGAAGGGCAGCTTAACCCATGCAGCTTGCTGATGCTGGCAAAGACCTGAGGGAGCAGAATCGAATTTCACTGATGCGGCAAGTACGTATTTACGAGGTTTCGCCGCAGTTCTGAAAGTGCGTCCCATGAGACTTAAGATCTTGATCTGAGCCTGGCTCGAGCCAAGAATAGCTGTTGGGTCGCGTACATGCCGGAACAGGTCCCAATCTAGAGCAAAGGAAGTTCGAAGAATCACGCAGCTTTTTTGTCTCAGACATGCAGGCTCTTTGCTCACCCAAAGCGCACTCACTGTGAGGTCAAATGTGGAGCGGCAAGCAGTGCTAGCATCGGAGCACCACTTGCTGATGTCACTTCGCCGCAGCCCAGACGACATTGACACAGGGATTCTGCACAGGCAGCGCTGCATTGTGCACGGTGCCTGCTCAGCTCCTGGTGAGGAGACCGCTCCTTAAAGCGAAAATTTTGCCACATGGACCCATCGAACCGGTGGACGGACGAGCTCAAGTTTATGAATTTCTTCTCCGGCTTTGGTGTCACGAGCGGAAGCCGGTTGACGGTTGCTGTGAGGATTCGGCAGTGGAACCAGGCTACATCTGTAGGCCTAGCGCCCACCGCCGAAAGCGCTTCCAAGGCATCTAGAAGAACAGCTGGAAGCATTGCATCTGCGATGACATTAGTGCCTCTACATAACTGACTCTTGCACTTGCTACCATGTACCAGGACAGCCATGTTCAGAAGCAGCATTCTGCCAGCGTATACTGTGCGCAGCGCTTAGCGCCTGGAACAGAGGCGGCAACGACAAAATACTGCCACCTTGGAACATCCAAGTATCTGACATGAGGCCACACAGACCTCGTGTTGGGGCCAGTGAGGCTCGTCTGCTTTTCCGCAGCGAAGCACTTACAGTTTCGGCAGAGGGGCCTGTCTGAATGCTGGCCAAAGAAAAGACAAACAGCATGCAAGCGAGAGCTACCTCCCCTTTATGGACAGGCGATTCTCTGTTGACAGAAATTGGGCGTTGAATGCCAGTGGTGACAAACTCGACTGTACTTAGCAAGCGCGGCGCGGCTGGGCCCAATTCCAGCGCTTTGTACATTGGTCCGACCCTGGCATCCTCTCACTCCGAGGAGCCTCCGGCACTTGAATCTGACCTTGGAACCATCAGTAACAGCAGTCCACCGTGCTCCTGCTGTGCTTGTTGTTCCATCGTGCAGCAATGCTAGTTCATGATGAAAGTAGTCGAAACTGAATACAAACAGCAATGAATGCTGAGATTCTTTGGAGAGGCAAGCATGATACTAAGAGAACGGCGATCTTGGGGTCTACTGCTACTCTGATTCACTCTATCCGTGCTGGTGAACCTGATGCGCCGCCACTCGCCAAGTGCGAGCAGGCGGCATCGAGCTCATGGAAGAGCTCCCGGCAGCAGAACTCCCAGCTCCATTCTTTTTGCTTCGGCTGGTGATCTTCCTTAGGTCACGCATGCAGCGTCTAAGCAGACGGAAGGACCAACAGGAGCAGCAGCCTGGCATGAGCTGTCCTGCCAGTTGTTGGAGAACTGCGAAGTTCGTTTTGGCTGTTTTGAACATCAACCCAGGTCTGAAGCAGAACCCAGCGGATGGACCTGTAATGCCTCAACTTCAAGAAAGGCTTACCACCAGACACCCCCCTGCCTTCAAAGATATGAGAGCACCCCAACAGAGCACCCCAACAGGAGCAGCCCAGAGACAGAATCGAAACGTTAAGCTGGGAGTCTTGGTGGCTCGGAGGATGACCTTCTCAAGCCGATCTAGCTTGTCCTGGGCCACTCACTCGCAGCATGTCTGCAGGCAACTCGTCATTTGTGTGCATATATGCATACTGAAAAACCTATGTCTATGCATACATATATACCCACCTACCTACCTACTTAGCTACCCACCCACCTGCCTACATTCATACATGAATACATTCAAGAGTTCATACATTCACACATTCATAAATCCATACATTCATATCCATATGCATGCATGTACAAATACTATACTCAATAATTTATTACATAGCATAACATATCATAATACAACACAATATCGTGTAATAGATATGTGTGTGCAAATCTGTATATATATATATATATATATATATATATATATATATACATATATACATGTATGTATATATATATATATATACATACACATAAGCATATAAATGTGTATATATATATAAACGCATACACACATACTGGTATGCGTATACAAATATATATATAGATACCTACATACATACACACATACATATGCACACAGTTAATAATACACACATACATATATACATACATACATACATACACACATGCACATGCATACAGTTAACACACACGTACATACATACATACATACATACATGCATGCATACATACATACATACCTACATACATACATACATACACACATACATACATACATACAGACATACAGACATACAGACATACAGACATACATACATACATACATACATACGTACACACATACCTACATGCATGCATGCATACCTACGTACATACATGCGGATATGCGAAAAGTTAGCTTGGCGAGCATATGTATGTGCAGGTGTCTGTGTACAAACGTGTGCATCCCTTGTAGTACGTGCACCTACGGGAATTGGCATCACCAAATTTGCAGAATGAAGCCTCCCTCGTCCCTGCACAACAAGCAGCCACCAAAAAAGTGGATCCTAAAGCTCAACAGTCTATTCCCGAAATCTCCTAAACCTGAATCCATGTTGGAGCGTCTCGGGAAGATAGGATTCCCTGTGACTGCACCTCGGGTAACGGGAGGCTTTCTATGTGTTTCTATGTCAACAAAACTAATGTAGAGCATCCCGACGAAATGCTAGACCCTTGCCCGATTGCCTCCTGCTGAGCCCTTTGAGCAAACCACCTGATCCCCCGAATCCCGAAACTCTAATCCCTAATCCCCCCTAGCCCCTAAACCCGAAACCCCCCTCGCGGCTAAACCCTTAACCCTAGAGCCTACAGATCCCTTACAGGATCCCTAGCAGAGGCATCTCCGTCCTCGGCCTCATCGGTATGAAGCTCTTCGGGCCAGGGCATGGCTGGCGATGTGGAGCCGCCGAAGCGGCGGATGTTCTCCACCTGGGGGTTTTGGCTTTGGGGTGTAGGGATTGGGGTTGAGGGATTCGGGTTGGGGTTTAATTTTTTTGTTGAACGCCTTTTTCCGCCTAGCAGTTAAGGTCGGCCGAACCCGCAGGTAGCGGAAAGCGCGGTTTAGGGTTTAAGGGCTTCAAGATTAGAAGGCGAGTATATGGTATTCACACCGATGAAGAAAATCACGACGCTGATTCTTAGAATATGATAGAGAGTACGTATGATGATCGCCACAACAATAATACCCGGAACCCCAACATAACCATGCATGACATTCTTCGTGGACATGCTTCATAGCTATGTATGATAATTGTCCTCACACAGGACTGGTCAATCCGAAAGTCCACATGGCTTTGGTTGCGGCAAAGGGGTGCTGAACGGCTTAGGGTTTAAGCAGAAAAGTGATGCTCTTGCCGTGCCCAGATGCTGTAGTTGGGTGCTCATTGGCCGGTTCCGTGACCTCTGCTCGACCAACGATGCGAAGTCCAATTAGTTGCATGGTCGCTGTTCTTCTTCTTATCTAACCACTCACTCAAAGACTTACCCGCTACAGTCGAACTGCTACCATACTCGCAGCACCTGAAGTATTGGACTTTGTCATGACACGATTATGTTTTCCCGAAACCGAGTGCATGCGACCCCCCAGCCCAGTCTGGAGGTGGCTGTGCTCCATATAGATTACGACTATGGTCTCCGTGCCTCGCACAGGGAAGTGATTCCTTTCAGTTCCTTTCCTCCTCAAGTCCGCCCTTCCCCTGGCCTTCACCTCAAAAACATGCTTTGAGCGGGCCCCGGGCTTAAGTTTCACGCTGTCCTGTGTCTCACAGAAACTTCCAGCACTTGCCGCCAGCGACGTTTCGCCGCAGGGGACAGCCAAGCTGCTTGAATGCCACCAGCAAGACCTACATCGCCCTCGTTGAACTCGAGGCGCTCCTGCAGCCGAAGCTAAAGTCTCGCAGGCAACTCTGCGATGATGGCGACGAGGAGGAAGGGAGGGGGGAGGAGGAGGAGGAGGAGTCAAGTTGATTATGGCGAGCTACAAGGAAGAATGTGGGATAATGAGGATGAGGATCAAGATCAGGATCAGGATCAGGATGAGGCTGTGGATGATGATAATGACGACGAGGATGAGGAGGAGGGGTGGTAGTACTTACTCATAGATCTGAAACGATTTCTAGCACAATCACCGGCAATCTTCGGGCGTCTTTCAGGCATGCTCTTCTTCCCACGATTACGCATGTTATGCTCGGCAGTCACTACAGTGGCCATAATTGCTCGGGTTTCTTCTTCTGGTAATATAGGGGCGTAAATGATTGCCAATACTATTTTTGGGGGTTGCTTATTACAATATAGTATAATGGGCCCAAAACCCTATTCTCATTATGAAGGCCCCTATATCATAGTTCCCTTACAGTAACCCTTATAGTAACCCCTTGTAAGGAACCCTATAAAGGAGCCCTATTCCAAGGCCCCTATGTCACAGTACCCAAAGAAAAACCCTTATAGTAACCCCTTTTAAGGAACCCTAGAAGGGAGCCCCACTCTAATTATTAAGGCCCCTATTTTAGGTACGGGGGCTCAGGTGAAGCTCTCGCCTCGAAGCCGAGGGAGGAGAGGAAACGCTCCCAGCGTTTTGCAGAAACTGCTTCCAGGGCGGTGACCTCACGGGAACTGCTCAAAGCACATCAGATGTCATTGGTTTAGGGTTTAGGGATTATAATAGGGTTTAGGGTTTAGGGATTATAGTAGGGTTTAGGGATTATAATGGGGTTTAGGGAACACCAAGCAACAGAAGCAACCAGGAGCCGCCGCATTAGCAGCAGCGACTGTCAGCTTGGGCTCGCACGATGATGCTGCCCCGCGTCAGGCGCGCATAGCCCACCATGTCATCGTAGACACTGGCATATGCCCCGTTGAGCTGCGCCACCAAGAGGTTCAAGAGGAAAACCTGACTTGCGCGGCCACTCAAACGAGCGCAAGAGCTAGCCGTGCACACTACTCTGTCCAAGGTACAATGACAACGATAATGAAGAGGCTCACAGTCAAGAGCACGGAGATTTCATCTTGGATGGCCTGGAAGTTCTGGCTTGGGAACATCCCCAAGGAGATCTCCTAAGGAACACAGACACATTCACGAAATCAGACTAACACAAGGACGCATCGGTTTGGGCTCGTCTGAGGTCGGCACCATCAAAGACAGCGCACCGACGGGAATGTCGATGAAGTCTTCGCAGCTGTGGTTCAATGCAGCTATCGAGCTGGCAAAGGTGACGATCAAGAAGACTAAGGAGCCTTGGCTTGCGCTTTGGTGAGGACCGACGAAAAAGGACAGTTGAGGATCTGCTCTTCCGAAGCTCCCTGCTGACTTCTGCGGCTCAGTGCTGCCATGAGGCTCAAGAAAAGGCCCAGCTCGCTAAGCACCCGCCCACAAACCAGTGTGAATGCCTGTTTTGGAAGCATGACAACTTCACTGTGCAGTGCTCAGCGGTTCGTGCATTTGCGGGTCTGAGGTGCAGAGATTCGCATTGAGAAAATTGTCAAGTCCAGAAGCAGTGCCCAGTACAGCAGCATGGCGACCTGAGGCCATGATCAGCTAGACAGCACAGTACGGCCAAAAGCAGCAAATCATGTTATTATTGCTATTATTATACTTCTTTATACTATACTATATTATCTGATACTACATTAGACTCTGCTTTTTTGTATTTCTAATATATTCTATGATATGTACCGTCTCCAAAACCGTATCATGGTATACCCGAGGCCAAGGACCATGGAGATGGTCGCGTAGGTCTCCTTTCGCAGCTCCCCCGCTTGGCAGTGCTGGTGGAAGAGGAGGTCCTGTGGGCTTTCGGGTTCCTTTTAAGGCTTCCTTAAAGGGGTCTATAAGGGTTCCTTATCGGGGTCTATAAGGGATCTTAAAGGGATCCTTAAAGGGATCCTTAAAGGGATCCTTAAAGGGGTCTAGAGGGGATCGATAGCAACCGTAGTAACTATAGTAGGGTGTTAGTGTCTTTTCATTTGGCTGGCAAGCAAACACTCAACCCCAACTCTGCCTTGAAGCTCTCTTCGGCGCTGCTCAGGCAGTGGAAAATTGGCTCCTGCATCTCAGAAGGAAAGCTTTACATGTCGGCATAGGCTTACCAAATTCAAGGTCCCACCCCCTTCTGCAAAAGAGGCCCGACAGAGATCATGATGAATCTTCCTGTGACCCCGCCCCATCATCTCCCCCCTGGGAGCTCACAACCTTTACTGAATATCGAGTGCTGGCCGCTGGCCATTGCGCGAGATCTTGCTGGGGAGAAGAGATCCGTCAAAGTACCGAGAACAAACACCAACATGATCACTGCCAGGACGACCATCACCACTCCCAGCACTTCACTGTGATGGTCTGCAATACTCAATGGTCCGGCACAAGACCCGGCGCCTGCGTGCACATCACCAGCAGACACAGCATGAGCGCCAGGTTGCCGATCTGCATGGTGTTGGTCAGATACTGCGGGAATGGGATGACGCCAAACCTCATCTGAAACAACAAATGGAACGGAAGACTTCGGCCAAACAAGATATGCTACCCTACATTTGGGCTTTGGGTTAACCGCGTCTAGCAGCCCTTCCGAGATTCGGACAAAGAATGACCCTTCTAGAATGTCGAAACCGAAGGAGTGCCAGTAATCCTGTACTTGCACCGAGGTGCAGTTTGACCAGGTTGCGGGAACGGATGTCCGAAATGAGGCCTCGAGATCGACAAAAAGAAGCGGGTCAGAAAACGAAGCCTGCCACAAACTCTCCGAACTCCACATCCGCACACTCTGACTCCACAACCAATCGTCTAGGCAGATGGCACAACAAGGGCTTGTGCAACAAAGCAACATCGGATCTGGTTTATTAGAAGGGCACCCATGCTGAAGACATAGATGGTGATGCGGCACGCAAAAATGGCGATCCGCTCTCCCTGGGCAAGAGCAGGCGGCCAACTTGCGAAAAGGCCTAGACCAATTTGCACCCACTGTATGAGACAAGAACTTCATTACGTGAAGCTGCGACCAGACAGAACGCCATTCGGGATTGTCTGTGACACGTGAAGGACGAACGCAGATGCCAGCGAGACGCATCAGTCTGATTCGCCGGGTCTTCTCGCAGCTGCTGCAGAATCGACTGCCCTGTGATGAAGACCGCGAGAGTAAAGAGGAAGTAGCACCTGCATGCAAAAGCAGAGACTGAGACATGTCAACCCTCGCACGAACACAGGGCTGGCTGAGTTGGAAGACTCCCGCCGAAAGGCCCAGGCCTTCCCAGCAAGAAGGTCTGGCCGGCCAAGCCGGACCAAAGCAGATCCGAGAAGAGCACCACCACATCGTGGCAGATGATCTTCGGGTCATGTCCTGCGTCAGGCGTTCGCACAGCACTTCCCAGCATGGTGCTTCACCTCAACCCTAAACCCTGCATCAATCTGTGCCCAGAACTACCAGTGAGGGTGCCTTCGACGATCCACGCCAGAGCTTGGTTGAAGTGGCCTTCCTCGTCTTGTATCAGGTGCTTGACGTAGTAGTTCACCTGGTTTCCGACAGGCTCGGCTTCTCAATCGCTTCTGAGCTGTGGGTTTAAGTTTCAAATCTTCCGGCATTATGGACTCATGGCTGCGTCACATTCTGCTGCGCCGGGGGGCTCTTCTCTCGCCGTTTATGGCTGTCCGCGAACGCCAGATCAGACCATCCAGCAGCGTGGGCAGGAGCTGTGGGGCATCGAAGCTTAGACGTTGGATGATTTCCGGATGGCGCTCGAACAAGTGGTCACAGCCTTAGCTTCAGAATCACCAGTAAAATAATCGCTTCCAGCAAGCATCAAAGACTGGCCGCCGAAGTAATAGTTGTCCCGATCCGCCCGGATCACAAGCAAATCCTGCATAGCACATCCGGCACGTGTCTACTTGCCACATGACTCCGGCCCGTCTCGGCTCCTCCAACATCGCCTTGGCCGTGACGAGGCTGCCGCTCTCGATGGACCAAATCAGCGGCGAGATGGACTTCGTGCCCACCGTGATGTTCAGCAGCTCCTGGGCGCCTCAGCATCCCATAGTAAGTTTCCCCTCAAAAGGACCCCAAAAAGCGAAAGAGCTGCAAAACGGATATCTGAGCCTCAGACGCTTCCCTCGCGGGGCCACCGAGATGGCCTTGCGCAACTGCTTGGCGTCGTTGGTGTTGATGGCCTGGGTGGAAACGACTCGAAAAACCAAGCAAGCGCGCAGAATCGAACGTCGCCCTGCCTTCATGACAATCGTAGAGCCTTCCAAGATCGTTCGGACCTCACTCTAACCGCCCTGCGAACTGAGGGGAACATGCGTGGCCCTTGCCAGTACCGAGTGGCGAGTATCTTAGACACCAGGGTCAAGGACCATCGGAAGGCATCTTGCGCGAGCTCCTGAAGGCGGAGGTTCTACCCCTCCCATCTGACATCATCCAAGTCGCTTCAGCGCGAACGCGCCACAAGCGCCTGAGCCTCCATGGTCTTCACGGCATCCACCGCAGCAGACCTGAACCAGACTTCACCCGCGGCTCCCGGGCAGAGAGCTGCTCCGAGCTGGGCTCCGGGCACGAAAGGCGCGAAGAACTCGGTGGGAATGCCGTAGCCGACGTGGCGCAAACCCAGAGCAGAGATGTCCTCAGAACATCCCACAGCTGGGAAGAGAAAAGCTTCCGAAACACAGGGGGCTACCAGTGCCACGAGGTCCTCTACCAGCCGCTTCGGATCCTTGAACATCTCTGTGGTCATCTCCTTACCAGAACACTGCGACAGCAACTGGCCGCCATTAGAGCAGACGGCACCCGGATGTCGCGAGCTCGCATTTTCTCAAAGCGAGGGGGCTTTTGGATCACTGAGCTCGGCTCTACAACCTTGTCTGCAATCCAGTAGAGCCTGGTCGTGGACTGCTTGAAGTAGTCCTGCGCTTTTGAAAAACAGGTCCCTGAACCCCAAAACCTTAAGGCTCTAAAGCCAAAAGCAATCCCTTGCCTTGCAGTAACCCCTTTTTTGGAAACTCGTGTAGAAACTTCTTATACTGAGGCTCTGAGCTCTGGTTTCAGGGGCTCCTGCCCGGCCGGCGCGAGCGTGAAAAACCTGAGATCGACTCGGAGCCTCTTCACGAAAACACAGAGACTTGTAGGGCTACCACGGAGGTTGCTAGAAGGAGTCTATAGATGTTATGGTCTCGGGGTTAAGATTTCGAGGGTGTCGGGAAGTCAAACGGGTGAGGACCGAGAGAAACATGCGTGAACTTGTGCCGGCGGGTAAATGCCGGAGGGCTCCCGCCCTTACTTTAAGGTGTAGTGGCTTTGCAGCAACAAAGATTATCATTGAAACGCTCCGGACACAGAATGACAGCCCTACTCACACTGAACACGCTGACCCTGAGCCTGGGGCCTCTTGTAGATGTCGCGCCTCAGGAAAGTGAGCTGCTCCTCAGGGCGAAGAAACTCTGGCCAGGGTCCGCGATCCGACCAGAGCGGAGTAGATTCTACACTCGCTAGCATGGGCTCAAAGCTTCTCCAAGCAGAAGCCGTGTTTGTCCGTCAGCATCTGTCGGGCATTCTGCGAGCTCTACCTCCCCTAGCCTTTGGCCCCCGCCGGGCGCCGCCTCCCACAGGCCCCCCACAAACACCCACCCGCTGCAGCAAAAACGGCAAGGGCAGAAAGACTGCGAAAGGATGACGCGCCCCTGCCCCATGACGCTACCCAAACGAGGTTGCAGAAGAAGGAGGCGACAAAGATGCATGATCAGAAGGGACCCGAATCGCACCATCTGCCGGGAACAGCATTTCGTCCATATGTTCCTTCGCCTCGGCAGCATCGCTCAGCATGTCTGCCATTGAAGCAGCGCCAAGTGTCTGCAGAATGTCTTGCTCTGACAAGTCCAAAGCCTGGCCATGGAGATCTGCGCCATGCCGGGAACCTTCATGAGATACTTCACAAAGAGAGACAATTGGCTCTTCTCGGCATCTGTATTCGGACTTCAGCATCGGCGTCTCAACAATGACTCTTCGGCGCTCAGAGTGCAGCTTCTCAAGCACGGAGAACTGAGTGGAATCTCGGAGTTCGGCGGCGGACTTCCCTGCCCTGCCCCTCCCTGCCCTCACGACATAAGCCAGGCTGATTGTGGCGGTTTTCCACGTTAGGGTGTGTCGCCACATCGTCTGCCCAGAGAACGATCCGCCCTATGAACGTCAACAGGGGACTCGTGGAACTTGCTGCTCCGCTCCATAATTACTGTTGGTGACTGAGCTGTATTGAACTTATCTGTTGCTGCAGAGACATCACGAACGGCCAGCCTGAAGATTAAGGCCAACGTGACTCTCTGCGGCCTGGACTGCCGCATCTTCTCAGCAGGTCTGGAATTGACACTCAACTAGAGTGCTTCGAGTAAACTTGCTTGAACCGTCGCGTCGGTTCCGGGTTCAGGCTTCATGCAAGATTAGCACATCCTCGCGCATCACCGTCACTTCCCTGAAATGAGACAAATGCTCCTGGTCGAGACCCAGGATGAATTGGTCCAACCTGGCGCATCACGGATGACGGCCGCCCTACCTAATATATAACGTTCCACTCACTAGCCACGCCCAAAACGCCGCAGAGCTGGGAGTCTCACGCGTGCTGCTGCGCGGCGGGCTTCCCCATGAGTGCCTTCAACATGTGCTCCTCAGCGCAGCGAAGCGGGCGGCACTCAGAGAGAGCTCCTAGGAGGAGAAAAGAGAGGCAGCTGGCAGCGATCTTTCGGGGCAGGTGGCCACGTTCTCCCAGAACCAGTTCCAGGCAACTTCGTGCGCGGAGTCCCAATCCTCGCACCGCTGACAGCGGCACTCATAGTGGCTCTCTCTGTGGCTCTGTGCTCTCAGCCCCCCCAAGAGGCCTTCGGGACGAGAGAACGCAGAGATGCCAGCATCACAGCTTTGAACTCCATCAAGATGATCGGCCCCTGTCAGTGCGTGACAAGAGCCTGGGAGCATCTGCGGAGATTCTGTTAATGAGAAGGGGCTAAGGCCTCGTACTGGGCGAGGACCAGAGAGAGCACGTCACACTCTTCCTGACATCGAGGCTCACATCGAGGCTCTAAGTTGTTCAGACGGATTGCAGGCTTCGAACCCGCAGCATGTTGCCTGAATCCGGTAAGAATTTGCCACGTTGGTGACCATGTTGTCAAACCTGAGACAGCAGATGCACCATATGTAGCTGATTTCACTGTTGCCAAGAGGCATCTTGCCCCACATGTCTAAACTCAGAAATGTAAAGACGACATCCGCAGGGCGCGGTTGTTCCTCACCTGGCTTGGTACATAAGCTGATGAAACCCCGTTGTGAGTGAGTTGATGTCTTGTCTCCCGACCGGAGGGCATCACGTCTTCAAGATCCCGCTCAGTTTGTGGTTGTGGTGCATCCTTCCAGCATCCTCGTTAGCCGGCTTGTCATCCAGAACAGCTACCATGTTTACAGTATGATGGTTCAGTCGTACAGATGATGGTTCAGTCGATGGTTCAGTCCTCTTTGTGGCTATCACTCTGAGGTTGGCTTGTTGCAGTCACGCCACTGCTCGAGGACCAGATGCATCCACAAGCTGTTCCCAAAGCCCATCACAGCACTGTTGAAAAGGAACATCTCGTTGAATGTCTTCGGCCTTGAAACGAGTGGGAATGCCTTCACGCTCATGGCTTCACACATGGAGACTATCACCTTTAAGCCGCCAGCACTTGCACGTTTGTCTGGATCCTCGGCAGCACAGTACCCCATGCACCATCGCAGGTTTTTGTCCAGGTTGACTTGCCTTACTCTATGTGCAACCCAGCATCCGTGCGGCCTCGCCACCTGAGGAGGCAACGCAGAACAAGAAACGAGGAGAAGCTGTGCTTGAAGCTGTCTCTCAGTTTGTCTCCGTCCATGTGCCTCTCTCCCCTAAGTCTCTTTCTCCGGGCCGAGTCCTCTTCTTCTTCTTCCACACAGGTTAAGGAGGTAGTCTGGCTACCCCCCCCCCCTCCCCACGCACATGCGCGCACTGGGTTGAGGCGTCTCTCGCGCTCTCTCTCGCTCTAGCCCGTTCCCTTTACCGGAAGGATCGAGGCCGTCACTCGCACGTGCGCCGGGCACGGCGTTGCCCTCTTTCCCTGGCTCAGCGGCTGCGCCCTCGTCTTGCGGTGCCGCAGCCTCACCTGCCACGGTTCACGCTCATCGCCAAAGTAGTGTTGCTACCAAATGCGCTTGCCTGGTCGCTCTTTCTCCACCTGATCGTCGGCTCCCGGATCATCGCTGCTGGACGATGTTGCGCGCTGGAGCACCTGGATATCTGCAGCCTCAGTGTGTGCCCCAGGCTGGAACAGGGTGAGGCTCGTGGATTGCCGTATGATATCTTCGGCCTTGTTGTTGGCTGTCTTCCAGCTCGACGTGATGATCTTAATTCGCCCGGCATATTCTCTGCCTCCACAGGCCAGCAACTGACCGCACTGCAAGCATCATAAATTCTCTCTTTCTGTCGCAATCAGACGGAGAGTGCTAAGCGCCGGGCGAATGTAGATGTAGGCTCCGCCGACGTAGTTCATAACAGCAGCGATGCCACCTCTGGCTTTGCTGTTGAAACGGGGGCCGAGCTCCATGTCGAACAGGTCCACTATCGCATCGCGAAAGATAACCACCCGGGGCACCGTCACTTCCTCAGCCATAGCACACCAAAAGGGGAGACACATGTTCTGCAGCTGACTGGGCCATGGAGGAAAGCCGAGACCCGCTCCAGGTCCAGGTGCTGAAATCCGAGAGTCTCCACCAGGACCTTCATGGAAGAGCGTTGCTCTAGACCCTCTTATCTATAGATTGCTATTGACGACCTTCAGTGCAGGAGGATTTTTCAGCGAGTTCATGATGCTGTTGAGGCCGTTCATGAAGCGCATTGCCATCACAGACCTCGGTCATCCAAGCATGAGAATCAGACTAACAGCCGTGTGATCGAGTGACTCTTGGTCGTGCTCCACCTACACCCTCGTCTGCCTTCATCAAAGGGGTTTAGTACGCGACGAGTCTTCCCCCTTGCCCGAGCTTCTGCACTCTCGATCGCTTTGCTCGGTGCCATCACTGACATCGCCAGGGATTTGGAGATGATTTGCAACCTACCTGTGACATCCCCCGTAGTCGGGCCAACAATGTAAGTTGCGAGCTGACTGACAACTTCACTCTAGGCGAATCGGCGGCGGTTTGCGATTGCCGCTTGCAAAACCATGGGAAAACGACTGGGTTCCCTGTCCGACAACTGAAAACCAGACGGGCCCCTTTTTTTTAAACTCAGAGGAGCGTGGTAGATCTTCGCGGGTTCCACTTTGCGCGCCGAGCAGCCTCGGAGTTTTGAAGAGGCTCTGAAGGCTCGGCGCAGCGTCGAAGAGCGCAGCGTAGATCGCCTCACCTGCCGACTTAGGGAAGATACGGGTTTTGGAAGAAAGGGTGGGGTTTAATGTCCCAAGTCTACATGCGTGTTACATCATATCTGATTCCATGGACTGCTCAAGTCTCGAAGGAACAAGCAGATACTGTCTTGGTCTAGTTACGATTTCGCTTACTCTCCCACTCCATGACTCAGACAATAAACAAGCAAGTATCAAAGCAGGCACCGCATCATGTTTCTGCCATTACTCTCGTGACGAGGACTTCTACGACCAAGTACTAACCACTACTAAACGATGGTGTGACGAGTGCGTGTTGGCTCGTGCTTCGCCTGCTCCGGCCCTGCAACCCGCCACTGCCACATCCTGCCTGCAGCATCTCTGGACCGCGAGGCTTGGATGAAGGCTTCCCAGCTGCTTCGGGCCTTCACACGCGAAGGTAACACGAGAAGCTCAAAGCGGGGCAATGCCCCTTTCGCTTCTGCGCCTCGTCCACAATGTCCTCTGGGAGCTTCATCTCCTTTGGACACGGAAGTGCTGTGGAAAACACCGCAACAAAAGGGTCATCTGGGCACGTGTCTCTGGCTCAAAGTCAGCTTTAACTCAGCCGGGACCTCGCCTCAAAGATCTGTTCCTGCACATCCTGGAGGACCCCAAGGTCGATGAATTCCTCCTCCTCCTCTCCCTCTTTCGGGATCTCTCCGTCCATCTCGTCTCCACCCTCATCCTCGCGAAGTTGAGGAGCTGCCGAATTGACAATCCAGCTTCAGTCAGAATCGACGCGAAACGATAGCGGTACTAGTACTCGTTGAGCAATTAATTCTGGTGGTAGCAGCAGCGGCAGCAGCGGCAGCAGCGGCAGCAGCGGCAGCAGCGGCAGCAGCGGCAGCAGCGGCGGCAGCGGCAGCGGCAGCGGCAGCGGCAGCGGCAGCGGCAGCGGCGTCAGTGGCAGCGGCGGCGGGCAGTAGTTGCAACAGCAGTAGTATTAGCAACAGTAGTAGCAGTAGTCGTCGTCGTAGCAGCAGCAGCAGCAACAAGAGTCGTGGTGGGAGTCGTAGCAGAAGCGGTGGTGATGATAGAAACAGTAGCTGCGATTGAGTGGCACCACGCCGTAATCGAAGCGTGCTTGCGATGGTTTTGACAGCGCGGAAGAGACCCAAAAGCTGCATTCTATACTTATGTTGCAGTGGAAGGAAGACACAACACTATCCCGCCTCCGCGAAATCTGCATCCGCAAGAATCTCAGTCTCTTCTACATCATCAGCATTGCTCATGGCCTGCAACATGCACATGTCTTTGCAGCAGAAGACCGTCCCACCAAGCAGTCTCTGCCGACACTTCGCACAGACCGGGCAACTTGCCTGGGCACGGCGGAAAGCCCCGGTAAGGGCTCGTCGCCGAGCTTGGGCCAAATGAAGCTGGAAGAAAGAGCTGGTAGCATGTCGTTTGAAAGCTATGGACATCCCCGAACCGAACCAAGGATTGCAAAGTCGCAGCACATCAACAGTACAACCACCAACGAATCTCACATGCTGCGGTCTGGGGGGAAGCAGCAAATTCCCCCCTGGGCCCTCCCTGTCGTAGGCTCAGTTAACACGCCAGCAGAGGCCTTCTTCTCCGTGTCGGAGCCTCGCTCAACTTGGACGGCAACTCAGATACACTGCCACATGGTAGATGCGTTTCCTAGCAGTCGCAAAGTGCTAGAAAGCTTCGATGAGCTCACGGTCAAGCCGTTTGGGCAACTTCTCAATTCCTTTCCGCTGGAACTTCGAACCCTGGGGCTTAGCCTACCGGGCTCCCCGAAATCTCCGAGCTCTCACCGAAACGAGCGCCTCGCTGAGCCTTGACACACTCGGAGCACTGGTAGACGGGCTTTGCGTCGTCCTCCACGGCCTGCCCAGGCTGAAGGGGAAGGGGCCCTCAGGGCCCAGAGACGCTTCGAAGTTCGCACTGCGTTGACTCGCTTTGGCTTGGCCGTACGCTGCCTCGGAACTGGTGAACCTGAAGAGGCAATCTTGAAGCTGGCAGCTGCCATTCACCTGCCAGAGCGCATCAGAACGGCTGGTCAGCCTTGGGGTTTAGATCTTCCTGTACGGCCATCTTCAACAGTGTAGCAACACTGTCAACACTGCTGAATTCAAGGCAAGCCAATCTCCTGAAGCAGTCATGGCTCAGCCAACTTGGCTATGCTGCCTATGCTTCTACACACAGTGGAAGCTCGGAGTACCATGCTGGTTCCGCATAGCAGCTATATCATTGAAACCCGCATGGAGGGCAGCTTATGCGTGGGCAAAACTGATGGAAAAACTACTACGTAACCTCCAGCATTCCCGCAGACATTGATGCCACACGTTGCCTTCACCATCTTTGGGATCCGTACCGTTGCTTCATCACAACTTCACTTCAACACGCAGCCTTTGGAGGGACGTCCGGTCGTTAGCGAAAGTGAGCTCCCCCGCTACCGCGCATATTTACTTCGATGAGTATCAAAAAACCACGGATATGAGACCATGGATTTTTGAGAGCTAAATCTCTGATGCTATGACGACGATGCGCCTACCTAAGAGCAGTGTCGACAGCAAAGCAATGGGGGTAACCTTGATCGCCAGTGGATCGCTGAACACAGCCTGTAGGTCCTGACAGAATCAGGTTGCTGTCTGCCAGACGTAGTCTTATCTCGCAAAGCGGCCCCAGAAGCTAACCGGTGGTGCTCTTCTCGCCACGGGAGAGATTTAAAGCCGTCAGGACATGTACGCTCAAGCAGGATGTAATACACGACAAGTGCACATGCAGCCAGAAGGTTTTTGCATTATTCAAGCCTTCCTTGAATTAACTACAGTGGCACAGCATCTTATAAAGTCCGACGTGGCTGCTTTCGAACGGAGTTCATGTGCAGCAGGAAGACAAAGGTTACCGGCTCTGCAGCGATATGTACTGTTGTGTCTTACCTCGTGTTGAAGCCTATTATATTCTATGGTGCTTGCCACTGAAAGGTTCTTGGTGCTTCATCGCTATAGTATACTACATTAGGCAATGTTTGCGTTCGAAAAATAATGCAATATATTCTGTGATATGCTACTATACCAGATTTTACTGCAACGTATTCGTGTCCTCTGTAAGAGAAGCGTGGCATTCGTGTGCGGCCTGGCACTCGGAAGCATGTCGACTTGGACTTGGACTGCGATCGGTTCAAACTCAAACCGTATCTGCTTTCTGCTACAGAAATCTGCACAGGACTGCTCCAATCCGTCGCATCATGCAGTGCATGTGCCTGCAGGTAGCTGCGAGCGCTGCTTTCCGCGGCCTGGCTGTCAGCTTTGGGAAGTGAGAGCAAGCGCATGAAAGCACGAGAGTTCTGCCAACATGCTGCCAACCCTCTGCAACGACCTCCTGATCTTAAGCGACTTGCAAGCGATCGCGATCCTCTTGATCGTCCGCATCGCTCTCAGTTGCGGCTGTCCCGGAAATCTGTCAGGCCAGATGCCGCATGTGCACGACATGATCATGTCCCTACATGTCACCTTTGAACCGTGCCTTGCCAGGACAGGCTGATGCACTGGAGCTCTCCCGCCGGAGAGTCAGCTTCACCACCTCTCGCGGTATCAACATGTCTAGAAGCCAATGCTGCCCGCATCGGCCCGCCTCCTCCCGCAGGAGCTGCTGCATGGTGACGAAAACTGCCTCTCCTGCCACAGCGACAGCAAAAGAGGTCTGAGTCTGCGGAGGAAGAGACGGTTTCGGGGCGTTTAGGGTTCAGGGTCCCTCCTCCAACAGCGATGACTTCATCGCCCTCACGTACTGCCAGCTCCTGTCTCCAGGTGTACAACGCGCCGTCTGACCAAGGGAGGGATCATCGCTTGGCCTCCTCCCCCATGGACTTCTTCTTCAAGTTCCAACGGTCCAACACCTTGCAAGATGAACGCTGCGAAAAGGTGTGACAGTTGCAGGAAGGCGCAGAAGACTCCAAACGGAGGCAAGACTGTAGGGATGCAGACGGTGTCGGGATTGACACTTGCAACGCGCAGCCTTGCCAGGAAACCACTGCAACGGAAGGAAACACAGCTACAAAGCTTCTGCAGAGCTGTTTGGGCTGCCACCTTTTCTGCTGCAGCGACTCGTTGCACCAGCCGAAACCCCAGCGAGGATCCTGCCAGATTCAAGGGGTCTGGGGCGCCCACGACATCGGCGTGCGCGGATTGTTGTGTCTCCTTCTTACCACGCTTTCGCAATTCCACCTCGAAGACGAACGACCTGAACAGATGCTCTGAACACCTATCTGCGGCCACGGCAATCGTCACTGCGGATTCGCAAGATATCCTACCACATGTCCCTCATATCACACAAACTGCCGGGACACAACACTTTACCGCCGTCCACCATGCATGAGTTGTCAGGTGCGGGTGCGGATGGAGCAGTGCTTGCAGTTTCGGCCATCGAGGAGCACACTCGGGCTCCGTTTTCGATGTCTCCTGGCCACGTCTACACTTCCAAGGCGACTGCACACAACCTCGCGAGGTAAAGCAAAATGGAGTGCTTGGAAGGGGCGGTTGGAGATGGGGCATGCAAGACCGTCCAACGCGTCACTACGGCTCCGCTTGCCCGGAACTCTCTTGCACAGAAATGACAGCGGTGCAAGTCTCCTCCTCGTCCACACCAGGTTCCGCATCCTGACCATATGAAACTCAGCTACACTACATGCACAGCATGCCATAGCACCAAACCAAATTGTCAACCAACAACGGCACTACAGCTCAGGAATAAGCGGAATGCGATAACAGACCCCGGAGCCACAAGTTGACAAGTGTGGCGATAGCGAAGCCACTTACATCTCAAACCCGACACAGATGAATCCCTCCAGCTCTAGATTTTTGGGAAGGTGCTACTCAGGTTGGCGAGTTGACGCTGAATCGTGCGACACAGCTAGTAGCCGCGATGAGTTGCTGCCCAAAAGAGACTTTCGATTTGCAGGAGAGTGAGTGTTCTTACAGCTTGGAGCAGGACCCGCGCCTGCTCTGACTCTTTGTCAAGGGAGCGCTCCATTCCGGGACTTCTTGAAACCTGACAGACATTCAAAGGTCCACTGTGCTAGAACTGCTTGACCCGCTGCTTGTCTTTATGGAGCACCGCCTGTGATGCAGGTTGTCGGAGTGGGTGGAACCAAGTCGCCACCGAAGGTCTCATGCAGAATGGGGTGCCTGCGGAGGCACACCGATACCCCCTGAAGCCCGATGCTTTGGCAAGTACTTCGTGCTCCACCTACCATGGGAAAATCATGCACAGGACATATACTCAAGGTCACTCGCCAATTCCGTCTCTCAACCTTGTATGCTCGACGAATGTATGCAAAATCAGGTGATGGTCTTGGTTGTTGCTGGTCGGCCACTCTCGTCTTCTGTTGCTCCTTCGCGGTCTGGACAGATGTGAGCAAGCGGTCTCCTCGATAGGTCACAATGAACCGTTCTACCCACTTCTCGTATGCTCACTCACTGGCCTTTCTTGTTAAACTATACAATCACATGTCTTCTTGTTGCTGGATGGCTACCTATGTGCATGCGAGACGGAGTCTTGCTCGTCCTAGCGAGAGCAGCCAGAGAAGGTGAGTGAGAGAGGAAGAGAGCAAGAGAAAAGAAGAGAGAGCGTGAGAGACGGAGACAAAGAGTGCAGGCACGTGCACGCAGACACAGCGTCGGAGGGGCGGGAGTGAGAGAGAGGCTGGCCTTGGGCCTGCGAGGTAACTGCCGGCTGCACAGCCTGGCGTCACGCTGCGAAGACACAGCCACATCTTGTTTGAAGGGTTCAATTCGAAACCCAACCATTTTAGGAACATGCGAGAACAGCGCTGATCGCACTTCTAATCAAACAAGAGCCGATCCCTCGGCTCAGCTCCCCTCTTGGCCGAGGCCTCAGACTGAGGGTCGACGTCCGCGTCCGCGTCCGCATCCACATCGGCGGCGTCGGCCGGCGTGCCGCCTGGGGACGGAGCCCTGATGCTAGCAGCTTGGGCAGCACAGCCCCGAGGTCTGCACCCTTCCGGCCCTTGCCCTTGGAACTCGTCGGCGCAGTCGAGGAAGAGCTGCCACCGACTTCCTTGGAAAACCCGTTCATTGACGTCATCCGCAGCGGCGCAGTGCATGACTTTGTTGGCTCCCGGCCAACTGTGCGATTCGACCAGGAAGGCCTAGAAGCCCAGGCTGCTCCTGCAGAAACATGCTTGCAGCCGCTGCGCCAACGCAACCGCACCTATGTCTGTGTCACGATAGATCACGATGGAAGACGTCTAAGAGGTGCGAAGCCACACCAAAGGGATCCCCGGCGGGGCGGCCAGACTGAGAAGGCCAGGCTCGCATCTGCAACTTCTGCTGTGCTTTGCTTCTTTAGGGGAGGAGGCGCTCTCCAAAAAACATCGGTGAGGGAACCCTGCCGGAACCGGGGGTGCCTCGCAGGTCGGCAGCTCCACGGAAAGATCAAGGAACGGATCCACCCTGTGGGGAGATCCCAACGGCACAACTCTTTGAGCTCCAGAAAAGGAAACGGCAGGGCCAGGGAGTCCCCGCCTTACAGAGATCCGGTGGCACTTCCAACAAAGCACGGCTGCACAGGTGTGCCTCGGCAATCCCAGATCCTGTCGTTTTCAATTCGGTGGGCTCCAAGGTTCCGACCCGCGGAAGCTCTGCCAGACCAGCTTCTCTGCTTCGCCGCAAGGGCTGTTGGGGATCTCGGTCGCGAAATTTCTGGAAACCGTGGTCCGGTGCATGATCACCCGAGCCAGCGACATGCGCTCCACCCTCTTTCTTGTGCTTCTTCTCCGTGGCCGTGGGCCTTATCCGGCGCCAGGTCCAATGTCATAACTCTGTCCTTCTGCCCATGACCGCATTGAAACGGCACACAGCAGAGAACGGACCACAAAGGGACCCCCAACCCCCTTCTGGGGCCAGGACTCGTCTGCCACCGAGCCTTACAGCGGATTACAGCGGCGCCAACTCCCGCCAGCTGACAGCGCCCGGGTCACAGGCCCAGCAGTGTGCGTAGGAGCTCATGGCAATCCTGGCAGCTTTCAGCTGTGCCCGCTTCTGTGAAACAAGCGCGAGACAGAGACAAAGACTTGCAGGAGGTCCTGCTGGTCGTGCCCTTTGTACCAAGGGAACTTGGAGCAAATCTGCGACAGCCTGCCGAGTGACAGAGATCTGGAAAACTTGGATTGTCGCAGCGTCGCATTGCAAGAAAGCGTCCAACGGAGAAGAGCAGCAGACAGGTTCAGCTCTCAAGCCAGGGTCCCAGGCTAAGTCAAGAAACATGAGATCGCAGCCACTGCAGCGATCATCAATCAAGCCAGCCCCACAGCTGCTTCGGCGAGAAGGCGCCGTTGCCGCCGCCCTGCACCGAAGAACATGCCACAACATCCCCCCCCGAAGCGCGCCAAGCAGCGAAGCAAGGCCGTGCCGAGCCTTCACCTTGCCCTGATTGCCGTTGCCTCTGAGGCCCTGGAAGACCGAGCAAAGCGAGGCCCCCACGCCTCCCAGGCCTGCAGCGAAGCGGCGAAGCGGCGAAGCCGCGAACGCACGGGGAGACGGAGATGCTTCGGAGCTTTGTGTGATCTCTTTGGGCTGGCCTTCCTGAGAGAGCGTGACGAGGTTGTCGCTGAACGGCTTCGAGACGCTGAGACACTGCCTGCGGCGACCCGTGCTCTCCGACATCAGACTGCACGTGGATGATGCTTTGCGGCTGAGGTTGGTGCAGAACGCTGTTCAAGTAGCAGGTGTTTCCTGGTCGGGTGTTTGCGTATCTTGGCTGAGTGCACCGACGCCTCGAGCAGTGATCCAGGGCTCGTTGGTTTCCACCTGCTCCTCACCGTCTAGCAAAACAGGCTGGGTCGACCAAGGTTGACGAGGCCCTTCTGACCCGTCGCAGGTGGCGGCAAACCCGGAAAGTCTCCTGGCTCGGTGGCTCGGGACCCGGCTGTTTTGTTTGGGGCTCTATGCTTCAAGATCATCCTGAAGCCTCTGGCAACCACGAGATCAACAGATGGAGAGTCCTCCAAACGAGCTGCTCTCTTGTGTATCATTCTTCGACTTGATGGCAGTGGACCTGACCTGGCAACATCTGCCAACCCAAATGCAGAGAACTCCTTGCGGACAGGACTCTACTGTCCGACATTGGCAGGCCAAGCGATGTCATGTTGAAACTTGTTCCGCTGCGGCTTCGAGTCTCGGAGACTCAGACCTCTTTGTGAAACTCAGACGAAGGTGAAACGAAGGTGAAGCCAGAATGTGTTCGTCGCGGTGGCGGTGACTGCCTGCTCCCAGAGCAGCAAGGGAAGGTTTCGTGGGCTGCCCTTATGAATGCCGTGCAACGTGAACATGTCGCAGGGCTGCAAGGCAAGCTAAACAAGCTTCACGTCTTTTTTTCGCATGCTCTGAGACAGCACAAGGCTACCTGAAAACTCATGTCTTCCAGAAAGTGATCTCAAGGGCTCGAAGCTCCGGGGCAGGACATACCGGGACATGCTGAAGCTAACACGAACCTCTCAGGCTAATACCCAACAAGTCTAACAATTTATCCAAACGCGGAGGTGATCCTTGAGACATCCGGCTTTCGCTGACCACCGGAAGCCACTCTCAGCGGGCTTTCTTCTTGTCCTCAGCACGTTCGGCGGATCCCTGCAATACAAACAGCCAGGCCTCAAGATTCTGTCCAAAGAGCCATCTTCTTTCCCTGCCGCTTGTACGGGATGTACTCGAACTCAATGTCCGCCGGCACTTTCTTGTGGCGGGGGCCACCAGCGCCCCTGCAAACCGGGGCACCATGCTATGTCCTGCAAAGGCTTCATGAAAAATCACCTGGACCTGGGACCCGCCTCTTGCCATGCCGTCCGTAGACAGCTACGTCTCCGCGGGTGCTTTGCGAGCGAGTTGGCGCTGAACTTCCAAGGAAAGCCAGCGGAGCCTCATTCGGAGGGGATGATCTCAGACACGCTTTGATCCGAGTCTTCCCGCTGCCAGCTGACATGGTACTAGACTAGAGTGACTAGACAACTCACTGGCAAATACTAGCCAGGTCACCAGTTACCTGCGAACCTTCAAAAGACCTGCCTGAGCTCCAACCTTGTCAAGCTGTCATGAACACCAAGGCACCAGGAGCAAGTATGCACAAAGACACGCCTGAGATGAACACGTCACACCCTTCCGAGCAGGAGCTGGAGAGTACGACGCTACCGTGCCCACATGTCAGATTCCTTGCTGGAAAAGGCACACCGACAAGTAGGAGGAAATGACGTGCCATGGCTGACTGATACACCCAGCAAAGTGAAGCAATGCACGAAACAAACCTACCCTCGTTGAGCCGAAATTAGCACAATAAGCATGTGTTTCCATTGACCAAATTCAAAAGCTCGAACAACAACACTGTGCATTGCCAGGTGTTATCCCAGGATATTGTAGGCTTGCGTGCCTGGATGTGGAAATCACCAAATGCATCGCCACCACTGGATGCTGCTGTCTCACTCAGATTGAGGGACATGTTCACGTTCATTGTCTATGTCCACGTCACGAGATCTCCAGCATATGAACACACCCTTCTTTGTCTCGCTTGAACTGTTGTGTTGGTCCTTGAGCCGAAGCAAGCTGAAAATACCAGCTTCGCAAACTATGCAAATGATTTGGCCAATCAGTACAAATTCAGATCGAAGTGGTTGATGTATGTGCGAGCATTGTCTGCAACATTGCATAAGCATGGAAGGCCTTGCCTGCTTTTTGTTCTTCTTTGGCATGGCATCTCCTGCACAGGTAATGACAACATATCATGGAAGCATCTCTCGATCTCCTGCTGAATGTCGATGCCGACTTTACACTGAACAATCGAGATACCTGGACTACTTCAGCGGCATCGGGGCGTATGCAGGCTGTCACCAGAACAACCCGTGCACAAGCTGTTAATGTCCTGAGTCTTAATGACTTAGTGATAGTGATACTCAACGCATGTAAGGCTGATGTCCACATGCCGCTTATTTGCAACCTCGACGAGTATTCCGTGTCAGCAGTATGCATGTCGGATCTGGTGCTACCTGCAAGAGCCATATGGCTGCACCGCATACATTTAAATCGCTGTTCGCATTGAGCCACAGGGACAAACACAAAAGAACCTCTTGTGAAGCTCGAGGCCAACGCTTGCCATGTGTTGAATGACGCGCATGTCGTCATGCAACACAATCGTAAAAAACACATACTTCTGTTCTGTGTACCATGCCAAAAGTTTCTTCATGTACCAGCATTCAACGAAATCTTTGTCAAATGTACTTGAAAAACAACGTCACCATATGTTTGTACTCATCATAACAATTATTTCCAGATATTCGGTGTTTGGCACCAAACCTATTAAGTTTAGCAAGATATGAAAATTATTCGTCATAGTCATGTGAAACTCACAAGACATGAGATGCAGTGCATAACTCTGCGGACCTCTATCTTTCAAGTCGCGGGCGCGAATTCGAGTTGTTGAGATTTCCACATTCACCGTTCACACCACCGCTCTCACCGCGCCCAAACCCCCACCGCCCACACCGCCTCACCACCTCTACCACCCCCAGCCACCGCCCCCGTCCCACCGTTTTCACTACCCCACCATCTCCATACTGTCACCACCCCATTCCCTCCGCGCCCACACCGCCCGCCCCACTGCCTTGTAGCACCACCCCTACCGCCCACCGCCCCACTCCCACCACCCTCTCCGCCCACACCGCCCTCACCGCCCTCACCACCACGAAGAGCCCTGTCAAGTCTGGAGTGCCTTGGAGGAAGAGGCCGGTACGGCGGACCTCAGCCTCGTGGGCGAGGGGAGCGCGGGGCGCGAGGGGTCTCATCCCGCGCAGCCAAAGGCACTCGTCGGGATGGCGGCGCTTAAAGGACAGCAACCAGCCGGAAGGCATGAGGGCGCCGGGCACACGCTCGCACTCATAAAGAAGGTGACGCAGAGTGTTGGGCTGCCCGCAGAATTTGCACTGGTCCTTACCGCCACTGCCCGAGTGGAGAATTGTGCCCTGAAAGACGGCCCTGAGGCCGTGCCTCCAGGCTTTAGTACGAGGGCTAGCCAAGAGGCGACGCGGCACAGTCCAGTCGATGCCAGAAGAGGCGCCTGCGGCGGTAGAGACGGCACCGATGCGAGACCAGCGCTCAAGCTGGATGACCTGGCGGAGGAAGGCGGAGGCCTCGAAAACCGCACCCGGCTCTTGGAAGCGAAAGTGGAAAGTGACCTCCCGGTGAGTCCAAGTGTCCGGGGTGGGAGCCGAAACCTGCAAATCCAGAAAATACTGGATGAGGGCAGACACGGGACCATTCACGATCTTCCACCCATGCGTAGCGGAAGCTTGCCTTGACCAGGAGGAAGTCCACGTGCGGCGGAGCAGGCTGACGCCCTCCGGGGAGGCGGTGGAAGCAAGGCGCCCTAGCGCCTGAAGTTGCTCAACAACCACAAGCTGGTGGGGGTCGACGACCTTGTGGGACATGAGGTCGAGGATGGTGTCGGCGGACCCGTGTTCGAAGCGGCCGGCCTCGCGAGCGACCGCCGCCCGCAGAAACTTGAGGCGCTTTGGGGCAACCCCCATGGCCTGGTGGCCATAAAGGCCGGCCTTAAGGGCAGAAGCCTGGATCAAGCGGCCGCGAACCCACCTGCGGCGGATGTGGAGGCGTCGCATGTGCCGCACACGACCGATGCCGGTGCGGAAGCGCTTTTGCGCAGTGGTGATGCGCCGTCTCCTGCCGGCGGCGCAGTCAAGCCCGAGGTCCTTAACGAGGTCAGCGGTTTCAGGCTCCCGGGCGCCGGAGCTGGTTAAGTGCAGCGCGAGCGCGCACCGTACCAGCAACGAACTTAGTCTTGGTTGTCTCAACCTCAAGGCCCTCAAGGCCGAGGGAAGAGTGGAGGACCCGGTAGGCCTGGAGGGCAGCAGAGGCGGCAACAAGTTGAAGAGCAGCCGGGGCCCTCGAGCGGAGCTCCGCGAGGAGAGGGTGCGAGAAGGGCTGAGGGAACACCGAGCCGTGCCACACGCGTGCCCAATGCTCATGTCGCTCAAAGACACGCGGAGCCCATCGCAGTCCTGGAAAGGACGGTCGAGCACCTGCTCATGGGACTTGATGGCCCGGAAGAGCGGTCCGAGGTGAGAGCCAGTGGCCAAGAAGGGTGGCGCCCTCAGCCCGGAGGTCGGCTAAGGAGGCGGTTCCTGCTAGGGCTCGGTCACAACCTCAGAGGGAAGAGAGGTGTCCGAGGCAGACCAAAGGAAAAGCCCCCGTCGTCGCCTCTCTCTCACTCGCCCTCTTCCCTTTCTGCCGTCGACCCCAAGCCCCTCGCCCATCGCTGAGGTTAACCTCCTCGGCCTCACCTCCTCAGACCAGATCACCCTTGACTTTGCTGAGCTGAGCTCCTTCCTTGGGGCGTCTCATGGCTTTCCCGATCGAGGACGTGGGGCCTTTGTACCCCTGCTTTACAAGCCCCTCGTCCAAAGCCATTCCGTCCCCTTGTCCTGGAAGGGCCAGCTTGCTTGACCGCCCGGAGGCCCTGCAGCCGAAACGAACAGGTAGTCGATTTCCCTGTCGGTAGCGGCCGTGGGGTGGCCTGAGCCCAAGAACCGCCCGTGAGCAACTTCCTCAAGCCTAGTGGCGAGGAGCTCCTGAATGGTGTTGTTCCAATCGCCTGCGACAATCCACTCCCCGGAGGGAGGGGAGGAAAGCGAGGAGGCGAGCCAGGACTTCGGCATTGACGGGAGAGTTAAACCCGGTCCCGGACTGGAGGTAAATGGAAACCAAGGTGAGCTCAAAGCCGGAGCACCGCAGCGAAACTGCAAGAAAACCACAGCCCTCCACGGCGTGGGTCAAGACGTGGCGGGGGTTGAGGAAGGAGCGGATAAGCACACCGAAACCTCCCAGGGGTCGCTTCTTGTCGCTGAGAAAGGGGGGCGAAGTAAAGAGGCGAAGCCCCCGTTTCGTCGCAGCAATCGCGGCTTCATGGGCGGCCTCAGCGGTGAGGTGGAGCTCCTGAAGCATAACCCCATGGGCCTCCAGGGAGAAAGCCCAGTGGCGAACCTCAGGTCTCCAGTGAATAACATTGGCAGAGAGGAGCCTGAAGGAGGAAGGGCAATGCGGGGTGTTATGCTGCAAGGAGAGAGCTTGAGCCATCTGCTTCATGAGGTGCCACTTGGAAGGAGAGGGAACATCATCATGAATGGCATCCAGCGCATGCTCCAAAAACCACTCTTCCGAGGACCCTGGGGAAATAAAATCCTCAACCCGAGAGGCAAACTCAACAAGGGTCTGCTCAGTTGGAAAAGTCGGGTCTAAGGCCTGACTGGCGGCGGTGTCGGTGGCTGGTGTTCTTGGCTTTCCTGGGGCCTCTACGGCGCGGGCCGCCGGAGGAAGGGGCGAAAGGCCCCAGTTGCCACGCCGTACCAGGGTCAGGATCAGTAACGAAAGCAGGCGGAAAGAAGACCGGCCCCGTGAGGAGGGAAGGAGGCGCCACCAAAGACTCTAGGGCGACTCTAGGGTAAGAATCCGGGGCCGCCGTCGAGAGAGTCGTGAAACCTCAACCCACTCAGGGGAGGAAGAGGGGAGGTCGGTCGAGGGAGGGACGAACACCTTAGGGTGAAGAAGAGTTCCCTGCCCCGGAACGGATGGACTAAAGGAAAAACCCGAGGAGGTGGCTGATGGCGCCTCAGATGAAGAGGGACGCCAGTACCCCTCGCACGGAAGAACTTGAGCCACAGGCAATTGGCCTGACGGCATGAAAGAAAAGGATCTGCCCACAACCTCAGGCTCCGAAACGGCTGAGCCGAGGGGAGGAGGAATGCGGGGAGGAACCTGGGGGAAGGTGGGTGCGGGGTCAGGAGCGGGAAGGCCACGGCCCAAGGAGGTCGAGCCTAAAGCGAGGGGCCCCCAAAAATCCGCCCCCACCATCTTCCTTCACCTCACCTGTCGAGGGAGGGGGTGGGCCGAACTGGAAGGGCGTGCGCCCTAGACCAGGGGGGGCTTGCACATCAGGTGGTGGCTTGGCCGAGGCTCGCAGGGCCTGGAGGTTAGCCTTTTGGTCTTCTGTGAGAGTTTCGAACCAAGTCGACCTCACTTTTAGGCACGTGCAAGAGGACACCACGCCCGTAAGTATCCGAACACTTCCGGGCTACGTCAGTGGCTTCGGAAATGGCCTCTTGAAGCTCCTGCATGTTGCGAAGGAGGTCGTGGAGCTTGGTTTTCGTCTTGTTGATGTCCTCCTGCAGCCTAAGCTTCTCCTGTCCCAGCTGCTTCAGCTTCAGGATGGAGCGTCGGAGAGCGTTACCCGACTCGCGGCCTTCCCTAAGAGGGTCAGGGGTGGGCTCGGGAGGGGGAGGGGGCACAGCCTGGCGGATGCACTCCGAAGGAGGTCGGGCTCCATGCCGACGTCAGTAGCCTGAGGGGCTCAAAGCCGGCATCGCTGAGCTGGGCCTTGGCCTGAACCTTCGTGGGGCGAGGGGTGGGGAAATCTTCACGAGGAGAATCTCCGACCTCAGCCTCTTCGTCGGAAGTGACCTGCCTACGGGAGCGAGGCGCGCGTCGGCGAGGGCTTCGGGTGGGGGAACACTACCTGGGCCTGGGCCTTCGGGAACCGAGCCTGACAGGCCGGACAGGTCGGGTGCTTCCAGAGCTCGTCAACCCAACAAACCCACGCCTTCTGGCAGCGCTTGCACACGTGGTAGGCGCGTTGCGGCATACCTCGTCCAAAGAGGAGAGGAAACCTCAGCCCTAGGCGAGGAGC